TAAAAAGGTGACAGAAGACCACTTCTTGGATCAAGAGTTGTCCAACACATGCAGCTTATCACCCTGAACCAGGAGAACATCATGTCCATCAATCCAGCTCAGGACACAAACGCCACAGGTCGAGAATTGTCCAGAATTGAGATGACAGATATAACTACGGAATACAAAGATTTGTTTGAGGGCGAAGGAAAATTGGATGGGGAACTTCATTTGGAACTTGATGAATCACTAACCCCAGTTCAACTACCTTGCAGGAAAGTTCCTGTAGCCATGAAACCCAAACTAAAAGATGAACTTGAAAGGCTTGTGAAGATGGAAATGATTACGTCTGTAACAGAGCCAACAGACTGGATATCGGCCATGGTTGTTGTTGCAAAGCCTAATGGAAAGATTCGTCTTTGTATAGATCCAAAACCGCTGAATAAAGCCTTGAAACGAAATCATTACCCGACACCCACCATGGATGATATCTTTCCCGAACTATCACATGCCAGATAATTTACTCTAGCCGACGCCAAGAATGGGTTCTGGCACATCGCTCTGGATGAGGAAAGCAGTCTACTCACCACATTTGAGACGCCTTGGGGTAGATATAGATGGCTACGCATGCCATTTGGAATATCTCCTGCGCCTGAAGAGTTCCAAAGAAGAATGGATAATGCTGTTGAAGGGCTTGAAGGTGTAAAAGCTATTCATGATGATGTGGTCATATTTGGTGTTGGTCTGACAGATACTGAAGCAGAGAGAGATCATGACAAGAAACTGGTTGCATTCCTGGATCGTTGTAGAGAAAAGGGTATCAAACTGAACAAATCAAAGCTAAAACTGAAACAACCTGAAGTCCCTTACCTTGGACATATTCTTACAAGAGATGGATTGAAAGTAGATCCCATGAAAGTTGAAGCGATTGCACAGATGCCTACTCCTACAGACAAACAAGGTGTACAGAGACTTCTTGGAATGGTCAATTATGTCCAAAAGTTTGCACCAAAACTATCTGAAGTAACCGCACCTTTGAGATCCTTGTTACAGGACAACGTTGAGTTTCGCTGGGATGAACATGTGCAAGGAAAGTCTCTGGAGAGGATCAAGCATATTCTATCCGAACCGCCACTCTTGAAGTACTTTGATGATACAGCTGAGACTGTAATTCAATGTGATGCCTCACAGAATGGATTGGGTGTGTGTTTGATGCAGGAAGGTCAACCTATTGCATATGCTTCAAGGGCCCTGACCACCTCCGAAAGAAACTATGCCCAGATTGAAAAAGAGATGTTGGCCATTGTATTTGGAGTTGAGAGGTTTGAACATTACACATATGGAAGAAAGGTGAAAGTTGAGTCGGACCACAAGCCGTTAGAGTCAATTATGAACAAGAGTTTGCACAGTGCACCCAAACGTCTCCAAAGAATGATGCTCAGGCTACAAAAGTTTGACTTGCTTGTTGTCTACAAGAAAGGTTGTCAAATGTATCTTGCAGACACGCTCAGTCGAGCACACTTGCCTTGCACAAGGGGCACAAGAAATGTTGAAATGGATGACATCTTTGAAATGGATGTGAGATCACCAACAGAAATTGAAACAGAGTCTATTGACATGAAACAATATGTTTCTGTCTCGGACAAAACTTTCAGCAAGATTCAACATGAGTCACAGTCTGACAATGAAATGAGAACCCTGAAAAAGATTATCACTCAAGGCTGGCCTGAAGAGAAAGATGACCTGCCACATGCTGCTAGAGATTATTTCACTTTCCGTGAAGAACTATCAATTCAGAACGATGTGATCTTTAAAGGGGAAAGAGTGGTCATTCCCAGAAGTATGCGGACTGAAATCACAGAACGGATACATTCCAGCCACATTGGAATTCAAGGATCTATCCGAAGAGCACGTGAACTCGTGTATTGGCCAAACATGACAAGAGATTTAACTGATCATATCAGAAAATGTGAAATCTGCAATAGTGTTCAACAAGATCAGGGGAGAGAACCATTTCTAAACCATGATTTACCGTCCCGAGCATGGGATAAGATTGCAAGTGATCTCTTCGAGTTTAATGAGCATGATTATCTTATTACCGTGGACTACTTCTCCGACTATTTCGAAGTAGACCGCCTGAGTGGTAAGAACGCAACAGAGGTTATTGAGAAACTCAAGGCTCATTGTGCAAGACATGGCATACCAAGCCAAATAATTACAGATAATGGCCCCCCTTTTAACTCGGATGCATTCGCCAGATTTGCCTCCAGTTATGAATTTCAGCATCAAACCTCTTCACCTAGATACCCTCAATCGAATGGCAAGGTTGAGAGTGCGGTAAAGACTGTTAAGAGACTCATGAAAAAGTCAAAACTTGCTCAATCAGACCCATACCTTGCATTGCTGGACTGGAGAAATGTACCAACAGAAGGCATTGGTACATCACCAGTACAAAGAATATTCAACAGGAGAACGAAAACTCGCCTACCAACGGCTGAGAGTTTGCTCAGACCGAGTACAGCTGATGACATCACTGACAAGCTCGCTGCCAGACAGACAAAACAGGCCAAGTACTACAATAGGTCAGCTCATTCATTGCCTTTGCTGAAAGAAGGTGATGTCGTACGGATCAAACCTTATAACAGAAACCTACAGTGGCAAAAGGCAGTAGTGAATGAACAGGTTGGTGAAAGATCTTACCAAGTGAAAATGCCTGATGGAAGAATTATGAGGAGAAACAGAAAACACTTGAGACAGTCGAGAGAACCAGCACCTGAGCCAGACGAAGATAAGAGTCCACTAGTTGACTTTTACCCGAGACACACTGAACCAGAGGTGGCAGATCATTCAGCAAAAGTTGCTCCAGAACAGGGAGAAACGAGGCGTAGCTCAGGCACGACACTGTCGAGTGGAGGAGAAGACCGACCAGTAGTCGATGTTAGAGGACAGAGTGCTGCAAGAACCTCAAGTGGAAGACAAGTTGCAGTTCCATCAAGATTCAAAGACTTTGTTCAGTTTTAAAAGTTGAAAGTTAAGTTGTGTATTCTTCATATTTCCTGGAAGACTCTAAGTGGTAATATTTCAGTTACCTAAAGCTGAAAAGATGTTCAGTTGTGTTAAGGTAGTGTGTCTTTTGAGAGACTTTAAAGTTAATGTTGTACAACTGCCTTAATGCCTTTATTCAAATGTTTACTGTAAAGAGCATATCTTTAAGGGGAAGGATGTGACGTTACTGATAAACAATTAATTCTCCCCTAAATGTCAATAACGAAGGCTCCCGTCAGGGGACGCTACTCGGGATGTAACCGCTCGAAGATTAAAGATCCATGCTCAAGTATCTCGTTCTTATTCAACAAAGACACAACGAAACAAGTGTAAACAAACATGGCGTCAAGGGTCGGCGGTCGTGTCCGGATTGACAGCCGTGGTTACGGTACTGTCAGTGCTTTGATCCAAGAAAATTCATGCCTGGTTATGATAGATGTAGTAGATTACAAAGCGAAGATAGAAATTCATAGGCTTACGAAGATACCAACATCAGTTCCCCGACCGACTGTCAGTGTTTGCGAGAGAACGGCATAGGAATCCAGGTGCACAATGTCACGCGAACATTAAAGCGTAGTTTGTTGTTCAAAAGGCTAATTGAAAGTTTCTTAGACGTAAGATAAGATTTGTTGACAACAATACGTGCTTTAGCATAAAAGCTTACTGGGAACTAGATGACCTAACGCAGTCAGCTGAGTGATCAGGAGAAAATTATGTCACCGGGCTTGTGTCATAACGTATTACTCCGCACATATTTGTGACGTCATAGACATTCCACGAAGTTTAGTTTCATGATTTGTGGCATTTGAAATCGTATTTTTTGAAATTATAAAGCAAAAATTACATTGTATGATAAATAGGTTATCACACTCGTGTGTTTTGGGATGGTTAATATCCTGCATTAGGAATAAACACTATGTATATTTAGCTCGCCAAGGCTCGCTAAATACAATGATTATTCCTAATGTAGATATTAACCATCCCAAAACACACTCGCGTGATAACCTATATGTCAACTATGATTAATGTTGTATACTATTAGAATTTGTCGTTGACCTTTTAACTGAATTTGAAATCAGATGGTGTGTAGGAAGTTTCATTGCATCCCTTCATCAACATCCCAGTGGTACAGCAGGTGATACGGACAACAGACTCATACAATACTATTAGCTTTCAATAACTAGCTATATTGATAAATTACACTACAATGATGTAACACATATGTGAGTTTTGTTTTACGCCGCTTTCAGCAATATTCCAGCAATATCACGACGGGGACTCCAGAATTGGGTTCCCACATTGTACCCATGTGGGGAATCAAACCCGGGTCTTCGGAGTGACGAGCGAACACTTTAACCACTAGGCTACCCCAACGCCCCTGATATAACACATGTCCGTATTAACAGGTGTTGCCCATGTGGTATATCGCTGTGTATAACCCAATACGTCCATTTAAACGATTGTACATATTGAAGGGATTATTGGCTTATGGGGACTGTGCCGATATAGACCACATACATAAGTTCGTGTTCATACTGTTCCGTCTATGAATGCCCCAGCACAATATTTAAACAGAAAGTCATAGACATTGTCTTGGTAATAGAGTTGGCAGTATCTCATTATCATGTAATTCGTCCACAAAGAAAAAACGCATTATACCGATCACATTAGTTTCATCTCGAATACAGCTTATAAAGAATCTTTTTATATTTATTTACAAGTTAATATTTATCTCAAACGTTTCCATGTTTGCAAGGATGGTGTCTGTGATATAATGATATTTGGTTACAGCTTGAAATACCGTGTATACTGCATATAATAATAATAACATAAAAGGCACTTTAACAGAATGAAATTCATACATACTAAAATGATTCTATTTCCACCTGACCAATATTCATCAATTAAGTAACACGGTTCACTGAAGTCTTAAGTCATACGCACACTGAGTTTTTGTCGAGGTAAAAGAAATACTCTTCCGTGTATCCGAATCTGGATGTGAAGTTTGAAGCAATTGTCTGTAAATTGGAGCCATTGATGTACGCTTCACGGAGTCTTGTGTAGGCGTTCCACGTGATCTTATTTCCTAAACCAGGGGAAGTAAGTAACAAATATCAAACACGAACCATACATAACTCCGTGAGCAGAGCGTAGCATCTTCGAACGAGTGGGTAATAATAACATCTTTAAGTGACACTTTATATGTTGGCAAGAGCAATGTACAATAAGAATCTGTATGGAAACGTCGCACTCGCGATATAAAAGAAGTTGTTATCATAAAGATTGTCAAAGAAACACATGTGATACATGTGGTCTCACCTTAGACAAGTGAGTTTGATCACATTTGCCTCTGATCATGTGACTATTAACCTTCTGTAGCGCCTCACAGGCAGCTTGGGTTGTCCGGGGTAATCATAGCCCTGCTAGGAGCATGCTGTCAGTGTGGATTTAGCTCAATATAAATGCATATAAATATATCATCGTATCCCAATTACGTATATTGATGCTCATGCTGTTGATCACTGGATAGTCTCGTGCAGACTCGATTATTTACAGACCGCCGCCATATAGCTTGAATATTGCTGAATGCGGCGTAAAACCAAACTCACTCACTCACACACACAGAGTTAACGTCAAAGCTGACTAATTTATTATAAACTGCGTGTCACCCACACCACAGGGAACAACCTAATGTTTGTTACGCACCATGTTTGTGTAAGGTCGGGTTCCACACTGCGTTGGTGTCCACGAGAACTGCTTTAGCCATCTTACTGCTGTAGTGGAGGTAGTAGATGGTGTCGCTCTCGACCCAGTAGGCTCCGCTGTCGTACAGTCAAAACATTAAGCTTCAATGAAACATTATTGGCGAATACGTCAGAACTTTAAACTGCACGTTTCATGACACGAATAATTATGTTTGTTTGTTTAAATGGTGTTTTTCCATAAGAGACAAATTTAAAAAGGGATAAACACGTAGGTCACGTGAACAGCGATTTCTGCAAATTGGGACCATCAGTGTTGGTAATCTAGTTAATAGTGTTCGTATGCATTGCATTCTTCCCGTTATCTACATGTATTTTAATGTGCACAATCTGCATTATATGATTCAAGGACTGCAAAATACTTGAACAAAGTGGGATTACTTACAATTTTTTGGTCAAGGACAAGGCCTCGAGGTTTGGTTAGATTGGACAGGAGAATGTGCTCTGCACGAGAGCTGACGTGAAGAGCAGCCAGCACCCCGTGAAATGTTGTGTAGAACAAAAGACCACTGGCAATATCTATGTCTAATCCAGTTATAATGGTGTCTGTAACAAAGACAAAATACGAGCTCTTGAAATTAAATAAACCCCAAAGAAACAGAAACCTTTCAGCGTAATTGCATAACATACAAAGGTTTATTAACGGCATTATCTGATAGGATATCATACAATTATTGTCAGCATAGGTCTAGGTTACGTCTAGATTAACAGTCCTGAAGATGGATCGCTCTTTGTCGTTACAGCTCTGCCCCTAAAAGTAACACATTCTGAGTCGATTTCTGCCGCGTCTCTTCCCCATCATCTTTTGCTACAGTACTACAGATGCACCGCACCGCACGTAAACGCATCGCGTCGCATTGTACCGCACGGCCTAACATTGTACCCCACCGCATGCATCGCACAGCACCGCACATCGCATCGCATCGCATCGCACCGCACGTAAACGCATCGCGTCGCACCGCACCGCACCGCACCGCACTGCATCGCATTGCATCGCATCGCACCGCACCGCACCGCATCGCATCGCATCGTACCGTCACTGCATCGTATCGCAATGTACCGCAACGCGTCGCGTCACACTGCATGATATCCAGAGTACATCAATGAAGCTAGCGCTGGGCTGGTTCTAACAATGATGAGTAACTGATATTTACCTTGTGGGCTTTTAATTAGCGTTTCTTCGTTCAGACCTCCCATTGTTATTCTCCCTATAGTGGTGGGCTCTTGAGTAGTGAAGTATATAAACTCATCTGTCGGGTCAAAGGCGAGGAGATCAACAAATCCATCAGTTCTGTTCAAGGTCACCCTATCAAACTGCATTTTGTGAAGGCGAAGGATGCCTATTTTGGTGTCACGCATCCCGAGGACGAGGGTCAAGTCTAACACATCAGTATCTGCAAGATGTCAACAGAGGTGTATGAGTATGACATCAAGATCAGTCAGCTACATCTACCTCCCGTGAGAATTACGAGAAAGACTATAGGTTGGTTGGTTGGTTTGTTGTTTAACGCCGCACTCAGCAATATTCCAGCTGTATGGCGGCGGTCTGTAAATAATCGAGTCTGGATCAGCCAATCCAGTGATCAACAGTATGAACACCGATCTACGCAATTGGGATACGGTGACATGTGCCTGACCACCCTACCGTTAGTCGCCTGGATACGACAAGCATAGATCACTTCTAATAACCGGATCTACACGGTTCAAGAATATAGGTGCAGAGAAAGCTACAAGCACTAGCAAGAAGCGACTGAATGGGTCGTTTGCTGGGTGCTATGGTTGTTGGCATGCCATGTTGTCCACCTTGCTAGCTGGTCAAGGCTTGACCATTTTATTCAGCTATGACTGTAGTTTTGAAACGCGCCTGGATTAATTGAGTTAACAATTATTGACATTATAATGTTGGCTCTAAACTGTGGGAAAGTAGCCATGCGTCGAATATCTTTTTATCCCCTATTGAGAACAGTTTGGGCCGATGTTTGATAACAGCTGTACACACGTGTTGTGGTGAGAGTGTTTACTTCAGAGGAGCCCCGTTGAAGTCCAGAAGAGGAAGAACAGATGGGCAGTCACGTTCGGTCTATTACGTGTCATCGAATTGTTGCTAATAATATCACTAGTTGTCTTAACCAAGCTGGATTTTGTACGTTTCATAGGCGAAATGAACTTGAAATAGTGTGCAAAGTAACTTATACATATTACGAACGTTTCGGTTACTACCACCACTACTACTACTACTACTACTACTACTACTACTACTACCACCACCACTAAAGACCACCAGTGGCGGTGTTGTAGCCTACTGGTTAATACGTTCGCTACCTTCAATAAAGATGATTCCCCACATGGGCACGATGTGTGAAGCCCATGGTTCTGGTGTCCCCGCCGTGATATTGCTGGAATCACGCTAAAAGAGGCGGACTCGATTCACCCACATATGGGATTTATCATTATGTGAAGTTATTGAAATTATTGGTGTTCCTTGCTTTGGAGCTGGACCCATTGCAATAAACGCGGTGCACTATTGAGACTAAATTCACTCCCATGGAAACACTTCTGAAAGTGTCATTAGGGGCGGATACAGTTATTGAAAGCTATTAATGCACACCTTGCATGGAGCCATCACCCATTTCAATGGATTACATGTGCACTATTGTAATACTTTTAGACAAAGGGGTGCGCACCACTGGAAACACTCCTCTGGAAAGCCTATGCCATTTAGTGAGTTAGTGAGTTTGGTTTTACGCCGCTTTTAGCAATATTCCAGCAATGTCACGGCGGGGACACCAGAAATGGGCTTCACACATTGTGTCCATGAGGGGAATCGAACCCGGGTATTCGGCGTGACGAGCTAACGCCTGAACCACTAGGGCTAACCCACCGCCCTAAAATGCCATTCAGACGTTGGAAGGTTTCCAACCGTCAAATCATTATCTGATTAACATAGGTGATGCAAACTATGTGCAGTGTGATAATGGGTTTGTGTGGGTCACCTTTACACTGCGCGATGTCCGCACTTCCCAGAAGCTCTGTGGTCTGGAAGCCAGGACAAGGTACACAAGCAGACATTCCCGGAACATCTTGGTAGAATCCGTGACGACAACGTTTGCAGTTGTGATTGTCGTGCCTTTTCCCTGGTGGACACTTGACTGGAAGTACACGTGCATGTGTTCACAGATCCCGAACGGTCCGTTTGACTTCATTTGAGACCGATGAATTGATCACGAACACAAAATCTAATAATTGCAACAAAACCAAATTTGACCCAGTTTGTCTTATAATCGACAGACCAACCCGTGATGATAAATAAGTTGGAAATGAATAAAAAGTTAAATGTGCTAACTACGACACAGTTCCATTACAATTTAAAAACGTATTAATGAATATTAATACAACCAATATTGTGTGATGTATAGGCTTGTTTACGTATACATGGACTCTATCACCGACAGAAAACGAAACATTTTAACACTCAAGCATTGTAACAGAATCGCTACGTCAGCTAAGGATATCATACGTCCAAGACCAATGATAAAGCCAAAATATTTGTGTTACCTGAATAAAATACCCACAGGGTCGATGCGATTCCTTTTAACTTACCAAACCGAGGTAGCGAGTTGGTCAAATGTATCAATTATACATTTTCTATATAATACATTGGATAACCGACAATGCATTCTCATTATATATTGTATCAAACTCTGACAAAATTAGTCCATCCTTTACACCTGGGCAAGAGGGTCACCTACATGGCATCGTCTTACGGTTTAACAGCAATGCTGCACTCAATACATTACTACTTACTACAAAAAACGCCTCCTTGAACGGCTCCACGAGGACAGGTCATGGTCTGAAAGGCTGCCAAGATTTTCGGTTCCTGTGATTGACTCTGATTCGCAAGAGTAATTTGGAAGTCAGAGTAACCGTTGCCCCTCACCTCCCAGTTGGAGTTGTCAAGGAGCTTCCAAGTCTTCATGATGGTGCCAAACTGTCCAGGAACTGAGCACGTGGTCATTGAGAAAAGGACGAATTAGTGTCATTGGCATGGCAAGTAAACATACTGATCGTTCCACGACTAACAGTTCCGCTGGATGTGTCTTCATCACCTGTTTAAATTTCTATTTTCTCAATAGGTTTCGACGTTTATTCTAATCTGTTCGGTCTCGTGTCGACCATACTGCCAACAGATAAACACTTCACAAATTTGTTCATCTTATTTGCGGGCGGTGGGGTAGCCTAGTGGTTAAAGCGTTCGCTCGTCACGCCGAAAAACCCGGGTTCGATTCCCCACATGGGCACAATGTGTGAAGCCCATTTGTGGTGTCCCCCGCCGTGATATTGCTTGAATATTGCTAAAAGCGGCGTAAAACCAAACTCACTCACTCACTCATCTTATTTGACGAAATATGTATCTTGGACTCATTGCGTTTACAGGAAGAGCTGACGTATGATCCAACTGCAACAATACCATTCGGTAGAATCACGATCAGGGTTAATCCAGGGTACGAATCCTTTTCGACACCATTCGCGGCAACATGCGGTCCCTAATGATTAGACCATATGGTCATGCCATGTAATGATAATCTAGGTTCATGTAAACTAAACAAAACCCGCGACACAGATGTGTGATCTGTGATTCCGTTCCTGAAATACATTCTACGGAAAGTAATGATATTGATGCTTACACGCAATTGCAGCTACCGGAAGTTCAATATGTAAAACTAAACTGTCATCAATGGAACTGTCCAATACTTTAATTCAGAAATTGAAACAGAAATGTTCCTTTTCCATTGTGAGCAGCTTAACGTGGCTATCTATAAAGGGTATTCATATCTATTACGACGTGTCGGCTCGATGTGGGAATGAAGGTTTGGGGAGAGACAGGTCTTGCCTCTTTGGTGAAACGAGGGAAGGGGTGGGGATATTGGGCTGACAAAGCTAGAAGCAGTCAGCACGAATCTTGTAGTAACACAACGAACTGTGTGTCCTAGACGAGTAGGTCATCTTGTGATGGAGGACTGTAACCATCAACATTACCTGCCTACTGGAATTACTGGTTGATACTTTCCGACCTGACTCGAGAAAGATGCACAGACACTACGTCACCACAGAGACATGCAGCGTCCTCAAGATCTGTGTCCACGTCTTACAGGGTTGATTGTTTTAGAGGGCACAATATTTAGTCCTGACTTTTCAATTGAAAGCCATTTTATAAAGAAGGTGATTAAATCTAATCCCGTTTTAGGACTTTTTCTCACCTTCAACCGCCATTGATGGTCTTTCATATGGATATACCATAAGAGTGTCGTTAGAAACAGACATTTCCAACTCCCTGTGATCCACCGTTGTTGCCTCATCGCTGAAGTAGGTGAACACATTCCAGGTTGCGAACAGTGGGGACAGGTACGTCATCACTGCAGATGTTTGATAATTATTATATGAACTATATGTGAATCTTTTATACAACAATGCAGACAATCCATTTTCTGCTGATAATGCCGGAAAAAAATGTGTGCATAGGATTCCTTCTGAATGCGTTTGATAATTCTTATGAAATCAGTATAATACATATTGACAAAGAAACAATATAACAAAACTTTAAATGGCATTGTGTATAATACATTTAACGTAGTATAAAAGTATATAACTTTATTGAAGGTAATTCTTTGAGAAATACAGAAGATGCCAAAACCAGAATATCCGACGGATTGGAAACAACCAACCATATAACAGTCATCAAAATGTGAGTGAGTGAGTTAAGATTTTAAGTCAAATCGGCAATATTTCAGCCACATCGTGACTGACCATCAAAATGTAATGCTATCAAGACAGTTGGTTGAATCAGTTCTATGTCTTTCGAATCACATCATCATTTATATAAATGGGATTTGAAGAAATAGGATGACATCTGTGAACTCAATATGCCAGAAAAATATAAACAATTAGCATCAAGTATCAACAGCACGTAGAAAACATTGGCATTCTAATGTCGTATAATAAAAGGAAAATCGCTGCTGTTGGGTAATCATAATCTTGAAAATATAAGTAAAACTTCTCAAGTTGAAAGTTGAAACTAGTAATATACCTTGTTTGTTCTTTTGCAGTTTATAGACATCAATTGTGTCTTGTTGTATGGTCCTCTGAACCGTTAGAGAGCCATAATATACTCCACCATATTTCCTACAGAGTCTAACGTAGTCGCTGCAGATGGAGGTACCAACGGCAGTAGAACAGGTTTCATCTTGAGCACAACTGAAATTGCTTCCCACTTTGCTCAGTGCTGTGCTGATGACATGGCTGTCGACGGAGTTCCCAAACACCACAGTATAGTTGATTCCAACTGTAATGGGGGTGACTGGTTCTGAATGAGCAACAGGACACCTCAGTAATTGGTCAGTGAGTGAGTGAGTTTTGTTTAACGCAGCCTTTAGAAATATTCCAGCAACATCACGGCAGGGGACACCTGAAATGGTCTCCGACCCCATTGTCCCGTGACTGTCAGTGAGTGAGTAAGTTCAGTTTAACGCTGCGTTTAGCAATATTCCAGCAACATCACGGCAGGGGACACCTGAAATGGGCTTCCCATGTCTGGAATCGAACCCGGGTCTCGGACCCCATTGTCCCGTGACTGTCAGTGAGTGAAAGTAAAGCTGCAGCCGAGTTTGTGATCACAAACCAGTGATATTACTATCCCACTAATGTGATCAGATCCAAACAACAAACGCGTGCTGGGTATGTATTGCGACGAATTTAACCTTGCTCACTGTACCCCTATGAAACAATGCACGCATTTCAAGAAAATGATCTAGCTACAGAATGAGACATAGATGTATCAAAGCTGTAAATATCCTATTACAGGATTCCGAGCCAAATTCCCTGCTCAGAATTTGTATGACTAACTAACCGAATTTGTGTACTCAAACGTCACGCACCAAAATACCCTGGTCCCAGAGAAGGCAATAAAACTTGGACTTGGTACAGTGCGTTTTGTAGGCAGCCATATACCCCAACGAGGCTACAACATAGAGGGAAATTTATAGAATCCAACCAACCTGTACATGACACAGTGCGTTTTGTTGGCCTCCATGTACCCTCCTTGCAGGTGTAGACAAATGGCTTTTCTGGAAACACTAAACCTATTTCACATTCCACGTTGCAGGTAATCGATCCGTGTTCTTTATCGCAGGTTTTTATGATACCCTTTCCGACGATAAGGTCTTGTGCAAGACATTCTGTAAAAGTGGGAAAACGAGTGCTCCTTTCATTTCAAATCTTTTATGCCAACACCTTAAAAGAATAGACTGAGATTAAATTGATCCATAACTGTCAGATATGTAATGGTGCTAATATTTGAAGGAACATATATAGATTCAATGAGATAGAAACTCGTGTTAGTCTCACACAAACACACACACTTACATATACTACTGGAATAAAGTTACTGTGCATTATTTGATATTTTGCCATTTTTAAAGCAAAAAGATAATAACATGATTTTTGGTGTGTCTTTTAATCACTGTTTAACTGTTGACAAGGTAATTTCGAAATCTGTATGATTTGACTCCAGGCATAGTGACAAGCATTAACAAGAAAATAGGAGCAAAGACTTCTTTAAGAGGTACCTGGACACATCTGCCTTTGGCAGGGTGTCGTTTCTAGTGCATTGCCATCACATGGCTTTCCACCTATGTCGGGGAAAGGACTGTCACAGTAACGGTGCCTTGTCCTCGTGCCTTTACCACAGCTTACTGAACATGGTCCCCAGTCCATCCATCCACCCCAGCCGCCATCAGCTGCAATGAGTGAGTGAGTGAGTATAGTTTTACGACGCTTTTAGGCAAGAAGTTAAGGTCTCGCAGATACATGTCTGAAAGAGTATTGCAATCGGTGGTCATAAAAAACTTCATTAATGAGTGAGTGAGTATGGTTTTAAACCGCTTTTAGCAATATTCCAGCAATATCACGACGGGAAACACCAGAAATGGGCTTCACACATGGTACCAATGTGGGGAATAGAACCCGGGTCTTCAGCGTGAGGAGCGGGAGCTTTAACCACTAGGCTACCGAACCAACCCAATCAGTTGCAATAACGAAAAGAATACTACCATGCGGTAGTACGGAACCTTGTAGGCATTCCTTGCTGGTCATATTGTCCTTGTTGCAGATATTCTCGTCTCTGTAGATCAGCAACAGTTTATAAAATGTTTTCATGAAAAGGTAAACATATTTGGCAACATTGTTGCGATATTGTTGAAGCATGTTTAAAAATACGTTATTTAAACCATACTCGTTCCTTTAGACAAATAATCCCAGTTCTTATCTCAACATTAAAAGCAGTGGGGCAAAGTCATCGTTGTTGCCACAGTAGTATGATTTACCTATCGATTTGATGGTAACATGGACGTCTGTTTTCAGAAAGGAAATGATTCAGAGAAAATACTATTTTGAAGAAGGTAGTGTTTTGAGAGGACCTCTTGCATCACAATGGAAATGGTTCTATTGCTGGAAATCCAACACTGCACCTAATGCCAGCTTACATACCTGGGTTAGTACAGCAAGTTACATTTCACTGGACTGAATGTCTACATTGAACAAGATGGAAGCCATGCTACGTGCAATAAATGACATAAGCTCATAGCAACAGTCTGTTATGAAGCGCGAAAAACATGGCATCTTATTACTACAGTAACCAATTGCATCTAAGTGACCTACCTATCTTGTCTCTGCACAGATTTCCTCTGTATCCCGGATGACACTCACACCGATACCCGTATGAGGTCACTAGACACGTGGAATTGTTGCTGCATATGTTATCTTTACACAAATCAGGAGGCACGTCACATTTGTCACCAGAGTAACCTCCCCTGCATACGCATCTGAACGCACTTCCGGTAGGGATACAGACGTTGTCTCCGCATGGTTGACTGATGCAGACATCGGGTTCTGCCAATGAATAGAGAGTTTAAAGGTGTCATTTATAACATATGTTACAAGAGGCTAATGTTTTCCTCATTTGGTACATGGAGCGTTATCTGGTGACCATCAATTTCGTATTGACGCGAAATGGCATGTGCGTCAGACAGCCGTGCTTCAGGCAAAGGAACACTCACAGTTCCAACAGGAGAGCCAGGGGGCAAAGGAGTTATCGCCTAATAAAAAGGGATTTTTTTTACAATATAACTGCATGAGAGTACATGAGCCCCAGACCTCACAGCCAATCTAGGGCCAAGAAAGACTTCTGGAGATTGGTTGATTGGTTGGTGGGTCTGTTGCTTAACGCCACACTACTGCGTTACACTCACAACGAACCAAATCGCTGTGTATACATACCGGTCAACATACGAAAGTTGGTTGATTGCTTGCTGTTTTACTCCGTACTCAGCAATATTCCAGCCAAATGGCGGTGGTCTATACATAATCGAGTCTGGACCAGGCAATCCAGTGGTCAACATCATCAACATGGATCTAGGCATGTGTCAACTCTTACGGCAAGGATAGGTTGTTGAAGACCAATTCTAACCCGGATCTTCACGTGTCGACTTCTAGAGATTTTGTCATCTGATCTAGTTTCGCAAATAGTTTCTAGGTCACAAATATCTCAGCTTGTGACCACCAGTATCTCAGAAACTGTGACTGGAAGTGTCGACTGTTCTCATCCAATTACAAATTACAGTTTATAGTGTTATCAAATGCCTATGACTTGGGCTGAAGGAGACTTGGGTTGAAGGTCATGGTTCTGCATATTTATTCTTGACTAATATTTTTGAATTTACAAATATTTTATTGTCTTTCTTGCAGCATTTATATCAGAAAAGCGATTACATGAATTCTTATCACAAGTTTAAAAGGAAGTAACATAATACATTCCTCATCTGAAGTTTTAAGGTAGTCAGCATCAGAAACCTCCATTGAACAAGAATCAAAACAAGGAATGTTCAACACTAGTTCTATGAAGTAAGGAACCTTGTTGATACTGTAGTAAAACAGGTTATTTGAGACCGATATCGCTTCCCGCAGCTATGATTATTATTTTGTGTTTATATTATTGTGGTCCTTGTTTTTTTGTATCGTGTGTTGTTGTTTTAGGTTTGACAGTGTAGAATACAATGCCGCGGACCTACGGCAACCCATCCACACTCAGCCCAGACAGCGAATATCACGTCTTCCAGCACAGCGTCAACGAATGGGACTTCCAGGAAACGATGCATAGTTGAACCTTCCAAATCCCACGAAAACCTTTTCGAAGAACAGGAAGACTGTAGAGTTTCAGAAGGGTTTCGTGTTGCTGGTGCCAAACCCGGGTACTCTGTCAATGTAAGTATCAATGTATATTCTGAGGTACCAAACCTAAGGCACCAAGCAGAACCTTATTGTTATAACCTTGTTCCAAAGTCTACACCGGGGTCGTGATGAAATAATTCCTCATTGCATGAAACCTATTGCCGGCATGTGGTAATATTTCGCCCAAGGCATTCTGGAAATATTAGCAAGATTGGAGTTGCGAGATTTTTCATACTTGTACCTACTCATGCAAGTGCTGGGTACAACTTCCAACACCTTGTCTAAAGCAGCCATGTCCTTCTGCACCAGGGAGAAGAGAGAGTCTTGGCTGTACGAACTACACGTTGTAGACATGTTCCTCACGACCTCCGAATTGGCTGACGGCAGGAAGTTAAGGTCTCGTAGATACATGTCTGAAAGAGCATTGCAATCGGAAGCCATAAGACACTTCATTAGTGAGTGAGTGAGCTTAGTTTTACGCCGTACTCAGCAATATTCCAGCTATATGGCAGCAGTCTGTAAATAATCGAGTCTGGACCAGACAATCCAGTGAGCAACAGCATGAGCATCGATCTGGGATTGGGATACGACGACATGTGTCAACCAAGTCAGCGAGTCTGACCACCTGATCCTGTTAGTCGCCTCTTACCACAAGCATGGGTTACTGAAGATCAATTCTAACCCGGACCTTCACGAGTGTCACTTCATTAATGAGCGGGTGAGTAAGCATTGCATTTAACAATAAACCTGCAATATCATGGCGGGGACACCAGAAATGGGCTTCACATATTGTACCCATGTGGGAAATCGAACCTGGCTCTTCAGCGTGACGAGAGGACGCTTTAACGATTAGGCTACCCCACCGCCATATGACACTTCACTAATCAAATGAGATCTCTCAGATTTGTCAGCAACAACCATTTTAAACAATCCCAATGATGGCAATCACAGTATTCTGTAGCCCGGACTCGATTATTTACAGACCGCCGTCATATAGCTGGAACATTGCGCAATGAGGCGTTGAACAACAAACACACAAAAACAAAACAACTCACAAGCATGTCCTCTTATTGTAATCTCCATCACAGATGGTGTCGAGGAGGGACAGTCTTGGGCTTCTTGAAATACCTCTTCTGCAATGGCTGTCCCTCCGACGTACATCGTGAGCGTTGGGTGAGACCATGTAACTGCCACATGAAGCCACTTGTTTTCCACAGCGTTCTCAACATGCAATTCATCCCTAAGACAAAAGGAAAAAACGTATTCCTTTTGAAATAAGTCTTGTCACTTGATGTGTAATATTTCCTGTTTTCATTGGGTACAAAAAAAATTCTTCAAGAAAGCAAACCTTCTCTTGGTTTCCTTTTTCAAAAAGAAAAGTCCAGGGTGTAAGAGAAGATTTTAACATTTACCACTATAAACGCATCTTAAAGATGTTTCTTTACGTGAGTTATATACTCGTAGTATCTAAACAAATGAGAAAAACGACATCACATTATACAGGTTAGCCACACAGCCAAGTGGATCTCAGCTAATTCCTGATCGGTTACTTGAGACGAGTTTTACACATGATATTTATTTGTACCAAGATTACTAAACAATAACCAGAAGGATAATTTATCAGTTTGAGTTTTGTGGCGCTTTTGTAGTACAGTCAGTTGGTCGCGTGGTGCAATGCACTCTATGTACTCCCGAACCTTGCATTAAGGAGATGGTTTACCTGAGCGGAGCACATTGATTCAATATGACAACATTGTAAGGTATCATCACATAAGATGATTATAAGCTTATTTTTGAAGGTATTGTCATTTAGGTTTAAAAGTGAACGTCTTCACAAACAATATTTGTTCGAAAGAAATATCCACTGTTACCTCTCTCTTAGGATCACTCGAATGTCGGAAGAAACATAAATATCTAAGGCCGTCCCAATAGTAGGGCTGTACACCTGGAACTTGATTCCACCGTAATCTGTGTCTACGAGCTTGATCCAGACAGAAAACGTGAAGTCGCAAATTCGAGAAGGTTTCATGCCTTCCAAGGGGACTGTAATTGGTCCTCGCAACAAGAAGTCGAATGCTGGAACCGACACACAAAACATGATATTGTGCGATTCAGTAAAACGGCCATAATACAGCAACGTTTGCCTGTGAATGAAATAATCGATTACGTTCCGTTTAGCCATCCAACGTTATACTGGTTGGTCAATCACATTTCACATTGAAACTGGTTGACTGTATTTCAGCTAAGTATTGTGGCACTCCTCGATGCCGAAGTTGAAATTATTAAACACCAGCACTTAACTGTGGGGGAGGTCGGGTAGCCTAGTGGTTAAAGTGTTTGGTCGTCTCGTCGTCACCCGGGTTCGATTCCCCACATGTGTACAATGTGTAAAGCCCATTTCTGGTGTCCCCGCCGTGATGTTGCTGGAATGTTGCTGATAGCGGCGTGAAACTATACTCACACAATCACTCACTCACTCACTCACTTAGCGGAGTTCCTCTAACACGATTAGACGTGTATGGAAGACAGAAATACATGCATTCTTACCAACACATTGTTTAGCTGAGTTTGCACCTTCCTCCTCTGTGGTTGTACCAACCGGACATGGAATACACTCCATCTTGTTACCTTCATGTTGGTAAGACTTTAATGGGCATTTGAAACATGGAACCACGCCGTTGTTGGAATATGTTCCGGGATCACACATTTCTGAAACAATCAACCTCACTTTTATTTAAATATATGTATCTTAGTCACAAACATCTGAGCACTTCGTAGACACTCCTTGTTGGGACCAAGCGAGACGTGTCTTGTTTAGGTGGCTGATGAGCTAATTAAAAGTATTATATTTGGGTTTTTTTAAATACGATGATTATAAGCTTTCATTTAGCACCTGTATGTAAATGGAATATGAACTGGGTTTCTTTGGTGAAACAATTGAGAGCATAAAGAAGTATGTTCAAAGAATAACAATCAAATATTGGGATCCACGTATATAGAATGTAACGGTCTTCCGCCTATCCGTGGTGTAGTGGTTACTGCATCCGCCCGGAGAGCAGAAGGTAGCGGGTTCGATCCCCGACCGCGTCACACCAAAAGACGTTAAAATATGATACTTGTTGGTCCCTGCCTGGCGCTCGGCATTAATGGGTACAACAAGGACTGGTCGGCTCGGAGTCAGTATAATGTGTCTGAGTGGGGTATTCATGCTTCACTGCGGCAAGGTATCTCAGTGGGCTAGCACTATAAAACCAGCTTCAGTCTGGGTTAGTACAAGCAGCCGCACATGCACATACACACGCATGCACGTCGTCATATGAGCGAAATATTCTCTCTAAACCCAATTTCACCTCACCTCACCTTCATCATCACATCCATTCTCTTCCCACAGAGGTTACTTAAGTCATATCTTCTCACGTACCTCTGTTCTAATACGGCCATATTTCCCGGTGAATGCATCACATCAGGACTTGATATTTTGGTCACTTAACATGAAACTGTTTGATTATGTAGAGGGTGAGGGTGATGTTGAGGAACTAGGACCTAGATATTACCCTGATGTTTGATGAAGGATACATACCTTCACAGGACGAAACGTTTACATTAGCAAGTGTGACCGTGGTGTTGCCATCAGGACATTTCGAACAGCTGGTCTGTCCCTCCTGGCTCTGATACTGCCCGTACCCACACGCCATGCATTCATCCCTCGTGGAATTGTGATAGGACCCGGATGGACATGGCGCTACAAAGTACATGAGGTATGTTTTAAAGGCACGTACGGCTGTGAGGATCCAGATTAGAATAGGTTGGACCACTCAAAGTCTTGGTAGGTTGGTTTGTTGTTTAACGCCGCACACAGCAATTTTTACAGCTATTCTTGTGCGGATAAGTAAACTTTGGTTAAAATCTACAATAATTTGGTTCATTTTTTTTGTTTCTTGTACGCTGCACCCAGCAATATTCCAGCTATATGGTCTGTAATTAATCGAGTTTGGACCAGATAATCCAGGGATCAACAGCATGAGCAACGACCTACACAACTGGGATGCGATGACGTGTCAACCAAGTCAGAGAGTCTGACCACCCGATCCCCTTAATCGCCAGTTACGACAAGTATGATTTACTGAAGACTAATTCTAATTCAAAATCTTGACATAACATACGGCTGAATCGATGGTCCCTTTTCAAAACTCCATCACTATCGCAAGCTAATGCTGAAGTATGGGGGTTAGGGTCACCTCAGCGCCAGTATTGCTTTGCGGAACGGGTGACTTGGCAGAATAGTTTTATGGTATTACCCAATGTCTATGGTGTTCGATATGGTAGAAACGTGTTAAAGATTTCGCCACAGGTCCGATTCATCATATGGTACAATGAGTGATGTGAGTGAGTGAGTGAGTTTTAGTTTAAACGCCGCTTTTAGCAATATTCCAGCAATACCACGGCGGGGGACACCAGAAATAGTCTTCACACATTGTGCCCATGTGGGGAATCGAACCCTGGTCTTCGGTGTGACGAGCGAACACTTTAACCACAAAACTACCGCACCGCCCCCTTGTGATATACCTGTAATATTGCTTAATGGCTTTAAAACAAACTCACTGATAAATCAGATTACTCTGCATTTCTTTATTGAAAACACTTTTACTTAAAACACCCGTGTGATAATATTTCATTCACTGTATCCCAACGCTATCATTAAATATCAGATAATAAGTGTTTATCCAAATCGCCCCATTGGAATAATTATGTGATTAGAATAAGCATGAGAAACATATCACGTTACTATCGATCGAGCTTGATCGAACATTTTGATCAGGCAACAATGGTTCAAACAGGTTACTGTCGGTACTTTGTTGTAATGAGACCTGAAAATATCAGAACATAAATCAGGACTGCATACCACACGAATCTTTATGGAAGTATCCGACCTTGTATCCAGGTCCACAGATAGGTATTGCGTCTCTCACTCGTGCTCTCGTTGCCCGGATCAGTCTGCCACCAGCTCGGAAGGCTGTTTTAGCTATTCGTCTAGCAATGGTTTTAAGTTTAAACGTCGAGGATCTCATGTTTGCAGCAAAGTCACGGTTATGGACGTTGGCATTTAGTACTACTACATCAAACATGATGTAGCTAGGTCGCTTTCTGTTCCTACTAGGTCGCTTTCTGTACCTTCCTCTATACTTTCTTCGACCATACCGGGCTTCACGCTTGCGAAGCCTCAGCCATTCTACGTCATCAATTTGGTCTCCACATTTGACCTTAACGTTCTCTACTGTACAGTGGTCTATGTTAGGACAGAGGCCATCGCTGAATACTACTTTCAGGAAGTTATCCTTTATTTCAGCATGAGCATCTTCACATGGACCCTGGAAATAATAGTACTCTGGCATACTCAATTTTTCGCCATGCTCACGCCCTGCCAACAGAAGAAAAGACCTGAATAAATGGAAAAGTGATACATAAGGACACACACTGATACAGGAGTTGCAAGAGCCATCGGCTGTAGCCGTCAGATACAGTCTGAGGACCCGTCTGCAGAACCAAACTGTAATTGCACTCCACGGGCCACGGATTACGAGGATTACAAAACAGTGGTATAATTTGTATATATACCAGATATATGAGATTGCGGATGAAGTAGACACAGTTGCAGAAATACAGAAAACTTAATGGGAGAGCTTAAATTGTTTTAAATACAACTGCAAAAAATTACTAAGATTTTTATGTATGCTAACTTCTTAGAATGAACGGATATAGAGTACATTGGATGATGGGTAAAATATGCTGACAAGTATCTGATTCTGCTTTGCCAACAATATAAGCCACACCTTAATACTCTGCTCAGGACGTATGAATATAGTTTTGCACATCACCAAACAAAACTAGATAAGTATATATAAGGTTGATCTCGTTAGCATTAACTTCAGTGTTTTACAGAGTTACATAGCATTACAAGATGGAACTTTTAAACAATAACAGAGGTGGTCAAAAACTGTGATGGATTGCTATGATGGATATATGTATACTAAAAATGTTTCAAGAAAGTTCTACATTCATTTGAAATGTTCCCAAACAAGAGGGTTTGGTTGTTTCATTAACCACGGATGTTTCTATTGAACTGTGATAAGTAAAAGTGAACATAACCACATTAGTGATGAAAACAAAGTGCAAGCAGCAAAACTCAAAACTACCATGAAGGATCATGATACAGCTACCAGAGGTAAACTATCCCAGATCATTGCTGACAATGTAGTTAATGTGCCCTTAGCTTTAGCATCTCTGCCTTGTGAAGATGCCAAAGATGGGATGAGTGTCTTGCAGTCTCAGTGCCCTGATGAACTGCAAGACTTGGTAGCTTACTTCACTTCCACATATGTATCTGGAAGCTTTCGAACCATTCAAATTCCAGGTACCATAGGAGAGGAACATCTATCATTGTGATTACGAAGGGTAGCACATGTTTCCACCAGAAGTTTGGAATGTTCATAGTCACCGTTGAAGATCGTCATTGTACGAACAACAGCTGTGAGGCATGGAACCATGGGGTTCGTGAAATGATTAGTCATGATTAACCATCTCTTTGGGTGGCAGTTGAATCAATTCAAAAGGACCAAGCTTTGGTATCTACAGCGTTACTCCGGATGACCCAAGGCCTGCCACCACGAAAGAGAATGTGAATTCCAACTGTGACTCTTCAAAACAGACTGTAACAACTATGTATTGACTACATCAGCAAAGAAAAAACAATGGAAGAATTTCTGAAGTCTGTTGGTGCCACTATTAGACTGAACTAAAATGGTTAGATTTATTAGAATGAACTAAAACTGTTAAAGTGCTATTCAGTGTGCTATGTGATATGCTGTTTCTGTGCAGTCTATTGGATAAACGCTATTCATTATTTACTCTCTCAGTGAGCTATATTATGAGCTGTTTCTGTGTAGTTGAATAAACGCTATTCATTATTTACTCTCTCAGTGAGCTATATTATGAGCTGTTTCTGTGTAGTCTATTGATAAACGCTATTCATTATTTACTCTCTCAGTGAGCTATATTATGAGCTGTTTCTGTGTAGTCTATTGGATAAACGCTATTCATTATTTACTCTCTCAGTGAGCTATATTATGAGCTGTTTCTGTGTAGTCTATTGGATAAACGCTATTCATTATTTACTCTCTCAGTGAGCTATATTATGAGCTGTTTCTGTGTAGTTCAATAAACGCTATTCATTATTTACTCTATCAATGTTCTATATTGTATGCTGTTTCTGTGTAGTTCAATAAACGCTTTTTATCTTTGACTCTAACAATGTGTTATATTTTACGCTGCTCGTTATTTACTCTCTCAGTGAGCTATATTATGAGCTGTTTCTGTGTAGTTCAATAAACGCTATTCATTTTTTACTCTATCAATGTTCTATATTGTATGCTGTTTCTGTGTAGTTCAATAAACGCTTTTTATCTTTGACTCTAACAATGTGTTATATTATACGCTGCTCGTTATTTACTCTCTCAGTGAGCTATATTATTAGCTGTTTCTGTGTAGTTCAGTAAACGTTATTCATTTTTTACTATAACAATGTGCTATATTATATGCTTCTTCTGTGTAGTTCAATATACGGTATTGATTATTTACTCTATCAGTGTGCTATATAATATGTTGTATCTGTGTTATGCAATAAATTAATATTATCATGTTGAGAAAAATATTGATGTTGTGGGCAAAATTCCTCCCTGTAAAACATGTGGTGGGCAGAGTTCCTGTAGATAAAGTTCTGGGGGCAAAGTTCCCTGTGGGCAAAGTTCTATACACCGCCAATTTCAACTGGATGGTTTGATAATGGAAACTGCAATAAAGGCATTCTAATTCCCCCATAAATAGGTTAATGTTCAAAGGATAGGTAATCATTTATATTCTTATAATTTCGTGCTTTGAAGTTTACACAGATTCCTGAACGTTGGTTGGTTGAGAGAGCGGTCATGTGATCTAAAATTCAAGGTTTGAACTCGCTCGTTCACACGAGTTTGAACAACGCTTTGACATCGTTCATTTTTCAGTGCAAACACACAAACTGACATTCAATTCTTAAATATAGGTATGATGTATACTTTCTCATTGTTGTATTTTCAGTTTAGGTTTGACGTAAGCATTGCAAAATTTTAGAATTAATCTATAATTTAGGCCTAATCAATTGATGTAGGGTTACAAGGGTTTATTGTACTTAGTCACAATGTAGGTCTACTGTGTATAGGCCTTATACCGTATGTTTATACCTCTGAGGTTAGATTTTTAAGGCTACAAAACAACTTACCATTGAACATTTTTAGTCCCCATCTTGTATTTTTCATTGTCGACTGGCTGTGGAGTTGTTGTTCAAGGCTTTGAAGTTTTTCTTCCGAAGAAATTACAAATCTTGATGTGGATGTGGCCTTTTGAGGACCGATTTTGTCATCAGTGGTCACGGGCGTTTCCATTTTTATGATCTGGTCATTTAATATCGAATCCGCAGATGTGTGGACAGGTCCCCGCATCAGTCATCTCGAAAATAGTTGCTCAAGATTCACATCTTGCAAAAAATCCATATCCACAATATTTGCGGTGCCAATAGAAAAATTGCCGTAGTCGACGCCGATGTTGTCAGCCATGACTTTGCAGTAGCAGACGACAAACGAGCGAAAAACATTGTTTTTTAATAAAGAAATATTAAAAATATCATTTTATTTGATTTATGAACTTTGTTATATACAAGAACAACTAAGTGATATGTAGAAATTAAAAGGAGTGTGAATACAAATAATTGTTATTTTGTTTACGTGAAGCTGGACAGAGAGTATCCTGGGAAAACCCGGAAAGTAGTTCCGGCAAAAGTGCACATGACCTAGATCAGCTGGAAAACGTTCACACACGTATGAACGATTTGAAGGGTTCAAGAGATATGAACCTTGAATTTTAGATCACATGACCGCTCTCTCAACCAACCAACGTTCAGGAATCTGTGTAAACTTCAAAGCACGAAATTATATATATATGGTTACATCGAAAATGAATTTCTCAACTAACTTTGGGAAACCAACTGCAAACTTTATGCTGATGAATTGCAGGAGGATCATGCAACACATTGCTAAAAGCATGTGCAAATATCGTGCATGTGAACAGCTGCGTTTTGATGTAAAGTTTTGTTAAGAATTTGCCAATTTTCACTGAACTTCATCATTTACTAAACTCATGACAATAATCTTTTCAACGTTACCAATTTCTTTTACAATACATCGGTTCATGTGTAAACAGTGCCTTTAAACAGAATGGAATATTTTGCAAAATCTAGTATAAAACAGGTGACTGACGTAAGTGGCTACATTTACACCAGTGAGTCTAAACTTTTGACGGGTAGCATATGTTTAACCGTACACTCATATGATCTAATTTGACTTTGGAAAGGTGAAACGGTGTATTAGAACGACAAACATGTTTTGGAAGCTTGATGAACCAGTTGCTTGGGGCGTGCTCAGGGTCAAGACTTTTTTAATCAATACAATCATGCCACAGTCCGATGAAAGCAGTGTGATACACGTCCATTTTCACAATTCTTGGAGGTTAGGGAATCTGGTACCGGTAAGCTGGGCTCTGTCTAGCATATCGCTAGTTGGCGCCCGCAAAGGGAGCCGGGAACAAGCTTAGTGCCGGAAGTCACGCCTCTGAGGCGAGACTTACAAGCCCTATAGATCTGGATCAGTGTCCCTTTAAGACAAACGCAAATGAAGATGTAGATTAAGATGCAAATGAAGTTGTAGATTAAGATGCAAATGAAGATGCAAGTGAAGAGGCATATGAATAATAACTTACAACTGCAGTCAGGAACGGTATCTGGATACCAGACTCCCGAGTCCATGCCACAAATATACTTGCGTTCGAACGTGGCAGTATACGGAATGTCATACCCTTCCTCACACTGCAGCTGGCACAGAGCGCCCTTTACCCAAGTGTCACACACCATTCCGCCATTGTTTGGAGCACGAAGGGATGTACAGTTGTGTACTGAAACATAGGTTTAGAAATGCTCGGTTATGTAAAAGCAATATCAACAATCTGGCAGATATATACTCATAGAAACGAATAAAGAACACATGAAAGTACAAGTGTTCCTGTATTCTTTTCCAGATTTCTTCACAGGGTATGTATTGCACTGTGAGTGGAGTTCTGAAATAAATAAAGGAACACTTGTACTTGCATGTGTTCCCTTATTCGTTTCTATGAGTATACATGTATGTTACTATAGATTTGAACCAGATAACACCCGTGAAGAATTGGTCTTAGGCACCCCATGCTTATCGGAAAATAGGGCTAACGGGATCGTGTGGTCAGGTTCGCTGACTTTGTTTACAGATGCCATTGTTTCCCAATCGATGCTCATTCTGTTGATCACTAGTTTGTCTTGTCAAGACTCGATTATTTACAGACCGCCGCCATATAGCAGGGATACTGCTGAGTGCGGCTTTAAACAAGAAAGTCAACAAATGAACCAAATTACTGTAGATTTGAACCAAAGTCACAGTGTACAATCATTTTTCCCCACTAGGAACAAATATTTGTGGTAATATACAACGAAAACACTAACGGGAAAATAAGATACTCACCACGACAAGACGGTTTGTATGTATCCACATCTGTCCCATTATCCCAAGCCCAATAGCCTTCCATGGTATTTCCTTTCAATGTGCACGTGATGTACTGTTCGCCAATCAGCTCGAGGGACAGTTCACAAGTCAGAACACAAGATTTCCTAACTGACATGCCTTCATCACAACGCGAAGTTAGGTATTTGACTTTGAAATACGGATTCCTGCAGATAACACCTGTGAAACGAAAAATGTAATGTTAACATTGGTGCGCTATATGTCCTCGTGCAAAGAGGACACGCGGAGTATACCCCCTGATGAATAGATTGTAGGGAAAAACGTCCTCGGTAAAAAAGTACCGGAAAAAAGGATTACTTATTCATCAACTTTGAGCTCAAATATTTTAGAAAAACATTGATAACTCACACAAAGGGTTATTGAATAGATTAAATGATCTTTTATCTTTTTAATGACACTTATATAAACATGATGAACTCACATACAAAGGGTGATTAAAAAGACGTATTAGATATTTAGATAGGTCTTTGATCTTTTAAATGACATTTAGAAACATAAAGTACTTACATTTTTTGTCTTTTCAAAGGCATGAGTTGTAAGTTTCAAAGTGTCTTACATTTACACGAAGTACTTACATATTCGTGAGTATACACTAATATAGGATTTGTCTGCTTTACATTTGTTGTATGAATATGTCAATGAACGCTATGAAAAACTATCAAATACTTTTTATTCTTTTGTCAAAAATCTCCTTTTTCAAAATAGGACTTTTTCCGGAAGACTTTTTTTCGTAGGTAAATTTAGGACTTTTTTTCCGGTACTTTTTTGTCCGAGGACTTTTTTTACGCACAACGATCGATGAATAGCTTCTTCTGAATGTCTTTGTGCAGGACATTGATATGAAGAACACTCTAGCACTTTTAAACTTGAATCTTTATGCGTAACTACATTTGGATTCAGCATGAAAACAACCAATAATAAACATAATTGTTTCTAGACCAATATGGTTTGAGATTACAGATCCAGAATGATGTGTATGGACTATTGTCTTCCTATTACTTACAACAGACAGTTCAAACAGTTCGCCGTAATATTGCTGGAATATTGCTAAAAGCGTTGTAAAACTAAACTCACTCACTCATGACATAATAACTAACCATCAATGTGATCAAAACGGACGCATTTAAGACTTACTTTGCACAACCACGATGAAAACACATGGTTCCGCTTGGTTCTGGCTGGAATCTTTGGCTGTGAATTTGACCAAGGTAGATCCAAGTTCAAACATACCCTCGCCCGGCATTGCTTTCGCCATGTTCGTTAGTTTGATTTTCTCATTTGAATTATCCGATACGGTAATCGCTGGCCACTCCACTTTCGTCACGTTTTCACCGCTTGATGCTCTGATGATTATCTCGTTGGGGCAGTTGTTAATCTGCGGTGCTTTCGTATCTTCAAAGGAAAGTGCATTAATACATTATTAGTATATATTACTTTACGGGCATTGAGTGTCGGTAACAGAAAGAGCCTAATGATATTCGATTAAAACAATTAAACATAGAAACCATCAATGCACGAGGCTTCTGCTTGCATGCATCATTGGTATTACAGGATTTACTACTGCTTCCACATAAACCAAATTTTTGCATTGCTGGGAAGCGGCAACTAATGTTTTCGGTTGTTTTTTTCAAAATGGCCGCCATGACGGACATATTGCAATCATGACCAGGACCTATTATACAAGCTCGAGGTGTATCGTGGAAATACGCATGTGCCGTTACAACTTCATCTGTTTCATAGTGATGATGAAAGTGAGGACGTACAACGGACCACCACAATGTAACATTACTTGACCTTTAGAAACGTGCGTTTAAGACCAAGCAACCTGTCTGTTTTTCGTTCGCTTACCAGATGAGCAAAGCATTCATCTGAGCATGTTAAGATGATACCCATCACTTTCATTTTTCGATTTTAGACAGGGTCAAAATTTTGACATCGTCAAAATCAAAACATCCATGCTCTCACAGAACAGGTGTGCATAAGAACAGCTGTGTCACTAAGATTATAGTCGTACGTAATAATGAACAAGAACATTAAGTGCTGAAGAGAATAATTAACTGACGTTTCTAAGAATACTTGAGACATCGATGGCTAAATAACTTGTGATAAGAATACAGTGAAATAACAAGGTTTGGTTTGAATATAACTTTTCAATAAACTTCAGCATTGTATAATAAGGTCGCTTCTTCGTTTATGCATCATTATATAAAGTAAAACTAACTGAACATAGATCATACTATTCATAATACATTTACATTCAGATACATTCGACTGCAGTTCATTTCACACAAAACTACCCATGTTGTAAAAGTTCAGAAACATGGTCGGTGTACTGTTGGTCACCTAAACGGTTTTCAATCAAATCGTCCTCCAGGGACCTCCGCATCCGCCTCTTTCTGGTTGGTTCACGTTCTTTCTGCAACAGTCGTGAACCTTCGTAGATGTTTGGGTGGCTTTTCTTCGCGAGTTTGTTTACCTTGTGATGCCACCCTTCCATGTGGTTATTGGTGCGGTGGTAGTCTGTCTCACAGTCCCTGAAGCGCATTAGTTTCCCTACTGCCAAGCCCCCTCTGCAATGCTAAAGCCCTAAATGAAGCAAGTCAAGATTTCCTCAAGTTCTGAATCTCTAGACTCCCTGGGGCTCCTTTTCAGTTTATATGGGTTGTTTGTTACTATCAAAATTATATATATTCAGAGACTAAGCGTTAGTCTAGTGTCGAGGCTGTTATTCTGAAAGTGATTCCATATTGACTGATGCCTCGGAGCCTCGAGCCCTCAATCCAAGTCGTCGCCACATAGTTCATCAGCTGCGTCGCCTTCTCTCTATCTCCACTATCCCCTGGCACTAGAGGGAGACTCCGTTTCATGTTTTCCAATGTCAACTTTTGCAGTAACGACTCCAGAACCGCTGTCATCAACTCTTACAGAATCACCAATTTTGATAATGGGGCAGCCATGTTTGTTTACAAACTCGCCCACGCAATGGAAAATCCCCTGTAAACTCGCTTCGACATCATCAATGAAATATTAAACATTTTAGGATTCCCATGTCGGCCATGGAGTTTTGGGAAGGTAGTTCGTGTATTGACCCAATTTGCATATTTATCCGCTTTGGATACCAAGTTTATCAGATTACTTTATTGCACCGATAACACCCTCCATTACATGATAATCATATCAAATCTTTATTTCTAGTACAAAAACACCTCATCGGTGCAGACATGAAATATAATGATAACAATGAAAGCATGTATAAGATATACAATCTTTATATGACAAAATTGATTTCCTTTTTTCGAATGCACAAAACAGATATTTAGCAGTATTCAAGGAAATGTCTTCATTTTTGGATGATAACAACGAATTGAATTTTTGTATATTGGGGAAGACATAGAATTGCAACAAAAGATATTTACGTCTTAATTCAATGTAGGCTGGACAGATAAGTAAGAAGTGATATTTATTTTCAATTACGTTTAAGTTACACATTTTGCATGTTCTTTGTTCCCGGGGAATGTTATAGTAACGACCTCTTTCAATGTCTACACTATGGGAACTTAACCTAAATCGTGATAAACAAGATCTATATTTGGATACAGTAATGTGAGTTAAGTATGTTTCAAGAGAAATCGTTAATTTAAAATTACAATACGTAAACATTTTAAACATGATAAATTAACTTACCTTCACACTTTGCATGGGACGGCAGCCACCGTTGGCTAATACTACATACAGAGGGACCTTGAGGGTTTGGCGTGTAGCCCTCCCGTGCGCACTGTAGAAATCTTAACGAACCGATATCTGTGCCATCCGGGTATTTGAATTCTCCCCTGTCGGGATTTAGGGACTTGGCACATCGTTTGGCTATAAACAGAAGTAAACCATAGCTTTGGAGTGAGTGAGTTTACTTTTACGCCGCAATATTCCAGCTATATGGCGGCGGTCTGTAAATAATCGAGTTTGGACCAGGCAATCCAGTGATCAACAGCATAAGCATCAATCTATGCAACAGGGATACGATGACATGTGTCAACCAAGTCAGGAGCCTGACCACCCGATCCCGTTAGTCGTCTCTTACTATAAGTGTTATAGGGGGACTAATTCTGGATAGCCGAGTCGTCCAAATATTTAAAAACTAAAACCTATGTACTCAAGACATGCGAGACTTTATTGTAATTATTTATATGACGCTAATCTGTATTCTATGTAATCCTTATCACTTCCGCATTGTACATTGACTTGTCAGGCAATTTATTACTGTATATGACATTTATAACCTAATTGGTCATTCCCATTGGCCGTGTCTGCCATCGCATCAACTGGTCAAGGAAGTGCTGTTGTTTTTTCTATCTGTCCATTGTTGAGTCTTCGCCTGTCCATTGTTGTCATAAACTGTATATATACTTAGTATGCTTACATCTATACTCTGAAGGAAAACAACGATTCCGGTTTTCCGACGGTCTGTTTAGGGTCGACCGCGAGCAGGATAATGCCGCTCGTAGGAGACGCCCTGGGGTTGAGCAGGAACTCCGCTCACCTCATTTATGTCTTGTGTATTTGTTTGTCATGTAACTAAAGAAGTTTGAACTCAACGTCTTCCCTCGTCTTGTCAACGTGTTGTACGTACACGTCATCTTAATCGTGAGCTAATTCCCCAGTTGACGCATAACCACGCATTGAAATAAGCATGGATTACTGAAGATCAGTTCTAACCCGGATCTTCACGGGTACACAGAATGTTACATATCACATTTTGCAGTTCATGCAGATCACCTGAATCGACATGGATGGAATCCATTTTGAGATCTGGTCCATTAGTTTAACAAGCAATCACAAATCAGAAATTTATGCAAACAAATAACAGATACACGTTACACAGAAATTATGATTATTATAATGGATTATGTACATAATTCATAAATACTGCACACATTTGTTTGTGTGTGTGCTTATCCTATGTAAAAAGACAATCAAAACGTATATACCAGTACAAGTTGGAGGTGTGCCCTTCCAATTGCCATCTTCGTTGCAGGTTACGCTGCTACCTCCTTTACGAATGAAACGGTCAGAACATGTGTAATGACATGTACTCCCAGACCTGTGGCCATCAGAACAAGTACGGAAACCATTGGGAAGCCCCGGTGGCACTTTGCAAAATACCTCTGAAATGTAACTATGGTCCATTAGATGCAAGTCTAGTCTAACTTTTGACAAATATTGTTGGGTGCCTTTAAAATCGGGGTTTTGGTCACTGTGTTATAATGTATGTCGTCAGTATGGTCAAATTCAAATCTTCCATACTTCGTTTTCAAATTTCCTTTGAAAAGTGCAGGTAAGAATTGAAAGCATGTTATTTATGATTACAACCGATCCTGAGAACATTCAGATTCCTGATAAGATGCATGTATGAGTATGTCTTGAAACTATGGAAACGAAGCTACAACATATTGCTTACCTTTCTTCAGAAACGTCATTGAACACGAATCGGCGTGCACATTCACAACTGAAAACAAGTATAACTGATTATAAGGGAATACGTAATGACAGACAGGTAGCTGGTCATATCCGGTTATTGTATTTCTGTTGAAATATACTCTTCCAAAAACGTAGGGGAACCTGAACTTTCAATTTGGATAGGAAGTATAAGCATTAACAAAGCTGAAACGTTTCAAAGAGAGGCATCTTATGACCGCACTACCATTTCTCTTTAGCACCACCCCTAAACACAACGATGCACGTGCACAACGCAGTAGCCCTTACACGTGCATGGGGTGTCATTCTTGATTTTGACGGTTTTCAAGAAGGTCGATATATCACTGTAGACCATTAATTTTGACAACCATCTTGCATCACACAGTAGTTAGTGTTTGTTTCTAGCCGGACTGTTTTGGTTTGAAAATGAAAATTCACTTCATACACCAATCATCTTTCAAGAGCGATTACTGTACAAACAACTATGGTCATAAGGAAGTGCAAGTGGTGATGCACTCTCAAAACATTCATTATTATATCAACATTGATTGACTCCGACATATCTCCCAATCTTTTCAATAATAAATTATAAAATGAAGTTCCCCATACTGTTTTTGAAGAGTATATTATAAAACACACATGAAATAGTAAGTGATTAGAAACGTTTTTGAAGTAAATGAGTACAAATGAAACCATCCTCATTTTGCTTTTGATGGTCAAAATAACAGCATACTTTCCAAGAGTACAATATTTCAAGTTCGCTTCAGTGTATTTACGTGGTTGAACATTTGACATGTGGATGTCGCTCAGTGATGTAAAGCGCCTAAAGTCACAGAGTTGCGTTCCAGTTCAACATTGGTTACCATCGATTGTTTTACAAAGTCGGTAACATATAGTCCTTTCATTTATGTCTCCCACCCGTGAAGATCCGGGTTGGAGTCGGTCTTAGGCAACACATGATGTAAGAGGCGACTAACGGGATCGGGTGGTCAGGCTCGCTGACTTGGTTGACACATGTCATTGGTTCCCTGTTGCATAGATCAATGCTCATGCTGTTGGTTACTGGATTTCCTGGTCCAGACTCAATTATTTACAGACTGTCGCCATATAGCTGGAATACTGCTGAGTGCGACGTAACCAACAAACAAACAACCATTTATGTCTCCCTGAATACAGTGCATGGAAATGTGTACATTTAAAGAACAATTCATTAACCCTCTAAAGGTTTACGGATTCGAAAAATATATAGCAGGTTTTTCGATTCCCATACACAGATTACATTTCCTGGAAGGAAGCAATAACATAGGTATATCATTCCAGTGGAAGAATTTACCAATGGGAATTCATCCTTTGTTACATACATGTACACAAATGTGTTAATTCGAAGTATCTCACTTGCTGTGTTGGTTAGCTCAGAGTTGATATAACTATTTTAATCACATGTCAAATGGTGTTAGCAAAACTTCCCAACTCGGAGAATGCATTCCATGGTACATATTGCAGATGATGTCATTACATATGGTGTAGTAATCACCACAGATACTGTTAGACACAGTATGATCGGTAATGAAGTTACACTGTGCTTCAGTAACTATGTATTTTAAAAACCACCACTGTGTAACTAAGGTAGCTATTGGAACTTCTATTGTTGATGTACACACCACTGATCATGAATACAATACGCCTTCCCAAACTAGAAGAACGTCTTTACTAATGTGTTACGCGAGTGACTAGAAGTACAGCGATTTCTGTTTCAAACTGTGCTGCTTTTACCATGTTTGCCCAAACCGGAAGTGATGACATGAAAGAGAAAATGAAGTAAAATGTTATACAAAACGTTGTCAGTTATTCAAAGTATTACATGACCAGCCTGGGTTGGCAGCACTAGGGAGGTGTTGTTTTTTTAAAGGGTCACTGCACGGGGCATATGTTTTTGAACCCGGGAGTAATGTCGTTAAAATGGAAATGCATATGAGAGTGTAGAAAGTAACTAGGTGCAACCGGAAGTGATACCAGTTGTGCGGAAATCCCTGTACCTGTTATAAGTAAATGCTTCATCTGACGGTAATATGGCTCAGCTTTTAGAAACGATACACGCCGGTAAGGTCACCAGATTTGGTAATGTCAAAACGGTTCTTGACACGCAAGTCTGGTGGGAAAGTGTTGGATATTGTGGACGTGAGGCTGTTTCTATTTCTGATTGAAACACATGATCATTGGTGTTGAAAGAAACTTTATACTCACATTTGCGGTTGCTGTTGTCGATGCATTTTCGACACCTTCCTGAGTTGCATTCGACTGTTCTAGTGTTTCGGGAGATGTATTCAGGGAACATGTTACATCACAACATTTGTTCGGATCATCTTTCTTGATATACCTTGGATATAAACAAGGTTAGGTTACGGTGTAAACCCATTACACATTATTCATAAAGTATACCAAATGGATATAGTGATATGGGTTGACCTCCATGGAAGGTAGTGAAAATCGTTGAAAATCATGTGCAAAATCATTTAATAAGTACAGATGATGTGTAAAGTATTCGTCATCTACAATGGCAGTTATATCTGTCTAACGAAATACTGCGATATTAATTCACCCAATGAACCACTGTGTCAGTAATTGCTGCGATTGTGGATGAGAAGACGAAGTAATATAGGTTATCACGCGAGTGTGTTTTGGGATGGTTAATATCCGGCATTAGGATTAATCATTGTATTTAGGGACTGTTCATAATTTATGGCTGGAGGGGGTGATGATGATTTTAAGGGGGGTCACCCATTTTGTTCTGGGGAGAGGGGGTTGGGGTCATCAGTTTCGTACACATGTACTAAGAGGGGTTCAGCAATTTTGTGTGTAAAAGTATTTTAAGATTATGCTTAGAAATTATGGGAAGGGGGAGGGGGGGGGGCTAATTGATTTTGCACATGGTACGCAAGGGGGGTCACTTACGTTGTACGTAAATTTTAGAGGGGGGTCATTCACATTGTACATGCTTCTGCATAAAAGTCATCATCACCCCCCTTGCCATAAATTATGAACGGTCCCTTGGCAAGCCTTGTTTATGCCTAAAGCAGGATGTTAACAATCCAAAAACACACGAGTGTGATCATTCTCACTTTATAATTTTAATTTACTGAATGCGATTTCAATTGCCACAAGTTATGAAACTAAACTTGGAATGTGATATCCATGACGTCACAAATGTATGCGTAGTAATAGGCATACGTTACGTCACAGGCTCGGTGACACAATTTTCTACTGATCACTCAATTGACTGCGGTAGGTCATCTAGTTCCCAGTAAGATTTTATGTTAAAACACGTGTCTACAGATCCTAGCTTCCGTTTGAAAATGAACAACAAAGGTGTGTGGAACTTAAGAAACCTTCAATTAACTTTTTGAACAGATGCAGAATGTTCGAGTGACATTCTGCACCTGGATTCCTGCTCGCTAACACTGACATTCAGTCGGGGATCTGGTGTTGGTATCTTCGTAAGCCCATGAATTTCTATCTTCGCTTCGTAATTCACTCCAATCATGATTACCACACATGAATTTTCTTTATCAAAGCACTGACAGTACCGTAACCACGGCCATCAATCCGGACACGATCGCCGATAGATGGGCGTGACGCCATGTTTGCTTACACTGTGAAAGAAGTCCCTAAAAATGTGCATATGACCTCTCTAATTTGCAGCGTCTTACAGCTGCAGAGCGGGAACGAGCTATCGGAATGGTCCAGATCGGGGCCACCCACGCCCTCATTGCACAAATCTTCGGTTGCTCACGTGTTGCTGTAACCAACTTGATGCAACGTTTCCGACAGACTGAGCAGACCTCATACAGACCAACATACGAAGACCGGTATCTGCGCATCTTCACCTCCGAAACCGATTCCTCACAGTGACGTCATCAGCGACGAATGCCTTAGGTCATCAAGTCAGTTGGCAGACTGTCAGCAGGCGACTCCGGGCTCGAGGTATTAGAGCATTACGACCACTACGAGGACAGTTACTGACCGCTGAACATCTTCGTCGGAGACTGACATGGGTCCGAACTGTACGTCGTTGGCAGTGACGTGACTGGCAGAGGGTCGTCTTCAGTGACGCGAGCAGGTTCGCCTTGTTCAGGGCTGATGGATATTTGTAAAGTTTGTAATGGCCGTTAGTATAATATGTAAGTGATATTTGGCATTTTGAAGTCGTTAGTATGCATGATGAACTGCGATTAAAGATATCCAGATCTTCACCTGAAAATCGGAGCGGTGGGGTAACCTTGTGGTAAAGGCGTTTGATTCCCGGGTTCGATTCCCCACATGGGTACAGTGTGTGAAGCCCATTTCTAGTGTCCCCCGTCGTGATATTGCTGGAATATTGCTAAAAGTGGCCTAAAGGTAAACTCACTCACTCACTCACTCATCTGGTAAGCTGTAGAGGAACAAGTTTATATGGATTGACAGCAGAACTGTTTTCCATAGAAAGTTTGTATTTCGAACTGTTTTCAACACCTGATACCCCCTCCAGCCTGTTCACTAGTTCATAGCCTATAGTGTGTATTCAGTGTATAGGATTCAAGTTACAGAAACATGGTTGTACTCACCTTTTATATTTCGACTCCAACAAGCTTACTGTTGGAGTGTCATACTTTATGTCGGCTAAAGTGCGCCATGTGTCAGAACGAAAAGGACAGTCGAGCTTCAAGGTAATGTCAATGGGCTCTCTTGGTTCTGAAATAGATAGCCGGACATTTACACAATGCCGATTCTAGCAGAGGTATCAAATCCCAATAACAAACTCTGATTGAAACAGCTTATTTGACGGTTGCAGCATGTTTATTTGTTACAAATGTAGAGTTACGCTTAGTACGATATGTGTGGTAAGCCTGGGAATACATGATACGGCTTCATACAGCAAACATAAGTTTGACAACAAAGGTTGAAAGAGTCGTCACTTGCTTTAGCATGACGTCTTCGATGATGGCCTTGTCCTATCAGCTTGTAAGGAAAGCAATAAATTAATGTCTGTTCTTTTTTAGAAAATGGGGAGAAAATGATGAGGCCATCCCAAAATGTCCAGAAATACGAATGAACTGTAGGAACTGAGGGCTGAAAGCGGATGTTTCCAACTGGGTTGGTTGGTTGGTTTGTTGTTTAACGCCGTCACTCAGCAATATTCCAGCTATATGGCGGCGGTTTGTAAATAATCGAGTCTGGACCAGACAATCAAGTGATCAACAGCATAAACATCGATCTATGCAATAGGGATACGATGAATAATGAAGACTGCTTACTTTAAATGTTGATTTTGTAGGTCAAAGTATTTAAAACTAGGACACAAATTGCCCCCAGAGCATACCAGCTGTTGAGGAACTGACTTTCATACTAAAACATCTCTGTACGGGAATAAAATAATTCAGAATATTGTAAGTATAATATTTGCAATATCCCAGCTATATGGCGGCGGTCTAAATAATCGAGCCTGGACCAGATAATCTAGTGATCAACAGCATGAGTATCGATCTATGCAACTTGGATACGATGAATAATGAAGACTGCTTACTTTAAATGTTGATTTTGTAGGTCAAAGTACTTAAAACTAGGACACAAATTGCCCCCAGAGCATACCAGCTGTTGAGGAACTGACTTTCATACTAAAACATCTCTGTACGGGAATAAAATAATTCAGAATATTGTAAGTATAATATTTGCAATATCCCAGCTATATGGCGGCGGTCTAAATAATCGAGCCTGGACCAGATAATCTAGTGATCAACAGCATGAGTATCGATCTATGCAACTTGGATACGATGATATGTGTAACCCAAGTCAACGAGCCAGATCCATCCGATCCCGTTAACCGCCTCTTACGACAAGCACCGGTTGCTGAAGACCAATTTTATTCCGCATCTTTACGGGTAGGGTGCCAATGTAACATATAGTCACTGTATACACTATGAATTTATAACAAGCATTTCTATCACATCGGAAACGGCACCAGAAGTGAGTCAATTCATCTGAAGTCAGTATTCAAAGGTGTCACGTGATCAACTCTTTGGCAGCCATCCAAGTTTGCTAGACCTGATGAGGTAGCTATATTTTTTTGACGATATAACTGTCGTTTTCATTTCGTTTGGTATGAATGTAAGAGGGCGTCTCGGTGATTTCCCTTTTGTCTGCAGTCTTGAATATATCTGATTAAACAAGTAATACAGAAATTCATCAAGTAAGTGGTATGTCAATCATGAACCTCAAACTTCGCTATGAAAGCATTCAAGATTATTTTCAAGATAATTAAAATGAACTCTTGCACACTGGTGACAAGAAACTGCAGTGTAATCAAGGTGTCAATCGATGTGCAGGCTTGGTTTAAGTCCAGGGCAGTTATTCAGTAAAATGAAGGACCTCGTGAGACGAATAGACTGAGCTAAGAAATTTCTGTTGCGACACCTTCCAGGCCATTTTAACTGAAACACAGCTCCGTGAGATAGGTGTCAGGGGACGTATTTTTACTATTTTAGGCCCTGTCGCGAACTTCGCTGTGTCCGCTTTCCATGCTATATCAATCGGTAAGGATGCGAGGGTAGACTTCTCACAATGTAGACATACCTTCTACATCTACATCTGATCTGTGATTCTTTTGGCAGCCCCAGCAGGAATCAGATAATGCTGAAAGAAAGATATGAAACATGGAGATAGTTAAGCTGACAAAACGATTGTATTATTATGTCATATGTGTGCTGCAGTAACATGCAAGCCTGTGATAATTACACTGATACGCTGACCGGCCTCTCGGGTGTCGAACCCGTGAAGATCCGGGTTAGAATTGGTCTTCAGTAACCCATGCTTGTTTAAAAAGCGACTAGGGGAATTGGGTAGTCAGGTTTGCTGATTTTGTTGACACATATCATCGAATCCCAATTGTGTAGATCGATGCTCATGCTGTTGATCACTGGATTGTCTGGTCCAGACTCGATTATTTACAGACCGCCGTCATATAACTGGAATAGTGCGGCTTAAAACAACAACACAACCAAGCAACTCTAGAGTGTCGACTGGTGTATACACGTCGGTTGGTTTGGTTTGGTTTGGTTTGAGTGTAACACAGCTGTGAGGGGAGGTGGGGTAACCAAAGTGATTTGTGCGTTCGCTCATCACGCCGAAGGCCCGGGTTCGAACCCCCACATGTATACAGTGGGTGAAGCCCATTGCTGGTGTCCCCGCTGGAATATTGCTAAAAGCGGCGTTAAGACTGCTTTGAAAACTGTTTCAGATTAACAGTATGTGAGACGAAGGGTGTTAATAAACAACCCTGGTTTCGTACTGACGACCAATCAGAACGGTGGCTAATCTTAGATGTAAAAGACTCAGGATTTATTCATTCCACTGGGACATCCATGAGCCGCAGTTTAACATTGTCCCTCTTCAATGTCGCCATTTACCTCAGACATTGAAGTGGAGTTAGTAGGATTACAAATGAACAACTTCATCATTATACTTACCAAACAGAAGTAGAAGATAACGTAAATACATGTTGCCCTTCGCAGTCTCAAGCTCTGAAAGATAGGGCCAGAGTGAAACATATTTATGCATGTTATAAAGCATGTTCTTATTACTATAATTACGTACTGTAAGAGTACCTTGAATGGGCACATCCAAACCAAATTCCCATATGAACATGTGCATAGGTATAGATTCACAACAAAATTGAAATTCATTTTGGTTTCATTCAGGCTATACAAATATGCCTTTAATATTTTTGAGGACGGCGAAATAAATACTTACATATATGTGGAACTAACATCAAAACAATCACGTCCGTCAAACTGACTTTGTGACATCGTTTTTCTTAATCATCTTCAAGATAACCCATGTTGATATAATCGTAATTGCACCCAAAAGAACATGTTTGCTTGTGCCTCAATGCAGACAAGTTCTGAAAATGTTACCAGTGCCACTGCCATTCATATTTCGTATTTGTTTTGATGCCAGCATCCACGAGGCAGTAGCAAATGGTGGAATGTCTAACGGGTCATTAAGGCCCAAGGCCAAGGTACAGCTAATATAATGAAGTATTTTAAAATTTTACAGTGTCAGTTTGTGGCATGTTTAATGTAAGTTGCTAAATGTTTAAGATGACTTACATCGGAGGACTGCAACACTGTTATCGCTCAGAGTCTGATCAAGGGGGTCATAGGAATCAGAAATTTGCTTTTGTTCTTCATAAAGTGTCTGTTGTGCAGTTTTTAGGGTTAAAGAGAAAAACTTGACAGCATTGTTCAATGTTGTATAGAATTATTCCTAATCCATCTTTAAGCCAACATGCGCAGCAGATTTAGACAGATGCTCTATTCGAAGATTTCACCAGTTTTCATCATGAGAACTTAAAATATGATAAACAAAAGTTTGGATATCTTTGGACTCGAGCACCAAACTAGCTCTGTGTGAAACACTGAATTTGCTAAATAGGCGTGCATACTTTTTATGCACCAATTCGGGGAAACGAGAAGAAATTATTTATCCTATTTATCTTGATGGAACGTGGATAAATGCAAATCAAACGCCATCTTATCAGTGACACGACATTAGTCAAAACTCGTAAGATACCTCAAGGAAGTGAGTGAAGTTTTACGCCGCACTCAGCAATATTCCAGCTGTATGGCTGCGGTCTGTAAATAATCAAGCCTGGACCAGACAATCCGGTGCTCAACAGCATGACCATCGATCTACTCAGTTGTGTCAACCACGTCACCGAGCCTGACCACCCAATCCCGTTAGTCGCCTCTTACGACAAGCATGGGTTACTGAAGATCAGTTCTAACCTGGGTCGCCAAGTCAGAAATTTCTGCATAACCAAATACCCGGATCTTCACGGGTCTGTAACCACAAGGGAAATGAGACTTATTATTGTAATGCGGTTCAAACTGGAATTTCTTACGACATTGCAAATTGTTTTCTTTCTTCGTAAATTAACACAACCAGACTGAAATGAACTATAAGGTATTTGCAGAATTTGCAAAGGTACAGCTTTCTCCTGCTTCCCCACATCCTTGATAATCTCCAGGGTATACGTTCCGATAAATCTCGGAAAGTATACCTGGAGATAATCGAGGATGGCTTCCCCAGAGTTCGGTTGTAATGGACACCATATGTTTGGGACCCACATGAAGATAGGTCCAGCCTTGGCTTTGAAAAAAGCCAAAATGACCTCATGGTTGTCAAGGCAAGGTGTAGTGTACTCAAGAAGGGGCACTAGAACTCTTTGAAATCATACAACAAACATCCTGAAATGTACTTAATAGACACAATTTTGAAGAATCATGGACAAGCAGTCTTGGGTCTGCTCCCATACCATTATGACCTGGGGTTCTTTTCACGAAGCAGTGTTTACTAAGGTTAACCTTAACTCCCATTCTTTTACATTGCACTAAGGTTACCGCAGTGACTTACGATCACCTTAGTGCTTTGTGAAAGGAGGCCCTGAACCCGATAGAACTCATCCAGGGTAATTTGAAAGATCAGTACCAAAAAATATTTCACTCGAACTGCAAGATGTTAAAAATCATTGTAAAAGAAGAACTATCAGTTGTTATACCGCATCTGAGTTATCATTGCAGAGATCCTGTAGTTAACGTAGAAAGCAATATTGGTTCAAAGGTGATCTACATAGAACACGTGTCAGCCAACATGTAGTCAGCCCAGCCCAGGATGACGACACAGTAAATATAACCCGTGAAGATCCAGGTTAGAATTGATCTTCTGTAGCCCATGCTTGTCGTAATAGGCGACTAACGGGACCGATGGTCAGGATCACTGACTTAGATTGATGTTCATGCTGTTGATCAGTATCCCAATTGCGTAGATTGATGTTCATGCTGTTGATCACGGGATTGTCTGGTCCAGACTCGATTATTTACAGACCGCCGCCATATAGCTGGAATATTGCTGAGTGCGGCGTAAAACTAAACTCACTCACTCACTTAAATGCTATTGAGGAACAGTTGTCTCAAGATGAGTGTTGAAAGTAAGAGCTTCTTCACTTTTGAGACGCTCCCTTTACATGTCAAACTGACATGACACACATTGTAAGCGTGACCTCAGGTCCTGCACGAGAATCACTTGTTTACATGCCCCGCCATGACATTCCCCCAGCTGCAACATCACCCTGAATATTGTCATCAAAGCAAACACAAAGCACGAGAGTTATATTTGTTTTTTCACAACTGTACGAGAGGCTTTTAAAAACTGGTTTCAATTCCGATAGGTGTAAATATACATCCATGAATTTGAACTAATTTGAAGATAATTTGTGGGAAAACTGTGGTCCAAAAGCAAATATTTTGATCTATTATATAGGATCCGAGAAATTTAAAAGCTATGTACTTATAGCAAGTATATCCTGTGTTATAGCTAGGATACAATCAAAGTAAGCCACAGTACAAGGGCCTATATGCTTTCTACACTATATCCTTACATCAGGTTTATCATCCTTGCATTTGTAGTCGAATTATTGAACATAATTGTTACTGATACCAAGTTAATCGGCTTAACTCTGTCACGAACGTATACATGTACTTACTGTTGGTGCTGTCCCATCTTCTTATGTAAGTGTTACTGATGAAACACTGCTGGCAGTTTGACATTGGCAGTTGATTATCAACAAGTATCAAGTATCTGTGGAGTCCATGTGGTTCCACTTACACTGTATAACAACACTAATGGGAAGTTTACTTTATCAAAGATCCGGGTTAGAATTTGTCTTCAGTAACACATCCTTGTCAAAAGAGGCGACTATCCGGATCGGGTGGTCAGTCTCGCTGACCTGGTTAACACATGTCATTCTATTTCAATTGTGTAGATCGATGCTAATGTTGTTGATCACTGGATTGTCTGACTCGATTATTTATAGACCGCAGCCATATAACTGGAATAATGCTGAGTGCGGCGTAAAACCACTTGGGTACCCAACCTCCCGCCGAAAAGAGGAGGGAGGAATCGTGGCATCTGGGTCACAACATCCAGTCTACCAACAGATTGACACCGAAGACGCTGGTTCGATTCCTCACATAGTAGCACATATGTGTGAAGCCTATTCCTGGTGGAATGTTGCTAAAAGCGGCGTAAAAATAAACACACTCGCTCCAACAGACTGGGACACTTTCACTTTTGCGGAGACTGGAATGCGTTTCGTTCGCTCTTGAAGCGTAAAAGGAACCTTTGAAATAATCGAATTCTTCTGGTGATAACTTCGATTTACTCATTATTTCTCTTGTCCACACTAGCCATCCTCGATAACAGTGTATTATATCTCCACCTTAATTGACCCGTGAAGATCCGAGTTAGAATTGATCTTCAGTAACCCATGCTTGTCGTAAGAGGCGACTAACGGGATCGGGTGGTCAGGCTCGCTGACTTGATTGACAAATGCCATCGTATCTCAAATTGTGTAGATAGATGATCATGCTGTTGATCATTGGATTGTCTGGTCCAGACTCGATTATTGCTTGTGCGGCGTAAAACCAAACTCATTCGCTCCATCTTAATATGTGACAAAATTCGATACAAATCGGTGTGCGCCCAATTTGAACGACATGGTGCTAAAAACAGCAGTGCAAAACTTTAAATTATGATGGTGTGATGAGAGAAATGAAGATGGCGACGTGCCTCCAAAACAAAGCTGTGATGGCGAATACTTCCAGGGTATTGTCACTTAAGAATGAATTTGTGATAAACACTACCCATCGTCTATTATTCCATAATCTGTGATTTCAATTATTCAGTTGTTCAGTAGGAATAAATATAGAAATGAAATAATTGCGATTTTCGTTATCCCTTTCAATATTTCAAATCTGTTAAATGCACATAGTCTTATCTTGGGGTTATGCTACTAATTGTACACTTGTTAAGATGCTGTATTTCCTTTTCAGAGTAGCGTCCCTTTTGCCTGCAAGAAACCAATAATCGTGTTTTATTCCAAGATTCCTCCATGGTTTTTCAGCCAACGTCTTCGTGGGTTTCACAAAAGCAAGTAAAAGGTGAATGTAAAAGACAAGGTTTAATGCCTGTTGTTTTTTAATTACATTTTCTGAAAATTGTCCTTTAAGTGTTGATACACTTGCAGCATCCGGGTACCTGTACCCATTCTATGTTGTACTTCCGATTGTCATGGGTACCACGTTGAGGGTCTTCAGTGACAGCGGTTGCCGACTCATACCTTTGTATGCACTTTCCATACTGGAAGTTCGTCACATGTCTGCAACGAGAGAAACAGGACTGATCATCACGATGAATGGTTTGCCAAGTATGACAAGGATGAGTGTAGACTAAGCTTAATACCTCTGTAAAAAGTATTTCTTTCACAGTTGGACTAACAAGTCACAAATATACTATCCCAAAAAAGAAACGCATATGCCACTGCGAAAACATCAGTTTAGAAGAAGGAAATGTCTGTACAACCAAGTGGATAATTTTTGATAACGTGAGCGTGATGGTGACGACGTAGCACGGTCCCGACGTCCAGTCTCCTGGCTCTCAGTCCAATCTCGCTCAACCTGTTCCGTACCGTTTGACCGGATATCCTCCGAAGTCAAGGCACCCGGGCGGCTGTGCACTCACCCCTGGCAGTACCATCACGCAAATGTAGTACCCAGATGTACCGATCTTGGGCTACAGTGGTGACTCGAGGTCTGCCTGTAAGGCGACGGTAATTTGTTATACCTGTTTGGTTGTAACGAGCTGCAAGCCGTGATATTGTGCTCAGACTAACATTCAGACGCCTGGTAATCTCCAGCGTGCATTCTTTCAATGGCGATGGTTCGTGTCGCAGCATCAAGACGTGGCGTAGTGATTTGACCTGGAAACTCCTTCAAAACGAATGCCGATTTCCGTAAGTAATCTGGATTTTTATAGCCAGACAGTGCATGCTTTTTTGTTGCACAATTTCAACTGGAAGGTGATTTTTTTGCGTTGTGGCGGTGCGTTTTTAATCCTTGTAAGAAATCTCACCAAAATGAACATTTTCAGGTACAGACGATTTTTTACTTGTGCAATTGTGTAAAATCACGTTATCAACACTTTTGTTACATATTTTGACGATTGTTTGCAAACTAAAGGTAATTTATATATGTTTTAAATGCAAGTATATTATGTACATGTATATTATGTACATGCCCAGCTAACACACAGCATTTTCAACACAGGGGCCTGTAACGCTAAAAACTGCCATCAAGGTAGATAGTAATACTGTCACTGACGGGGCCTCAGTATTATATAAAGGGAAAGGGATGTAACGAGGTCAACGCACCAAGTTCGTTTCAGGGCGAATTCAACAATGCTCACTGTATTTATCCCATTTAAAGTATGCACACATTTCAAGCCAATAGATTTACCTACAAAATGAGACATACAGCACAAAAATCGAAGCTCCCAAAGTATTGCTTCGATTCTTGTGCTGTATGTCATGGCCTTCTCACTTCCAAGACTTGAACTCGAACGAACACATGTCGGATGAGCTGGGAAGACAGCAGATGAATAAACCCCTGACCTTGCAAGAACTTGGGCTAGCCCTCCGATCACAATATACTGTACGTACAGGTTCTCCACGAGGAGACGTTCTGTTGTCGCTATGTCCGCTCTGAGCAGTTGCACCCGTTATTGACTGCGCCTGTGCCAACAGTTTTGTCAATTTGATGTTCGCAATTCCAACTATTGCCCTGTCACTGTAAATTTACTGATAGGTTCGAATTGTTATACTCACTGACATTGCTCAAACTTGAAAAACTGCTTGACGGTATGAAATTGGGCTATCTTCTTCTTCTCGCCGTACACGTTGAGAAGGTGACTTTTAGACTTAAAATACGTTATCCTGCAAACAAAAATGAAAATGGGCAATGAGCTCAATATGAAGTATTCATTTGTAAATGAAATATTTGACAGTTTGCCTGTCATATGTTTTCAAAATAACATCGTGTGTTCTCGGTATCAAAGTATAATTAATAAATCAAGTGAGTTAGGCCTTCCCAGCTGAAAGTGCATATACTGCATGTTTCGTGATAAGAAATACATAAAAACCCAAGATCAGTGGTGTCGTGCTAAGCAGTACGACATTGCGGCATTACCAAAAACATTCACCAAATAATACCACATATTATCGACCAAGATCAACTGTATTGGATACAATATCGGTCAAATTGCCGGATATTAATATTTCAATTTCTTTCATATTTATACGAGTGAGTATTGTTTTCCTCTGCTTTAAGCATTATTCCAGCAATGTCACGGCTGGGGACACCAGAAATGGGCTTCACACATTGTACCCATGAGGGGAATCGAACCCGGGTTTTCGGCGTGATGAGCGGACGCTTTAACTACTAGGCTACCCCCACCCCTTATATTTTTATGAAGAAATCATGAAATCTCAGTGTTGCAGCTCAGTAGGATCAAGGGCTCTTGATACTTGACGTCTTATGATGCCTAAGAGGCATGAAGGCAACTGCTTTGTGGCATGTAAAGGAATAGGATTGTTGTGTAGAAGCGGTATGCTTGTCGCAAAGAGTCCGATCACATGATCAAAAGGTGCACATGGCTGATAGTGTAGCACCAAGCCTTGTGTCAGAAAACACTTTCAATCGGTTTGTCTGGTCTGGTCTTCTTTGAGTGGCACTGTAGAAGCTTGGAAGTAAAACACAGACACACTTTATGGATAACAGCTTCTTTATTTCGTGAGAGCGACACTTTCGATACAGATTATTGTACCGTTGTCCGTGCTTGACAGCGGTACAAGAATCTGTCAGCTTCTTTGGGGCATGTAAAGGAATAGGATTACAGTGTAGAGGTGGTATGCGGGTCGAAAGAGTCACTTCTTTGAGTGTCATTGTAGAAGTTGGGAAGTACGGAGAACGGTACAAGAATCTGTATCGAAACGTCGCTCTCACGAAATAGAATAGATGTTATCTATAAAGTTTGTCTATGTTGGTATAGGCTCGATTGCAGGCAGATCACCATGATATAGCTACATTAATGGTTTCAACATCATTCACTCGCTACCTGGGGCGGTGGGGTAGCCTTGTGGTTAAAGCGCCCGTTCGTCAGGCTTAAGACCCGGGTTCGATTTCCCACATGGGTACAATCTGTGAAGCCAATATCTGGTGTCACCCGTCGTGATATTGCTGAAATATTGCTAAAAGCGACGTAAAATCAAACTCACTCACTCAACCACTAGCTACCTCCAATCATGAGCATGGTGACGTACGTTTGACAACAGGCGTGGAATGTAACGAGGCCCGGGGCCATCCTCCGGTCCCTGTGGTACTTCGGTGTGTGCGTCGCGTGGCATGAGACTTGGCAAGAAGCCTCGTCCTCCACGCTGGAGTTCACTTCATGGTACTGGGAGGAGATGTTGAAAAATGTCTGTTCGAAGTCAAATTGCTGCTCCACCGTCCTGAAGAACCCAGGGAACCGCTCACTGACCTGGTCTTCGAGGTTCCCAGTGTGCCTGAAGGGAAGAGCATCCATTTCATATCATTATTGCTATTAATATTAATGTTTATGGACAGGTTACTTCTAAAGAATTTGAAGTTGTATTACAACTTGATGTTCCTTGTTGAAATAGAGATTGTGCAAACCGTTACTTTGCAGGAAACATTGATGTTCATTGACATTCTTGTTCATAGCCACTTCACGTGAAAGAAAAAAACATCTTATTCATAGCCACATCACGTGAAAGAAAAAAACATCTTATTCACAGCCACGTCACGTGAATTGGTGATGGCATAGTCAGTGCACTCAAAGGAGTAATTACAACATTTAATCTGCCACGCCTAAATGGTCCTTACTGCAGTATTTCTACAGGTCTCTCCTACAGGTCTCTTCAATGCCTCTCTCATACAAGGACTGTCGTTTACATACCCTTTTGTACATAAACAGACTGACAAATGTACATACACAAATGTTCGTACACTTCGTCCATAGAAGAATTGACAAATATACTTTTCATATGAGGTTTGACGTATGTACCAAGGCTTCTCTCCATATAAGCACTGCCACGTGTACTAACATTTGTTTCCATATCAGTATGGTCATATGTGCTTACACTTCCCTCCATATAAGGAGTGTCACATGTGCTTACACTTCCTTCCATATAAGGAGTGTCACATGTGCTTACACTTCCTTCCATATAAGGAGCGTCACGTGTGCTTACACTTCCCTCCATATAAAGGAGAGTGTGCTTACACTTCCTTCCATATAAGGAGTGTCACTTCCATATAAGGAGTGTGCTTACACTTCCCTCCATATAGGAGAGTCACGCGTGCTTACACTTCCCTCCATATAAGGAGCGTCACGTTTGCTTACACTTCCTTCCATATAAGGAGCGTCACATGTGTGCTTACACTTCCCTCCATGTAAGTACTGTCACATGTGCTTACACGTTCCTCCATATAAGGAGCGTCACTGTGCTTACATGTGCTTACCTTCCATATAAGGAGCGTCACATAAGGAGAGTGTGCTTACACTTCCTCCATATAAGGAGCGTCACATCCATGTGCTTACACTTCCCTCCATGCTAACAAAGTGAGTGTCACAGGAGAGTGCTTGTTCCTCCATATAAGGAGCGTCACGTGTGCTTACACTTCCCTCCATATAAGGAGTGTCACATGTGTGCTTACACTTCCCTCCATATAAGGAGTGTCATAATGTGCTTACACTTCCCTCCATGTAAGTACTGTCACGTGTGCTTACACTTCCTTCCATATAAGGAGCGTCTTCCCAGCGTCACGTGTGCTTACACTTCCCTCCATATAAGGAGTGTCACATGTGCTTACACTTCCCTCCATGCTTACAAGGAGTGCCACATGTGCCTACACTTCCCTCCATATAAGGAGCGTCACATGTGCTTACACTTCCCCTCCATGTAAGTACTGTCACGTGTGCTTACACTTCCTTCCATATAAGGAGTGTCACATTTGCTTACACTTACCTCCATATAAGGAGTGTCACATGTGCTTACACTTCCCTCCATGTAAGTACTGTCACGTTTGCTTACACTTTCCTCCATATAAGGAGCGTCACATGTGTGCTTACACTTCCCTCCATAAAATGAGGGTCGAATATGTTTACACTTCCTTCCATATAAGGAGAGTCACGTGTGCTTACACTTCCCTCCATATAAGGAGCGTCACATGTGTGCTTCCACTTCCTCCATATAAGGAGTGTCACATGTGCTTACACTTTCCTCCATATAAGGAGCGTCACATGTGTGCTTACACTTCCCTCCATAAAATGAGGGTCGAATATGTTTACACTTCCTTCCATATAAGGAGAGTCACGTGTGCTTACACTTCCCTCCATATAAAGAGCGTCACATGTGCTTACACTTTTTTCCATCTGAGGAACATATATATTCATGTTTGTATTTTAACATGTGCTTTCACTGCTTTTGTTATGAGGATTGGCATATGTAACACAATGGAGTGACACATGTGCTTACACTTCTCTCCATGTATGGATCGACACATGTACCACAGTGACTGACACACGTATTTATACTTGCCTCCATATGCATTGACACATGTCAACAGATTGACAGATGTACTTACACTTTCCTCCATATAAGGATCGATATATGATACATTTTCCACAACAGATTGACAGATGTACTTCTACACTTCCTCTCCATATAAGGATTGATACATTTTACCACAACAGTCATGCAATTTCTACATGTGTTACATGTACTCTCCATATAAGGATTGATACATTTACCACAACAGATTGACAGATGTACTTCTACATGTACTCTCCATATAAGGATTGATACATTTACCACAACAGATTGACAGATGTACTTCTACATGTACTCTCCATATAAGGATTGATACATTTACCACACAGATTGACTGATGCTTACACTGTACTCTCCATAGGATTGATACATTTACCACAACAGATTGACAGATGTACTTGTACATGTACTTCCATATTTCCTACATTTACCACAACAGATTGACAGATGTGCTTACACTTTCTCCATATAGGAGGATACATGTGCTTACATTTGTACTCAACAGATCTGATAAGGATTGAGGTCGAATACATGTCCATATACACTTCCTTCCATATACAGAGAGACACGATGTACATTTTACACTTCATGTACCTCCATATACCACAAAGATTGAGAGCGTGATACATTTACCACAACAGATTGAACATGATTGATGTACTCTCCAGATGTACTTTCTACACTTTCTCCATATGATTGAACATATATACAACATGTTTGTATTTTAAGATGATGTACTTCTACATGTACTCTCCTATAAGGATTGATACATATGAGGATTGGCATATGTACTCTCCATATAAGGATTGATACATTTACCACAACAGATTGACAGATGTACTTCTACATGTACTCTCCATATAAGGATTGATACATTTACCACAACAGATTGACAGATGTACTTCTACATGTACTCTCCATATAAGGATTGATACATTTACCACAACAGATTGACAGATGTACTTCTACTTCTCTCGATATAAGTATTGACACGTGTACCACAATGGATTGGCACATGTACCACAATGGATTGACACATGTACCGCAATGGATTGACACACGGATTTATACTTCCCTCCTTATAAGGAATAACACATGTACCACAATGGATTGACAAATGTATTGACACTTCTTTTCAGTGTATGGATTGACGCGTGTACCACATTGGATTGGCTGGTGTACTTACACTTCTCTCCAAATAAGGACTGCCAAACTGGTTATGGTTATGACACAGCACAACGTCACTATGACAATCTGTAAACACGTAGGAAAGCAACATACACTGCAAATGACATTTACTGTACAATTATTTCGGATTGCAGAACAACGAGAATCCAAGATCCAATGGGCAAATTGTAAGCCTGAGATTAAAATGGCACATAGTACGGGATGATCACAGAGTCGAATACATGATTTTGATTTAAGCCACAGCAATATCCCAGTTATGCTAAGATGCCTGTCTGTTAACCTGACCAGACAAACCAATGGCCGAGAGAATGAGCACCGATAACAAAAGGTATTAGATGTATTCATTTTCAATAATTATTCACCGATTCCTACCCATACGCGTGTCGTGCAGCATGTCTGTGTGGGTGTCTTGTCAGATGCAGCTGCCCGAACACCCGGTGTTGTCACTTGGCCCGCACTTAGCACTCTGCTTCCTTGCTTGACCATACTGCTGTGGCATTCAGTGTAGGACTGCTGGGTATCCGGAAACGATTAGGAACGTATTATTCTTCTGTGTGATCTTGCTGAACTAATACCAGACGTATTTAACAAATTCCAGTATTGATTTCTGATTCACAAGGCAAAACAGGTAGGTTGATGCTGTTTCCATGCAAATTGGTTTTAATTTGTACTGACAAATCTGAAGTCAGATTTATCGAAGATTATTCTAAACTATATTCAAAAACTCGCTCTATCGAAGATTAATCTAAACTCAATATCGAAAAAAACTTCGCTCTTTAAGCAGTGCAGGATACATACTGTCGTTAAAACTCTTCGTGAGACAATTTGTGATCTGAACACGGTTTTTAGAACAAAGGGGTGTAGGTATATCCCTGTACTTCTATTTTTGTTATCATACAAATACCATTTCAAAATATCTTTTCACTTTAAGAATGATATTGTCATTTTAATGTTCAGGTCCAAAATCTGAATCATGCTTTTCTGTGTTACCTTCATCGGGGCTCCAGATAAGGGCCGTATCGGCGTATGTACGGATAAAAAATATGCACGATACAGTAGGAAATAATTTAGAAAATGTAGCAGATACGCACCACAGCAATGGTTTACGGTCTTAGAATCATTTACAGACGTATTTATCTGAAAAAAATGTTGTTTTATTGTTAATTGACCTGTTTACACAAGAGTAGCAATGTTGTGGTGCATATATGAAACGAAACAAGATTACTGATAGTCCATTAACTTCCATTCAGTACTCTAAATGTACACTTAAGGTTTTCCAGTACTCAGTATTGAACAAATAAGGAGTACGTACTCCTGATGTTGAAAAATTATCTGGAGCCCTGCTTCATTTTATGTTGTAAAACGATAATAACCTCAGCTTGTATTTATGACGGGTGCCACGGGTGGGGCAGGATATGCTCACACCTGTTCGCGAACATCTGTTATCATCACAACTTGTTGGTGTTTCATAGACTCATGCTCATTATGTAATAGGAAATGTACAATCGACTTTCCTTTTAGCTCAAATTTCTTAAGGATATGGACTGGGTTTTGCCGATTCCATATAGCGTGGAAACGGTAAGATTAACAATGTGTGAGTGAATTTGGTTTTACGCCGCACTCAATATTCCAGCTATATGGAAACATATATACACAAAGAACTTAGTCAAGCACCCCCTGACATAATATCACGATTGAATGAGCCCCGATCTTAACCATTTGGAGAATATTTGTACAGACCCTGGCCCAACTGGAAGCTGCTTTACACGAGGAATAGCAGGATCAGGAGCCTGACAGAGGGTATAAGGAGGAGGGTGCTGGCTGTCATACAGTCACATGGAGGTTACACTCGGTATTGTCCTTGAATCGTGTCAGACACGCAAAATGACATTTTAAATGTTTTCATTCGGCAACATTAAACATTCAACATTAAACATAGAGGATAATTCAGCCAGTATGTGACTTTGGAATATACAAACGATTTCCTATTCAGCTGTTAAAAGTTACAAAAACGTAAGTGGTCATTTAAGTAGATGATCCGTTCCCTTACCTTAATACAAGGGTTCCTTCAGAGACTGCCAGCATGTGATCCTTGTACGGATCTGTCTAGTTGGCTGAATATGGGACGGACGAGACCTTCAGCTTCCTGTCATTAAATCATTACGTTGTCTACGCTCTCAATCTGACCCTACGCGTGTGACATAGATTCAAATAACAAGGTCAAAACATATTCATTATTTTTCACAATATTGTTTTCAGGATCGTGGGCATGTACAATTTACTGACAAACGGAAAAACGCATTGCTTGTGTAAAGGATACGCTGAACAGAATGCCTTTGTTTTGTTTGTGGTTTTCAGTATATCATAGATTTGCCACAGGAGCTTTTAAGTTCTCGAATCTAGACTAGATGCTCTGGTGCTTGAAAGCATATGCAACGTCACAGTGGTCGAGCATCGTGACCATCTGGCCCACATCATAGTGGGTTCTTACAACTACTATGAGGTTTGATCAGGAATCTGATTAATTGACCCGTGAAGATCCGGGTTAGAATATTGATCTTCAGTAACCCATGCTTGTCGTAAGAGGTGACTAACGGGATCGGGTGGTCAGACTCGCTGACTTGGTTGACACACGTCATCGGTTCCCAATTGCGTAGATCAATGCTCATGCTGTTGATCACTGGATTGTCTGGTCCAGACTCGATTACTTACAGACCGCCGCCATATAGCTGGAATATTGCTGAGAGCGGTGTAAAACTAAACTCACTCACTCACTCACTGATTAATTGGTCTCGAAGGGCTACGTGCCTTGGTCGTGCCAGACCAAGCACAGGGTTTGAGTGCCAGGGGTGTATCTAAGCTATTTATTATGTTTTGACAATATGTTAATAATGATAATGAGGGCGCCAGGAACCTGTTTGAACCTTTATTGCCTATGCAACATGTTCGATCAAGCTCGATCGATAGTATTGCGATATGTTTCTCATGCTTATTTTAATCACATAATGATGCCAATGGGGCGATTTGGATATAACACTTATAATCTGATATTTAATGATAACGTTGGGATACAGTGAATGAAATATTATCACACAGGTGTTTTAAGTAAAAGTGTTTTCAATACAAAAAGCAGAGTAATCTGATTTATCAGTGAGTTTGTTTTAAAGCCATTAAGCAATGTTACAGGTATATCACAAGGGGGCGATGCGGTAGTCTAGTGGTTAAAGTGTTAGCTCGTCACACCGGACAACTGGGTTCAATTTCCCTCATGAGTACAATGTGTGAAGCCCGTTTCTGGTGTCGCCCGCCGTGATATTGCTGAAATAGAGCTACAAGCGGCGTAAAACTAAACCCACTCACCCTTTGTAACCACGTGCACCACAGCTGTAATATGACAACGGCCTCTGAACAATAGTCCTCTGATTGACCTTGCCTGTCCTGTGCAGACAATCGAGTGCCTGCATAATCCTTACCTCACTCAATCAGTAACGTGCTCGGTGATCAAATGTTGAGACGAGGGAGCAATTGTTATGTGTTATTCATTGTGGAACAGTGTTGTATTTGTACTGCATTGTTTCTGTTAAAATTCAGTAGACAGCAGTGTTCTTGTTACTAAATTAAGACTATAAGTGAAGTTAGGTCTTAAACATTCTAGGGCATCTGGAATATTCCAGTGTAGTGGGTGATTGAGTGAGTTTAGCTTTACGCCACACTCAGCAATATTCCAGCTATATGACAGTGGTCTGTCTATAATCGAGTCGGCACCTGACAATCCGGTGATCAACAGCATGAGCATCTATCTACGCAATTGGGATACGATGACATGTGTCAACCAAGTCAGCGAGCCTGACCACCCGATCCGTTAGTCGCCTCTTACAAGCATGGGTTACTGAAGATCAATTCTAACCCGGATCTTCACGGGTCTATTCCAGTATAGTCTAACGGATAGAGAACGTACTGGAGGCTTCTTTAATAACAAACTCGCTAAAGTCTTGCCTCAGTCATATCACAATAACAGAAGACCACCAGTGAAGAGCATTGTTCACCCCGGATTCTCAGCCTGGGCCTCTTTTTGGAGGCTTGACCACTGCAGCGGGGTGGTGAATATTTTTGTCGATATAATCACTGTATTATTGACTTTTTTGCCATGACCACTGTTTTATATCACATCATATATTGTACTTCCATTGTAATTTCTTTGTAGTGTAAACTCAGTTCATTTAGAATACAATGGTTATTTGTATATTTCTTTGTTGTTTGTTGCTTTCCTCCTACATTCTCTGATGTAAACATTTCGGGATAACTCTTTGTTTCAACTCGGTTGGTTGGTTGGTTGGTTGGTTCTTTCCCGCCGCACTCCGCAACATTCCAAAATAGCCTTGTGGTTAAAGCGTTGGCTCGTCACGCCGAAGACCCGGGTTCAATTCCACACATGGGTACAATGTGTGAAGCCCATTTCAGGTGTTCCCCCTAAAAGCGGTGTAAAATTAAACTCACTCACTCATTTTATGATTAATATATTCGACCCATTTGCCATAATATATTGGACCCATTTGCCATTTTATTATTGATAGCATGCTAACAGTAGCCGTCCAATGAATCACTGATCGCATGAAAGCTGTGCCAACTTTTATAAATGGTGGCGAGGGGGTGGCACCACTGTGAAACTCCCTTCAGACACAATGTACTGACTGAACTCAGCCAGTCTTTGCAAGGCAGGGTACCTAGAAATACCATTATTTATGGTATACTGGTCTGACACTGTTGAGGGATTGATACTTGCCCTCTGTCCATGCCTGCTAAGGTCGTCTTTAAACATAGAATCATACAGTACATTAAATAATCAAGGATGGATTTTATGGCACTTTAATCAACATGCCTCCAGTTCGGGCCTTAAGTGAGGTGAGGTGATAAGATGCCTGAACTGATCCACCTCTTCCACAAGGTCAAGGTCAAGGTCATCAACAACGGCAATATGATCCTAGAAGTCAAAGATGTAGTGTCCAAAAACAACAGTAGGGTAAGTGCCCAGAGATATTTGAGGTTTGTTCCAAAAGCATCTGGATCTTAAGTGAGGTGAAATGGGGTTTAAGGTAGTGCTTCAGAATATTTTGCTCATATGACGACAGGCATGCGTGTGTATGTGTGGCTGCTTGTACTAGCCCAGACTTAAGCTGTTTTTTATTGCTAACTCACTGAGATACCATGCCGCAGTGAAGCATGAATACCCACTCAGACACATTATACTGACTCCGAGCCGACCAGTCCTTGTTGTACCCATTAATGCCAAGCACCAGGCAGGGACCAACAAGTACCATATTTTAACGTTTTTTGGTATGATGCGGCCGGGGATCGAACCTGCGACCTTCCGCTCCCAGAGGGACGCTCTAACCACTAACCATGGAGGCGGTTGGTCATTTAAATATTTGAATTTGAAAAACAATGACAGGGAGATCTGAGTACAAATCTGACAATTTATTGTCAACACTCACAGAATGCTTTGAGTAAAGGCGCAGGTTACATACAAAACGATCAAATCCCTCACATTCCCACTGAATAATTGTCTCATTCATTTCAAACAAATACACACTGAGAATTAAGTGTTCACAGGCTGTCAATACAAGGTCACCAATTCAAAATAAATTCATAAATCAACATTCACATGATGTCATATTTTAACCTGGGCCTTTTTTTAAATTCAAATACTTCAGGAGTGCAAAATATTTTAATAAATGTAAAACATGATGAAATGGGTGAAATGTACAAGACACATTTGGGGCCCAAAATATGAAAAACATGAAAATCAGCAGAAACATAGAACTGAAATTACAACATGCCTACAATCCTCTCAAAGAAATGTATATATATTTTCAAAGACTTGGACAAAATCTTATCTTGAAAACAAAATAAGGAAAAACTATACATCATGTTCTCCAATATTTTTTTTTTCAAATAAAATAGTTAACAGTAAAAATAATGTACTTGACAAAAAATGTTTTCACCAAATGAAAAACCAATAAACACTAGACTTGGACATACTGGAAGTCCCAGGAAGTTTTTTTTTCTTCTCATTTAACATTGCAGTGTTAAACTGTCAATGATTCCTCTAAATACATAGAAAAAAATTGACATGGTACTAATCACAAGGTCATGAAACCTTTAATAGAAATATTATAGAAATCTATAGCACTAATGAAATTCACTGTCATGTCTTGAGCGTCTGCCGTTTTGATAGACACTATATTGTTCCTATTTTCATCAGAGTAATGAGAATCAACACCACCTTGAACTGCCAAAGGACACATAACAAGTTGGACACCCATTGTAATACATAGCATTCACATCTAATCTGACAATACCTGGGCAATACATGGCTATCATTTTAAACTGGAGGTCAGAAAACAATACCGCAGTCTCATTCATTACCAAAGCAATGGACGGGTCAGGGACAATAGCTTTCAGATACCTTTTCTCTGTGGAATTATTCAGTTGAATTTATAGCTCACATACTGTAGTGAGTGAGTTTAGTTTTACGCGGCACTCAGCAATATTCCAGCTATATGGCAGCAGTCTGTAAATAATCCAGTTAGGACCAGACAATCCAGTGACCAACAGCATTAGCATTGATCTACACAATTGGGATACGATGACATGTGTCAACCAAGTCAGCGAGCCTGACCACCCGATCCTGTTAAGTCTCCTACAACAAGCATGGGTTACTGAAGATCAATTCTAATTGCGATCTTCATGGTTCGTCACTTACTGTAAAGTACACTTATAACAAACCCATATTTTAATATACACATATACAGTAAGTGTCTGGTACCTAAAAACACATTTTGCTACATCGGTTAGTTCCATCAGAATGTTCATAATCATAGTTTATTGTACATTTACACAATGACATCATCAATGATCCTGATTTTGCAGATGTAATTACTGTCAGTCTAATTTCGCTTTGCACTGAAATGTATGTTTCTTTACCACTTCTATCTCAGAATAATTATGAGTACATATACTCATGGAAACAAATAAGGGAACACATGAAAGTACAAGTGTTCCTGTATGTCTTTCCAGGTTTCTTCACAAGCTTTGTATTGCACTGTGAGTGAAATTCTGGAAATAAATAAAGGAACACTTGTACTTTCATGTTTTCCTTATTTGTTTCCATGAGTATATGAAATAACCTTACCTACAGAACACACTCTTGTAAATGAAACTCATCAGGTTCTTGGCCCAGTGTCTGGTATACACAATTCCAATACTGATACCTATGATTCTTCCCCAGAAACCAAACAAAAGCACTCAGTGGCATTCACGGACATAATGCTGGTCAAGTTTGGACACCACGATATTGCTGTATTTTTGCTGAAAATTCTCAAAGCTATACTCCCTCACTCTATGTCCTGAAATTAGGTTAACAGAAAATTATACCATAATATTTCTCTACTGTTGCTGAACAAATGCAAAGCTACACTCACTTACTAACTCTACGTCCTGAATTAATGATAACAGAAAATTATACCAAACTGTCCCCAAAAATAGGCAAAGCAAACAACTGCTCAAAAAAATATAGCAGTCATGATAAACAATGGCCTTAACTTTTTATATCAATTCCAATCGCACCATTATTGTCAAAAAAGATCTTCCTAGGAACGTCATAAGCACTGAGATGAACACAGTGAGTATTATCAGCAGTCAAAACACCACTGCCGATATATTCTCAATACAACTGTGAAAATATGTTAAATATGTTTTTCTTGAATATTAATCTCACAGCTGTCAGCACTGCTAAAACTAGTATTATTTACAAGCACTGATAGAGTTTCTTTGGAAAAAAGGAGCATTTTGTAATGTGGAAACGTGCCTTCAGTTCTTGTATTCCTTTAACGAAAATATTTCTTTAAATGTTTGTTGTTCAAGGCCACTTAGAAAACTCTTAGTAATAATACAGTAATCTGTGACCAGACAGAACCAGACAATCCAGTGACTAACATCATGAGTATCGATCTATGCTAATGGCATATCAACTGATTCTTCAATCCTGATCACCAAATAAGTTGTCACCATGGGTTAAATTTTAGCAAATCATTTTCAAACTTCCTGAATGAATAATGTCGAACATGCATCAAAGAGGGAGTGCACTCATACATCCCCTCTTAAATTGCATATAATTACATGTGCCATGTCACTGGTCGGTGTTTCACCTTACATATTGTTGAGGTACTACTTATATAATACTGACTGACTGACTGAGTTTAGTTTTACGCTGCTTTTAGCAATATTCCAGCAATATCACGGCTGGGGACACCAGAAATGGGCTTAACACATTGTGCCCATGTGGATCGGAACGAGCAAACGCTTTAACTACTAGGCTACCCCACCGCCCCTACTTATATAATAATAAATATATAATAAAGTATTGATATCAACAGGATACAGTCTGGTGTGCCTCACACAAAACACATCTAACAACTGATTAAACAATCAGTACATTGTCCACGACCTGATGGCATGACATTGCTTGCATCTATTTTTAGATGTAATGTGGGAATTACTGATTACAAATTATAGTGAACACATAAAAATGTGTCGCCTCAAAGTAGACTTCTTGTGATTAACTCAGACCTTCAAATCAACTACTCCTCGGTAATCTACTGAACTAGGGAGATTTTGAGTGTTTTGCTTAACACCACCGTGGCAATATTCTGGATGTACACTACACACTCCAGTTACTGAAATTATGAGCAAATGATCTCTGCTGTACATGTACGCTGGGACCAAGCTGGGAACACCATGCTGGAAACACTATAGTATGTACAAGATGCTGGGGCCACCAGGCTCTGACTCCAAACTAGGAATACCAGACAGTATACACCGTGCTGGGGCCACTAGGATCTGACTCTATCCTGAGAACACCAGTGTACACCGTGCTGGGGCCACTAGGATCTGACTCCATCCTGGGAACACCAGACAGTGTACACCGTGCTGGGGCCACTAGGATCTGACTCCTATCCTGGGAACACCAGTGTACACCGTGCTGGGGCCACTAGGATCTGACTCTATCCTGAGAACACCAGACAGTATACACCGTGCTGGGGCCACTAGGTTCTGACTCTATCCTGAGAACACCAGTGTACACCCTGCTGGGGCCACTAGGTTCTGACTATATCCTGGGAACACCAGACAGTGTACACCATGCTGGGGCCACTAGGATCTGACTCAATCCTGGGAACACCAGTGTACACCGTGCTGGGGCCACTAGGATCTGACTCAATCCTGGGAACACCAGACAGTGTACACCGTGCTGGGGCCACTTGGATCTGACTCTATCCTGAGAACACCAGACAGTGTACACCGTGCTGGGTCCACTAGGATCTAACTCAATCCTGGGAACACCAGACAGTGTACACCGTGCTGGGGCCACTATGCTCTGACTCCATCCTGAAAACACCAGATAGTGTACACCATGCTGGGGCCACTATGCTCTGACTCCATCCAGAAAACATGAGATAGTGTACACCGTGCTGTGTCCACTAGGATCTGACTCTATCCTGAGCACACCAGACAGTGTACACCGTGCTGGGGTCACTAGGTTCTGACTCTAGCCTGAGGACACCAGACAGTGTACACCATGCCGGGGCCACTAGGCCCTGACACCATCCTGGGAACACCAGACAGTGTACACTGTGCTGGGTCCACCAGGCTCAGGCTCTGACTCCATGCTGGTAACACCAGACAGTGTACAACGTGCTGGGTCCATTAGGCTCTGACTCCATCCTGGGAACACCAGACAGTGTATACCACAGCTGGGTCCACTAGGCTCTGACTCCATGCTGGGAACACCAGACAGTGTATACCATGCTGGGGCCACTAGGCTCTGATTCAATCCTGTGAACACCAGTGTACACCGTGCTGGGTCATGTAGGCTCATGTAGGAACACCATGCAGTGTACACCATGACAGACATTCTTGTACATACAAACATAACTCTGATTAACAATAATAATCTTGCCAGGAATCAAAATGTAACCATGACCTAACAGTGATAATATCTTTATGTGGAAAATCAGTTTATGAATAGCTCAAGCCAATTTCGTTGCAGATTCATTGAAAAAAAGAAAAGCATGATCTTAAGTACATTAACAAACCGAGGACCTCCTCGTGACATTTACTTAGGACTTAAAAAGTATAATACGTTATATATATTTCCAGACATATTTAAAGGAGAAACCATTTGATATTTAGGGATTGGGGCTGGAACAAACAAGTAATTTTTTATTCACGGCCAAACTGAGGTGGAGCAAAACTTTCCTTCAAGTTCAGTGCATGATTAGTAATTGTTTTATATTTATTTTCTTGGTGAATAGTTGCATCCCACACCCAATATCCGTAAAACATCAAATGGTTCATCACTCACTAAAAGCTGTTTTCGTGTGTGTCAACATTAAGCTTTAACCCTTGAAATACTTTGATTTGCTTGTACGTGAAGTGCACAATATAAATTTCATGAAATGAAAATGAGTTACAAATGCATCTTGAAAGTTTCAGTATGTTTAAAATACCAGACACTTAAAAGAAAAACATTCAAGAAACAAAACATATTCCATAATGTTCAACAAAGTGCACAAACAATCATCACAATTCTTTGACGGATGGTATTTTTATTGTTCATGATTCCAAAGGAACATATCAGAGGGAAAACCTGATTATTGTTTGGTGAAAGCGCCACATTTTGGGGACAACACCCAATCCATCCCCCATTGTGGCTTCAGGACCAAAATGATCACTCTCCTGCAACCTTCAATCGCAGACTTGAGCACAACACCAGCTGAGATTCACCTCAGCATAATTAAAATCACACATGATTATCCATGATCGGCACCAATGGAAGAAATCAAACAAAGGTGCCTTGGAAGTCAGTCTTCCCTCACTCCTGAAATCACTTTTATATATATATTCCTACATACACATAGATTTATTTATTTCAAGCAATCAACAAAGCACTTGTACCTTGTGTCAGCTGCATGCAACATGGAATGACAGCTGGGGTACATTTCAAGACAGCCTGTGAACACACCATAGTCATGATAATCAAACTCAGTGCCTTCGCCTATTTCTTTCACGATCACGGTCCCTACCAACATCTTTATCAACCTCGCGATCACTCCGATCGCGATCTGATGTTCGTTGTTTATGTTTCAACTTGAGCCCATCCCCCTGTCCATCAAAGCGTCCGTCATTCTGTCTGTCTCGGCGCATTTCATTAACAGGTGACCTAAGTTTTTTATTATTTCTACGGTCTGTCCTTTCGTCAAACTGATTGTCCAGCCGATGATTTCGATCGATAGGTTCTCGATTTCTATCGCGTCTGTTTTCAGTCTCACGTCTAGTGTCTGACACTCGATTATCACGAGTCCGTCTATCCCAGGAATCAGTGTACATTTCGTCATCACGCACTTGTCGGTAATTGTCAGTTCGGAGTCTTCCCTTCTCGGTTTTTCGTAGTCCATGTCTTCTTCCTCCTGTTCATTTCTTCTCTTCTTCTTCTTGTTCTCTCTATTGCTGTGATGACTGTAGTCTCCGTTGGCATATTCTCGTCTGTGTCTTCTGCTGTCCTGGTCGGAGTTTTCCTCTTTGCTGCTGTGCTTGGTCTTGGCTGCTGGCTTGCTTTTCTTCTTCTTCCTTGTCTCTGTCTCTGAGCCTGAGTCTGATGAGCTGCTGTCAGAGTCTAAAACAGATGGAAACATTGTTCAGATATCTGGCTTGAACATAAAGACAGTTGCCATAAGTCCTGAAGTAAAGCTCCATATTAACAAGCTAGAGAAGCCTTCCAACCAAGTTATGTAAAAATAATCATAGACCAAATTCATTCAAGAAACCTCCCAACAAAAGGGTTCATGCACTATGAAGCCCCAACATCTTCACATGTGATGATCACCGGCCTATACTGCTGCATTACCCCCACCATCTACACCTGGGATGATCACCAGCCTATACATCTGCATTACCCCCACCATCTACACATGGGATGATCACCAACCTATACAGCTGCATTACCCCCACCATCTACACATGTGATGATCACCAGCCTATACTGCTACATTACCCCCACCATCTACACCTGTGATGATCACCAGCCTATCCTGCTACATTACCCCTACCATCTACACCTGTGATGATCACCAGCCTATACTGCTACATTACCCCCACCATCTACACCTGTGATGATCACCATGCCTATCCTGCACCATCTACACTGGTGATGATTAGCCTATCCTGCTACATTACCCCCACCATTACCTGTGATGATCACCATCTACACCATTACCCCACCATCACCTGTGATGATCACCAGCCTATCCTGCTGCATTACCCTGCTATCTGCATTACCCCACCATCTACACCTGTGATGATCACCAGCCTATCCTGCTACATTACCCCCACCATCTACACCTGTGATGATCATCAGCCTATCCTGCTGCATTACCCCACCATCTACACCTGTGAGTGATGATCACCAGCCTATCCTGCTGCATTGCCCCACCACACCTGTGATGATCACCAGCCTATCACTGCTGACATTACCCCCACCATCTACACCTGTGATGATCACCAGCCTATCCTGCTACATTACCCCACCACCATCTACACCTGTGATGATCACCAGCCTATACTGCTGCATTACTGCCCCACCATCTACACCTGTGATGATCACCAGCCTATCCTGCTACATTACCCCACCATCTACACCTGTGATGATCACCAGCCCCACCATCTACACCTATCCTGCTACATTACCCCCACCATCTACACCTGTGATGATCACCATGCCTATCCTGCTACATTACCCCCACCATCTACACCTGTGATGATCATTACCCACACCATCTACACCTGCTGCATTGCTGCATTACCCCACCATCTACACATGTGATGATCACCAGCCTATACTGCTACATTACCCCCACCATCTACACCTGTGATGATCACCAGCCTATCCTGCTGCATTACCCCCACCATCTACACCTGTGATGATCACCAGCCTATCCTGCTGCATTACCCCCACCATCTACACCTGTGATGATCACCAGCCTATCCTGCTACATTACCACCCACACATCTGACACCTCCTGATGATACACCAGATCACCAGCCTATCCTGCTACATTACCCCACCATCTACACCTGTGATGATCACCAGCCTATCCTGCTACATTACCCCTACCATCTACACCTGTGATGATCACTAGTCTATACTGCTGCATTACCCCCACCATCTACACATGTGATGATCACCAGCCTATACTGCTACATTACCCCCACCATCTACACCTGTGATCAACACCAGCCTATCCTGCTGCATTACCCCCACCATCTACACCTGTGATCAACACCAGCCTATCCTGCTGCATTACCTGAGTCAGAGCTGTTGCTGGAGGAGGAGCTGTCACTATCGGAGCTGTCACTATCTGATGAGTCCGATGAAGACTCAGATTCCTGCTGCTGTTGCTGTTGTTGCTGCTGCATCAGCTGTTTGGTCATTGTCTTCAGGTGGTCACGAAGATCATCCCTGTGATGAGGATGTTGTTGGAATTACATTGTCAATTCATATACACTTCCTGACAGGGCAGATATTTACTAAAATAGCCTGTCCTCTACAATTCTTAAAGAAAATAATTTTCTCAAAAGAGAATGACATATTATAGTGTGGCAACACACATGACTAATTTCAAATGTAATTGATAAAGTACTATCAGTCTCCAATTTAAAGCATGTGTAAATGACTGAATTAAAATATGTCATTAGTGGTAAATAGGAAGTTTTAGTCAATTTACACTTACGTTAGTCCTCCAAGACCGATTGTTGTAAAAAAGTTTATAGCAAAACGCGTATTCTTGGGATTATCCCGCGGCATGATTCCTTCAAAATATTCTTGAAGTGTTCTGAAACCAGAAACAAACATATGATGACGAGACTGCTGACAAATAACATCAAACATTACATTGGCCATTCATTCATCAGTCTTTCATGAAGCCTTCCACAAACCACCATGAAACCCTGCATCAAACCACCATGAATCCATGCATAAAACCACCATGAATCCATGCATCCAACCACCATGAATCCATGGACCACCATGAAGCCCTGCCCTCACACCATAGTGAATCCCTGCATCAAACCACCATAAATCCATGGATCAAACCACCATAAATCCATGGATCAAACCACCATAAATCCATGGATCAAACCACCATGAATCCATGGATCAAACCACCATAAATCCATGGATCAAACCACCATGAATCCATGCATCCAACCACCATGAATCCATGCATCCAACCACCATGAAGCCCTGCCCTCACACCAAAGTGAATCCCTGCATCAAACCACCATAAATCCATGGATCAAACCACCATAAATCCATGGATCAAACCACCATGAATCCATGGATCAAACCACCATGAATCCATGGATCAAACCACCATAAATCCATGGATCAAACCACCATGAATCCATGGATCAAACCACCATGAATCCATGCATCCAACCACCATGAAGCCCTGCCCTCACACCATAGTGAATCCCTGCATCAAACCACCATAAATCCATGGATCAAACCACCATAAATCCATGGATCAAACCACCATGAATCCATGCATCCAACCACCATGAATCCATGCATCCAACCACCATGAAGCCCTGCCCTCACACCATAGTGAATCCCTGCATCAAACCACCATAAATCCATGGATCAAACCACCATAAATCCATGGATCAAACCACCATGAATCCATGCATCCAACCACCATGAAGCCCTGCCCTCACACCATAGTGAATCCCTGCATCAAATCAACAAGAAACCATGCCCTCAAAACATAGTGAAAGCCTACCCTCAAACCAACATAAAATCCTGCCTTCAAACCACCATAAAACCCTGCCCTCAAACCACAGTGAATCCCTGCCTCAAACCACCATGAACCCAGTCCTCATACCATAGTGAAGTCCTGCCTCAAAACCCATAGGGAGTGAGCGAGTTAAAGATTTTAAGTCACATCGGCAATATTTCAGTCCTATCATGACCAAAACCCATAGGAACAATGAAACACTGCTCCTTTTTTATGTCATTCCTGTTTTTTATCAGCAGGGCTACTACAAATAGTAAAACGTCTCCCAGTAACAAAACAATATCAGGAATCAAACCTCGATCATTCATGTGTGCTTATCCAACTGCCTCACTTTAGGTAGGAAAGAAGGTCTCTTTAATCCCACAAGCTTTTATTGTTACTGAGTCAGCTTCAGACAATGTAACTTCCAGATCAAAGAGTTGAGAAATTCTCATTTCTCTACCAGCACAAAAAGAAGCCATCAATACAACAAAGTCAACTAAAATCATGACATGAGTGATGAAATACACTAATTTACTTACGGGTCTTTGAGACGATCATTGAGCTTTGGCAAACCCATGTATTCGGATAATTCCTGGAACAAGATCTTGATGAAGATCCTACTGGCTGATGTCGTGTCCTCCTCATTCAGCTTCACACACACCAACACCTACACAGAAATGCTCATGGTCAATCTGATCAGCCTTAACTCCAGACATAACAAACATCATGTGACCTCTGTTTGCTACGACTGAATGAGGTTACTTGTCATGACAGAACCCAATAGTGAGTGAGTGAGTTTAGTTTTACACCACACTCAGCAATATTCCAGCTATGTAGCAGCAGTCTGTAAATAATCAAGTCTTGACCAGACAATCCAGTGATCAACTGCATGAGCATCAATCTACGCAGTTGGGATACGATAACGTGTCAACCAAGTCAGTGAGTCTGACCACTCGATCCCATTAGTGGCCTCTTACAAGGACGGGATGTTGAAGATCAATTCTTACCTGGATCTTCACGGGTTGTAAAACCCAATAACACAGGTATGGTGCTAACAAACCAAGACTCGTAATCGTGTTGAACTGGATTCAAAGTTATGTTCAAGCATGTTCGTACTGTCTGTTGAAAGAAGAACTGTCTGCCAATCTGTCTAAACCCATAACATACACAAAACATAATGTTCCACCTTGAAGTAAGTGAATGAGCAAGTTTAGTTTTACGCTGCACTGAGCATATTGCAGCTATATGGCAACGGCCTGTAAATAATCCAGTCTGGACCATACAATCCAGTGATCAACATCATGAGCATCAATCTATGCAATTGGGATTTGAGGACTGACCACCCTATCCCCTTAGCTGCCTCTTACGACAAGCGTTGGTTAATGAAGATCAATTTTGACCCAGATCTTCACGGGATGTTCCACCTTAAAAGGTAAGTCTTCAATGAATGATTTTTTTCCATTTAAGAAAGATACGATGACTAATCAAGCATATAGATTACCACAGAGGTTAAACTGCAAATGTCTACAGTATGTTAATATTTAAAGTTTTTCAACATAGATATTACCACACATCTAACAAAACATTGTTTAAGAACAAAGGCAGGATATGACAACTCACCCCCCAGCTGATGGCATCACTGTAGAGAAGATGACCGAAGAATTTAGCAACGTTCCTCAGTTTGTTTGTCTCCAGTCTGTGAATGGTCTCATACTGTTCTATGAAAGTGGTCTGGAATGGCTCCACGTACTTCTTGTCCAGTTGACAGAAACGCTGAGAGAATCATAGAGGTGTCAATGTCTTATTTTCACAGAGAATCATGTCCTTAAATCAGAGGATAATTTATGTTATTGTAACATCATTTAATAAAGAACTGTAGCAGTAAAACATGAACTAAATAAATTTCAGACCTATCAAGGTCTATCAGCTAAATATGTGAGGAAAGCCTGCAGGCGATTCGAATGAATGAGTCAGTGAGTGAGTTTAGTTTTACTCCGTACTCAGCAATATTCCACCTATATGGTGGCGGTCTGTAAATAATCGTGTCACGACCGGACAATCCAGTGATCAACAGCATGAGCATCAATCTGCTCAATTGGGAACAGATGACGTATGTCAACCAAGTCAGCGAACCTGACCACCCAATCCCATAGTCGCCTCTTACGACAAGCATGGGTTACTGAAGAACAATTCTATCTCGGACCTTCACAGGTATTCAAATGAATGAGATTACTGGAATACTTGTGGTCTTAACAGTGATGACAATAGCCCTTACATGCTGGCAAAATGAGCTTTGGCAGATACAAAGTGTGATTAAGTTTTGTTTAATGTTGCATTTACCAATATTCAAGCAATAGAGAATGGCAGAAATGGGCTTCCCACACTGTATAAGTCTGATAAAAAATGGGCTTCCACCTTGAAAAGCGCACTTTAACCACTATGCTGTTCCATGCCACGGAAACAAAGAAGCATTCAATGGCAATCTCATCTGTGACGGTATACACCATTTATACCAATAAATGAAGTATACACTTTTCATTTACACCTAGCAATCTGATGAACTCCAAATCTGTGGGGAACTTGTAAAATGCAATAACAATACCTGTGCTAGCAGACCAAAGAACTTTTCATATGTTCTCAGCTGGGCGCAGCAATCGAGAATCATGTTGCACAGTTCCACCTGATGAAGGAGACATACATTAGAAAGGAGAATTTCATTTCATACAGGAAACAGCCAAATTATTATCAGGAATCTGTGAAAAAGGAAAATATAAACATTTAGTGCTTTGTTACTTGCACTAGTGCAACCCAATATTACACAGTGCAACCTAGTTATTAGTCTAATTTGCACCAGGTGCAAGTCAATTTTTGAGAAATAAATCTACAATAAATCTAACATTATAAGCATAAATATGTCAGCTCATTTTTCTTCTAAACTTTGAATAGTTATGGCACCGAAACAATGCTATTTATAGACACATGTCGGCTATGACAGCTTTTGTAAACAGGGTTCATCTGTGTCTCTGTGTTGCTATGGTTTCATGGGTACTACATCATGGAAATATGTTTATGTGCACTGAAACCTCTGATGTTTTAACACACTATGTTTAATAGTTCATGTTATCTGAAGGACCACAGTGATGCTGGCCCTACAAAGTTTAGCATCAATGTGAGGTGAGGTGAGGTGAAATTGGGTTTAACGTCGTGCTTGAGAATATTTCGCTCATATGATGAAGTGCATGCGTGTGTATGGGTATGTGCGGCTGCTTGTACTAGCCCAGATTTAAGCTGGTTTTATAGTGCTAGCCCACTGAGATACCATGCCGCAGTGAAGCATGAATACCCCACTCAGACATATTATACTGATTCCGAGCCGACCAGTCCTTGTTGTACCCATTATTGCCGAGAGCCAGGCAGGGACCAACAAGTACCATATTTTAACGTCTTTTGGTATCGGTCGGGATTGAACCCGGGACCTTCCTCTCTCCGAGCGAATGCTCTAACCACTACACCACGGAGGCGGTTTGCATCAATGTGAGGGGCAAGGAAATGGGTACAGTGCTGATGAATCATCGCCAGGACAATTTTGGATTAAATGGATTCTGGGACACCCTGGAATGCAAGTCAGCACAGCAAATTGCAGAATTTTAGAGGACTGAGTTACCAGTGTCACAAGCACAAGAAACAAACTTGTCCTGGCATTCTTTGTTACCACCAGGAGACGATTGCTTCTTGTGCTGTTTTGCCAACATGTGAAACTTTTTTTAAAATACCACCGATATAGCCACGAAATAACTCATAGTGGCAAATTGGGCCAGACATTGATACTACGAGTATACTCGTGGTGGCAGTCAAAGTGTTAACTACCAGTAGCTGGAATGGAACTATACACAGTTCCAAAAGGAACGCAACTCGTCCAATATGTGATGTAATGGTGAATAAAGTGATTGATGTTTGCTTCTGAAAATGTGCAAAAAATGCAGTGTGGGTCCTTAAACTGAACACTCAAATTATCTTTATTTATAACCAGGCATGTTGTTTGATAATGTCAGTAACACATCATGAAACTCTGCCATTTGGTAACGTCACGAGTCATGGAAAATGAAATTTCAGAATCGAGTATGGTCTACATTAGCAGCCATGTCTGTGTCATCAGAACACACAACTGATGAGAGGGTCATTTCCTGTAATTTCAAACATTTGTAATGGTTGCATTTCTTTTGGACTTCAGTATATTTACTTCTTGTCCTGGCTTCATCTCCATACGGAGCAGCTTGTGGGCACACTCCTCAAAGTCCAGACTTGACTGGATGGTCAGGTAGATTGTCCGGCGCAAGGCCACCAGGTTGGTCTCAGTGTTGTCAATGATTATCTGTTTGGCTTCCTCATCTAGAAACAGTGACATCTTTACATTGTTTTTCAAATCTTTTGGTGTTGCATTTTCATAGACTTTGTGTTAAAAAGACTCTTTATAATGTGTTTCAAAATTCTTTACACTATAATTGTGTGTTACCAAACTCTTTACATTGTATTCATAAAATCATTACATTATGTCTCTAACATTTTTGTTACCAAACTCTTTACGTGTTTCCAAACTCTTAGCTGTCTTTCAAAACTCTTTACAGTGTCTTTCAAAACTTTTTACACTGCCCTTCAGTGTTGTGTTTCAATAATTGTGTGTTACCAAACTCTTTACATTGTATTCATAAAATCATTACATTATGTCTCTAACATATTTGTTACCAAACTCTTTACAATGTGTTTCCAAACTCTTAGCTGTCTTTCAAAACTTGTTACACTGCCCTTCAATGTTGTGTTTCAATAATTGTGTGTTACCAAACTCTTAACATTGTATTCATAAAATCGTTACATTATGTCTCTAACATATTTGTTACCAAACTCTTTACAATGAGTTTTCATTATTTCAAGCTCCTACCCTTGGATTTTAAGATGCAATGTGTTACTGTAGAAGGGTGTTGTGTCTTTCAACAGATGACATCCTTACCATGTCTGCTCAACCTCTTTGGTCAAATGGACAATGACTCTGACCTCGGATCATAAGGTCCGTGGTTCCAATTCCATTTTAATTGTAAAGCATTTGCACAAGTTATTTCCATACCCCACATCAATCCCAATACATCAATATCATAAAGATTCATAAGAACATTGTCTTTTATATTCACAAACACAAATTCAAAGTTCAGAAGATGACAAGGAGGTCAGGCCTGGAAATGGACATGAAAGCTCTGATGCATGAAATACACAATGCCATTTTAGAAAGTGGTCAAATGTAACATATGATATATTTGGGATTACACTTTCTCTATAAAGTACAGATTCTAGTACTTTTGGTTGAGTCCCATCCGGTATTAGCTTTCGGACGTGGGAGCCATGCCAATTAACACTTATCAGAGGGGTACACAAAGTCCGCAGTCTAGACTACCAGTTGTCCGACTTCCATTTTTTGTGGAAGACACGGTGGCTGAGCGGTCTAGGCGTCTGACTTTGTGTGCTGGCGATTAGGTGCCTCTCTCTGAGGGTGTGGGTTCGAATCCCGGATGGGACTCAACCCCTAAAAAGTACTAGAATCTGTACTTGACTGAGAAAGTGTAATCCCAAATATAACATATGTTATATTTCTGATGCAATTACTTAACTACCAAGCCAACATATCCACTTGACATTGTACAAACCTTCCTCATCTTCATCACTGTCTTCCTCGCTGCTGGACCCCGATCCGCTCTCCCCTTCATCAGAGCTGCACTCTTCTAGAATCTCTGCAAGGAGTGAGTGAGTGAGTGAGGTTAGTTTTACACAGCTTTTAACAATATTCCAGCAATATTACGGAGAGGTACCAGATTATTGTGTTTTAAGTTATCAAAAATAGAGTGTAAATGTCAAAGGAGATGTTTTACGTCACAGTCTGTAGTAATCCAGCCATATCAAGTTGGCTGCAAATAATCAGTCATTCAATCCGTTGATCGACTGCATGACAACCAACCACACTGTCGGAGCACAATGACATCCAATCAACCAGGTCAAACATTGTAACCACTCAATCCTCATCTAACAGACCTGGTGTCTGCAAGACTTCCCAGTATAATGTTTGGAAGGGTTGGCCATCTAGAAACTCAATACATTCCATACATGCAAAACAACCATTTGATCCTTTCCCTTGTATAACACTGGACGCAGATTCTAACTGCTGCCATGAGAGCTATGCATGTGCATCAGTACATTAGTTCAATCTCCACACCTCTCTTGAGAGACTTGTACTTGTCTTCATTTTCCAAATAGTCTGGATCAGCTCGAAACACATCTGAAACATACACAAAGATGTTATGAGTTCATTAGTACATGACCATCATGCATTGCTGCACCTGTTCATACATGCATACATTCCCATAGCACACCGAAACAGAAGGAACTTTGGGGAAAGTGAGTGAGTGAGTTGGGTTTACGCCACTTTTTGTAACATTCCAGCAATATCACGGCGGGGTACACCAGAAATGGGCTTCACACATTGTACCCATGTGGGGAATTGAACCCCGGTCTTCGTCGTGATGAGCGAACACTTTAACCATAAGGCTTAACCATACACAAAGATAGTGCCACATAACACTTTAAATGATGTATGATAATCTTTCATGACCAATGTTTAGAGCAACCAGTTGCCTTTGCTCCAGACATGGAGAACGGTTCTTGTCAGTCCAGATATTGGCATTAGGTTACCAAGTTACTGCATAGAATAGACAATTATTTCTTATTTGGTGTCTCAAATTCTTTATGCAACAGATATCACAGGTCATTACAAAAAATTCATAAACACGAGTAAATAGTTACTGGTACAAGTCCAATACACATTCACTCACTGTGGCCATATAATCCCCAATAAAGCGCCTGTAATGCTTACCCACTAAGGCCCTATAATCTCCTGTCAAGACTGAGTCATATTTAACTAGAGGGCTGTCTAATCCCCAATCAGTTCTGATCACACTAAGGCTATCTCATCTACAGTCAGGTTCAAATCATATTTGGCCACTGAGGATGTCTACTCGAAAAACAAGTGTGAATAATACTGAGGCTATCTAATCCTCAATCAGTTCTAATCATACTGAGGATATCTAATCCCAAACAAGTTTGAATCATTCTGAGGATATCTAATCCCCAATGAAGGTCTAATCATACTTAGCCGCAGAGGCTATCTAATCCTCAATCAGTTCTAATCATATGGAGGTTATCTAATCCCCAAGCAAGTTCTAATCATACTGAGGATATCTAATCCCCAATCAAGGTCTAATCACATGTATTGAGGCCATTGAAGCTATCTGATTCTCAACTAAGTTGTATTTCCACTCAGACATTAGGAACACCTGATACTTGGGAACTACTAGCAATTAGTTTGTACTCTTTTCCTTGTAAATCTGTATGAAAGTGTGAGTGGAGGACTACAAATAATTACTCAGGAGGTCCTCTGACTGCACAGCATCTTCCAGGGTGATGAGATGTGTGAACTGATCCACCTCTTCCACAAGGTCAAGGTCATCAACAACGGCAACATGATCCTAGAAGTCAAACATGGTTCGTGTGTAGTATCCAAAAACAAAAGTGGGGTAGGTGCCCAGAGATATTTGGGGATTGTTCGAACAGTATGTGGATCTAAGGACATCCTGAATCTTCAACGAAATCAGGCCAACAACAAAGTCGCTTTGACTTTTAAAATAATAATCAAGATATAACAAGAAACCACATAGTCCATGATCTTGATAATAAGCTCTTGAACTGAATGTCCAGAAGTCATTGATATAAGCTTTTGAACTGTGAGTGATTGAGTTTGGTTTTACACCGCTTTCAGCACATTTCCAGCAATATCATAGCAGGGGACACCAGAAATGGGCTTTACACATTGTACCCATGCGGGGAATCAAACCCAGGTCTATAGCATGATAGGCGGATGCTTTAACCCATGTATGTCAAGAATTCAGTAAAACAATTTGTCACTTTCACAATAAAATAAACCCATACCTTGAAGCCGTCTTTCCGGATAGCAAACATCACCTCCACCATGTACTGGACCCGAGTGTCAATCATGCCTTCATGCAAAATGTTACGCAGGCGCTCAAATATTGCTGAAATGACAAAGCGTGTTCACCTAGTATTTTCACTCATTGTGGACCAAATGACATCCATTCAATACAAACCAGATAAACAGCAATCTCTTATGTAGCTGGCTGTCAACAGGTGATTGTAAGAGTGTAAGCAAGTGAGTTTATTTTTACGCCGCACTCAGCAATATTCCAGCAATATTGCGCAGGTCTGTTAATAATCGAGTCACTACCAGACAATCCAGTGATCAACACCATGAGCATCAATCTACGCAACTGGGAACTGATGACATGTGTCAACTAAGTCAGCAAGTCTGACCACCCGATCCCGTTAGTCGCCTCTTATGGCAAGCATGGGTTACTGAAGATTAATTCTAACCAGGATTGAAAGAGTGTGAGTTAGTACCGTATCCTATCAGGAGTTGCCAAGCATTGCTCAGTCTCATACATGAGTTAACTTCACACTCATCTTGTCATCATTCTTGGAAAGAAGCAACGTTATAAACTGCATGCATGCTCCCACGTTTTGTTTTTGTTTACTACTTGAAAGAAGCGTGACATGCATCAAATCACATCAAACATTTGGATTTATCGTCAGCATCTCAGATTTATCTGTAGGGCTGGCTATCGATATCGATCATGGAGATCAATAATCGTCAACTAAAGATCAACTGATTATTGATAAACACTGGAGAAGTTAATTTGAGCAAAAACGCCAAAAAAGTCAGAAAGAAATGACTATATTTCACTTACTGACTGGTGACATGTTTATGCATGGATTACTAAGAAAAAAGCGGCCTGAACATATCTTAGAGGCAGCCAATGAACAAGGCCTAACTTTGTATATTGTGTGATTAAATTAAAACTTAATTCTATCACAAAAGTTTATGTACTATATTATTGATGACATAATGTTCATATCGGTAATCATTCACAATTTTTCCTATCGACTGTATATCTGATTATCATCATAGCCAGCCCTATTTTTCCGCCTACCATTTTGGAACAATTTCACCAGCACCAATAACATATTTGGTAGTGAGTTCTAGACACTGCCTCTAGCTATATTCCACCATTATCAGGACTGGGGCAGGGTAACACCAAACACTCTCTGACAACAAGTTCTGGTCAATGAACAAGGCCAACTCATCAACAGTATGTAGCTATTTCTATTCCACCCGTGAAGATCCGGTTTAGAATTGGTCTTCAGTAACCCTTGCTTGTTGTAAAAGGCGACTAACAGGATCAGGTGGTCATGCTCGAGGACTGCGGTTGATCACTGAATTGTCTGGTCCAGACTCCAATCAATCAATCCAACGATACACTGTCTAATTTTGTCGGACATCATAATGACTCTATATATCATCTGACTTCTGGCCTTCTTTTAAGTGCCTTGAGCATACTTAATTGTGTGGATTGTTGCACTATACATGTTGCCTTATTAGGTCTTTAGATGAAAGTCTGGAAGATCTACTGTTATTATCCGAATATTATTATTATTCTTATTATTATTTGTACAAATTTTGTGACAGCTCTTCTGAACGAACTACTGGGTCGATTTTCACGAAACTTTCAGGGGTGATAGCCTGTGTGCTGAAATTGATACATAGTCAAAGAAATCCCGACTTCCGGCTTCCGGTAAGGGCAGACAACACAAAATGTCAAAATCTTTACACATCAATATCTCAAAAACTATGATATAAATTGACCTAATTTTTACTCATTGTAGACAATATCATTCCCCATCGATTGAACGCATAGCGGAAGTTGGCCGGCAGGATAGATTTTCCGCCATTTTGAAAGAAACCTGATTTTTTTTTTGATTTTCGCGTTTTGACGGTGCCTGTGTTTAAAAATCTTCTCCTGAATGGCAAATAGTACAATCGTGTTTGATATATCATTGTAAAGTCCACATTCAGAAATACATAGAAAGCCCAAGGCATGTTGATATCTTGAATGGTTTTGGAGTTATCGCCCTTGAAAGTTGGTGAATTTTTCAAAGACGCATTTTCATACGGTTCACAAAAATGTCACAACTCTGCGAAAACTCAGTGGACTTCATTTTCCAAAGTACCAATCTGTAGATAATTGAATGGGCAACATCTTTGCTTCAAGATGTTATTATGTAATAATGAATAATTACGACACAAACACAAACATTGCGATTTTCCGCATTTCCGCACGTTTTGACGGTACCTGTGTTTCATAATCTTCTCCTCATGAACGGCAAATAGTACAAATGCATTGTACAATTTTACGACGATGTCGTATTGGCCACAGTCGGGTTGACTGTGGCCAATACGACATTGTGGTAAAATTACCTCACCACGTCTTGACTGAGAACCCAAGCATGTATAACCAATTGATGGCTTTCCAATGCCCAAAGAGCAATGTGCTTTTGGCAAAAACTGGGATTCCAGCAGTTTGTTTACTGGTCTGACCGTGCCAGGATCGCGCAAACCCTTTCTGCTACATCATCATGATTGCAGCGATCCAGCTAAATAAACGCACAATATCTTATACATTTAAAACAGAATCAACCTTCACACACAAAACTGCAGCCATGGCAGTCGTACATGTACTTTCAAATCATCTTAACTGCACCACAGAAATTTTTGAATGGGTGTTTCACAAATGCAATATATGCACATAACATATGCACAGATAGCTAGGATCATGGCGATTCCAGAACACTAATCGTTTTGACCGAAGACCCAAGGACAGCGGAGCTACGGCCTCTAAAAGAGAGAACTATTTTTTCTGTGGGAACTATTTGGTACATGACCCCGCTGCTCTCGTGTCAAAAACGTGTTCTGCCTGCGTTTTGGATGGTTTCTTGCCCTTAAATACACTTCAAACACCCATAACTCCAAGAGTTAAAATGGACGCTCCAGCTGGCATCCAAAGAAACAGTACAAGTAAAGGCAGCCACGGGGAGTGTATGGGGAAGTCTGAAGACCGTCAGTATTGCCCAGGAGGCAATCCTAGTTATTATTATTATTATGTTATTATTATTATTATTATTATTAACTCACCAGTTATTCCTCGGGGAGAGACCTCAGTCAGCTTCTGTCCACACTCCTTGAGGAAGCCAATAGCCACTTCCACGGAGTCATCTGTAGGGTTCTCCATCAGCAGGGTGAGGATCTCCAGGGCGATCACTTCATGGGCCTACAACAGCATACAATATACTTCATTCACATTGGAACAACATACCTATGACAAGCACCGAACATTTCTGGACTTGTTTCAAGCATGACTGCACAGAATAATCTATATTGCTTACGTATTTTTGTCATTAGAACTGGTCTTCACATGTCAACAAATGCACGAAAGATTTTAAACATTTGGGATCATTTCGACATGGAATTTATTCAACAAATGATGTCTAAGAAGAATTTGGCCACGAACAGGCAAACCAGTGGTTGAGAGTAACACATGCTTATGAGTAAGATGCTTCCAGGCTTTCACATTTCAGAAAGTGGGCCAACACCCATCTAAACAAGGGCCAACGTGTTTTATGATTTTAAAAAGTTTATGACCTCACTTTAATACCCATATGGCGAATAATAACCAGTGTCATGTGCGCATATCACTCTTGCCTAGCAACCATTGTTTCTGTATTTCGCCGTCTGTGACGTCATTACACAACTGAAGGTAACGTCATGGAAGAGGGCCGTCACACTTGCTTACTGTGTTTTACCGCACAAATGTACATGAATAAAATGGATAATAAAGAAATTATTACACTCGAGCAAGTGTGTCATACAACCGATACGAAATTTACACTTCCTCGTTTAATAATCTCTATATATGAACACTCCAGGAAATGGCCATCACGTGATCATGCTCACTCACATATTCCAAGAATCCAATTGTTAGATACCTCAGGGTCCCGATCTACAAAGCATTCGTAACATTACGACCTGTCGTAAATCTACCGCTTACCATAGGCTTACGAACATCATAGTGCATTGAACACTTCGTGGATCGGGACCCAGGATATAATGATGATGAGTGCTCATTATTGCTCTTGTTGAAGATACAGTATATGATTGACATGATAATTACGAAAACATTTCTCAAACTGACATTTTTGACTAAAAAATACCTCACACTAATTCAACAAGGTGTGCCAACTCATCATTATTTGCATGAAATTTGGCACACAGACTATTCAGTTTGCATAAGTAATGACACGACTGCGTATATCCTGTAATCCCACGGCCTAGATGCATCCCTGGTTGAGTATGGTACTTCACACTACAGATTAATAATCCAAAAACTGAATATTTTTTTAAGGATCCATCAGTGTCAACGTTTCACAGCATAAGCTCCCTGCTGGACTAACGCTTATCCTCTGTATATATATACTCAGCAGCAAAACAAAGCGTCAGTATGAATTCAAAATTAGATAGGCACTGTAATCAAATCATTACAGAAATGGACATAATAAGCAGATCAAAACATTTTTGGTGTACAATATCTTGACACATTAATGAATAACTCAGACGTAGGGAAAATAATATGGTTCTGGGACTGAGCTTGGTCAACGTGGCGCATCCGCTGTGATGCCTCCTCTCCCTGGACCAAGGTTCTGGAACACCACAGGACCCACTCTCTGGTTCAGGCTTATTCCCCCCATACCATGATGCTTGCACCTCCCCATGAGTTTCTTTCCATCCAGCTTGCTTGAACTAACCCGCCTGCGAGCTGTCATAAAGGTACAACTTCAGGGCCTATTCAACCCTTAATTCTTAGGGAATTAAACTGACCGAAGACATCAAATCAAACAAAACCTACCACTTGCTGGTTGACCAGGTGAGCTATGAAACGCGTAGAAGACAAACACACAGTCTTGTCATTTCTCCGGAAACCCTTCTTGAACTGCAGAATCAGACGCCTCAGAATCAGCTCACCATTTTGAGGAAACTGAAGAGAAAGCAGGATATGATAAAAATCCACAAATACACACAACTGCTGCTGCTGCAGATTACGGTATTTATTCATGCAACACAAACACTCCAGATATTAAAACAATGGTGTATAAATGATAGCTCTATAGAGAGTCTGGAGCAGACAAACAGTTATTTGACTTATAGTTAATGTCCTATGCATTTTGAGTGAGTGAGTGAGTGAGTGAGTAAAGAGTGAGTGAGTGAGTAAAGAGTGAGTGGGCTGTAAGTAATCAAGTCTTGACCAGACAGTCCAGTGATCAACAGCATGAGCATCATCTATGCAACTGGGATACGATGACATGCGTCATCCAAGTCAGCGAGCCTGACCGCCTGATCCCTTGAGTAGCCTCTTACAACAATCATGAATTACTGAAGACCAATTCTAACCCGGATCTTCACAGGTCACTAGGTACATTAAAATGCAGATCATGATTGTTCTTCTGTACTTCATATATAAATTCATGTATACAAGTCAGTCAGTGCAGTCAGTACAAAAAGATCTGTCAAAAGTCTACACAAGCTCAAATCTTTGAAGGGCATTTAGAAGTGGAATGCACAAGAAAAGTAAGGATTTATGGATGTCAACTTCTTTATTCTGAATAACACAATATTTCGGAGTATATGCTTCTTGCTCCTTCATCAGGTGAATGATGAAGGAGCAAACATACACGTTGAAACGTGTTATTCACAATAAAGAAGTTGACATCCATAAATCTTGCTTTTCTTCTACACAAGCTGAAAAAGCTACACTGGGTTAATATGAACAGCATTGTTGTAGTATTAGGTGTTCAAATTTCTTCCAAAGCAACTAAAAATGATTGGGTTTTAGTAACTTAGTTTGTGTATTTAATGCAAATAAGCTCATCTGGATATCTAGCCAGAGGAACCGATAAGCTGTGTATCTGTGTAAATTACGCAAATATTTATGTGAAAACTCAATTCCTATAAGTCTATTGTATACACTGACTGACTGACTGAGTTTAGTTTTACGCCGCTTTTAGCAATATTCCAGCAATATCATGGCGGGGGACACCAGAAATGGGCTTAACACATTGTGCCCATGTGGGCTATTGTGTACAAGTACGCTTGAATTTTCATAAATACTCAATAAATGCGTACACACAAATATGTCAAATCTTAGCATCGCGTACCGATGGATAGATAAGATAACTGAGGTATATTGAGAGGTTCTATTTCAGCACCTGAACTTGGAACTTGCAGTCTTTCTTATTGTTTCTCATATTACAGATCAAATATAAATAACAAACACTAACATTTAAACTTGATTATATTTATAAATTAATCGAAAATGGCTAAATACCCAATTGAGTTTGAGTGAGATGAGTACAATTTATTTGGTTACTGAAAGGAAAATTAGGATACCGAATTGAGATGAACACAAGCGAGTACATAACTCAATGACCCCAAAAGTTATCTCAGCTCTGTCTGGTACAGCATCATTCCTTCAGTGCAAAGAAAAGAGGTACCCTACTTACTTTAGTGTTGATGATGGCGACTAGAGCAGCGTAGACATGGGTGAAGGTTGGTGACAGGGTCTGTGCTTGAATGACCGATCTGGCCAGGTGACCTCTGTGAAAGAATGCTTGTAAGTTAGGTTAGGAGATCAGGGGCTGTCGACAAGGTCTGTATTGTTTTGTTTGCTTGTTAAGTTTATCCGCTGCTCTCGGCAATTTTTCTAGCTTTATGGCGTCTGTAAATGAGTGAGTGAGCGAGTTTTGGTTTTATGCCGCTTTTAGCAATATTCCAGCAATATCACGGCAGGGGACACCAGAAATGGGCTTCACATATTGGTCCCATGTGGGGAATCGAACGCGTCTGTAAATAATTGAGTCAAGACCCAACAATCAGTGTGCCATCATGGCGCAAATGGGATGCAATGACATGCATCAACTAAGTCCGTGAGCCTGGCTAGCTCTATATTGTCTCTTAGACAAAGAAAGGGTTGCAGAAGAACAGTTCTGACCAAGATGTTTACAGGTCCCTGGTAAAGGTGATCATGGAGGTCAAAAGGTGGAATTCTGGCTTCAGCGGGTGAGTGAGTGAGTGAGTTTGGTTTTACACCGCTTTTTGTAATATTCCAGCAATATCACGGTGTCCTCAAACCATAGTGAAGTCCTGCCACAAAACCCTTAGGGAGTGAGACAGTTAAAGATTTAAGTCACATCGGCAATATTACAGCTATATCATCGCCAAAACCCTCAGGAACAATGAAACACTGCTCTTTTTTATGTCGTTCCTGTTTTTTATCAGCAGCGCTACTAGAAATAGTAAAAGGTCTCCCAGTAACAAAACAATATCAGCAATTAAACCTTGATCATTCATCATTTATGAGTGAGTGAGTATGGTTTAACGCAGCTTTTAGCAATATTCCAGCAATATCATGGTGGGGGACACCAGGCTTCACACATTGTACCCATGCTGGGAATCGAACCCAGATCTTGGTCATGATGAGCAAACGCTTTACCACTAGGCTACCCCACCACCCCTGGGTACAGCAATATTCCAGCAATATCATGATCGGGGACACCAGGCTTCACACATTGTACCCATGCTGGGAATCAAACTCAGATCTTGGTCATGATGAGCAAACGCTTTACCACTAGGCTACCCACACCCCTGGGTACAGCAATATTCCAGCAATATCATGATCGGGGACACCAGGCTTCACACATTGTACCCATGCTGGGAATCGAACCCAGATCTTGGTCATGGTGAGCGAACACTTTACCACTAGGCTACCCCACCACCCCTGGGTACAGTAAGTGAGTGAGTGAGCATCATGAAATGTCATGCCATAGTATAACAGACATGGTGATGACAAACCAATAATCAAAAATTATGAGGAATATGGACCAATCATCATGGGATCGTGGTTTGCCACATGGGGCACAAATAGAGATCATTGGGTGATGTTTAGTTAAATATATGGACAAATTTTGGCATAATCAGATCATCGAGCTCATACTTCATAACTTGAATCTGGATTTGAATCTGACAATATTCTCACCTTCCTCTGACAATATTCTCCTGGAACAGCTCCTTGACAATCAAGATGATGTTTGAGACGTTCACTTTGTTGATGAGACCGTTGATGCTCTTCTTCAGAGCCTCCCAAGATATACGCTGGTACTCCACACTGAAACAACAGTCACATAATGGAATTTTCAAGTAAAATTGATATTTTTATACTTATCCTGATTCATGATCTTTTGCTTATCTCCATTTCCTTTGCGAATGGAAGTGGAACACTTGAATCCCTTGAAGTTCCCGAGGCGGACGTAAAAGTACACTCACCCACGAGTTACCTCCCTTTTGCCCTTTTCCCGTGCAAACAGTCATGCGACCAGCCTTACTTGTCACTCTCTCCTGATTTTCTGCCCATGCACTTGGATCTGCTGTAAAATCCAAACTGTCTTCAGCGGGGAGGTTGGGAGGGCTTCTCGTCATGAGTCAGGATAAGTATAAAAATATCAAGTTTACTTGAAAAATTACATATTTTTTCTTATCCTTACTCATGATCTATTGCTTATAGAATCCGACAGATTGGTGGTGGGTCAAGCCACTTCGTGGATTCATCAGCTGTCCTTAAATACGTCCTGTATCCCCCCCATGGGAACTGGCGAAACGGCATTTCCGTGAACTGTCTATCTGGCTGACCAGGTAGTTGGTTCTTGGCAATGAAGTCCCATCTAAGTCCTAGAAGAACTGCAGCATGTTGTCCCTTGTCGAATCTGGTTCGACCAAAGTCCAGCACATGTTATCTCTGATATTCGAGCTGCCGTGGCTAGCGCAAACAGGAACAGAGTCTTTTGTGTCAGCAGCTCGAAGGTACTCTGGTCTAGAGGTTTGTAGGCATCACTCGTCAGATGACGTAGAATTACATTCAGATCCCAGGCCGGAGCTCTGAACTTCCTTTGCTGGTCCTCCAGTTTAAAAAATCTCAGCAGAGAAGTAATTCTGGTACTTTCGTCAACTTGATGCCTGTTTTCATGGTAATCACTGTACTGATGGCGGCGAGGTATGTAGATAATGTCGAACCTTTCGGAGTGAGTGAGTGAGTATGGTTTTACGCCGCTTTTAGCAATATTCCAGCAATATCACGGCGGGGGACACCAGAAATGGGCTTCACACATTGCACCCATGTGGGGAATCGAACCCGGGTCTTCAGCATGTCGAGCGACGCTTTAACCATTAGGCTACCCCACCGCCCCAAACCTTTCAGATGTCTGGTCTGTCATAGGTATTCCGCCACTTGAGGATGAGTAGCTTTCATCGCAGTGAAGCCATTCCGCCTTGCATAAGTCTCAAAATTCAGCCACTTGTCATCATACAGGTTACGAGTAGATCTGCATACAGTGACGTTACTGCCTGGCTGCCCTGGCGGAGTATCCTCCTTTCTTCGAACATGTTTTGATACGGTCCACACGTGTAGCTGGAACGCTGTCGGGTTCCCGTGGACTTGCTTGATGTGCGGATGTATGAGTAGGTTCGGCCAATCTGGTAACTTGATTGTTGGACTTTCGAGATCTTCTATTAGGTCTAGGAACCATACTCTCGCTGGCCAGTATGGCGCGACCAAAGTCAGTTGTAGCACCCGTGTCTGTTTGATCTTCAACCATACTTCCGGTAGTAATATCGGGGATGGAAACGCGTAAGCGTAAGTCCTTCCTAAGATATGTTCAGTGCATCTGTTGCCCAGGCTTGAGGATCTGGAACTGTTGAGACAAACGTCTGTAGTTGTTTGTTGAACCTCGTGGCAAACAGGTCTATGCAGGGGATCCTATTTCCCTTATGATGAGCTGGAACGCTTCTGGGTGGAGCATCCATTCCGTAGTTGACGGGTGCAGTGGTCGGGAGAGAGCGCCTGCAAGTACGTTCTTGGCTCCGGGTATGTGACACGCCTTTATCCAGATGTTTGCTTCCTCTGTGATGTGGAACAACTTGAATGTAAGCTGTAGCAGGCTTGGAGACCCTGTGGATCCTTGCCGATTTATGGAGAATGCCACTGTAGAGTTGTCCGTGTGGACCATCAGCATTTTGTTTCAACGAGCTCGACCATAGTAGTAAGGCGTTGATCACGGCTTTCATCTCCAGCAGATTGATGTGAAGATGCTGCTCTATTTTGGACCACCTTCCTGATGCAACTTGATTGTTGAGATGCGCACCCCAACCTTGTATCGAAGCGTCTACGTAGAGATGTGAGTCGAAGGCCGGCACTTGTAAATAGGTCCCTCCACAAACGTTCAACCTATGTGTCCACCATAGTAGATACCTCTTGAGGTTGTCTGGCATAAAGATAGGGTCAATGCTGTCTAGATGTTTTGTCACGAACTGTTGCAGTGGTCTTAGTTGTAACCTTCCTGTGCGAGTCAAGTCCTGCGCCAAGGTTAGTAGACCGAGTAGAACTTGCCATGATCGTAGTGTTAATGGAGAGATGACTGCTGGTGGAATCATGGCTTGTATCTTGACCCAACGATCTTCTGGGACAACAATACGATTCTGTGTTGTGATAAACCTTATCCCCAGAAATTGCATATCTTGTTTTGGTTCCAACTCTGACTTCATAAGGTTCACCAGCCATCCTAGTTGAGTGAGCAACTTGATCGTGAAGTTCAGCTGTAGTCTGAGTTGACTGGCATCTTGGTGAACCTGAATTCCGTCGTCCAAGTAGACCTCGATGATGTAGATATGCGACTATAGGCTTGGTTATTCGTGCGAATAGCCACGGAGCCGAAGATATTCCAAACGGTAAGACGTTCCATTGGAAGTGCTGCCCTCTGAATAGGAATCATAGATACTTTCTTGATTCTGGATGTATGGGGATGTGTAGATATGCATCCTGTAGGTCTATGCTGGCCATGTAATCTGCTGGACAGATGAGTAGTCTGAGTTGAGGTAGGTGGATCATTCTGAACCTCTCTGTTTTCAGTAGATAGTCTTTGTTGAATTTGCGCATGTTGTAAATCAGTCTGAACTTCTCCTTGGAGTTCTTCTTGGGTACTAGAAAAATTGGGGAGTAGAAGCCTGGAGTGAGATGATGCTGATCTATTATCTCTACCGCCTCCTTCATAAGTAGTGAGTTGATGGCTTCTTGTAGTTTGTCTGCCTGTTCCTCTGCATAGTCGAAGACCATCGGGCTGAGGGTTAGCAGAGGTATGGCCTTGAGTTGTACCCTGTATCCTTCTCTTAGTACTTCGGAGACGTAGTCGTTCTCTAGTATTCCCCAATTTTTCCAGTACCTTTGTAGACGTCCACTCACTGTCGATGGTTTTACAGGAACGGCTGGGGGTGGAAGACTTCAGTCGTTCCGAATCTTGATATCAACGTCTAGTTCCTCTGGATCCTCTGGGAGTGCGGCCTCTCCCTGAGTTTCCTCTGTTATTTCCGGATGGGCAACGAAAAGATCCTTTGCCGCCTCTGAAGCTGGAGTACTTCTTCTCCTTTGCCTTCTGTATGCCGGAATATTTGGACTTACTGTTATACTTTTGCGAAGTATGACGGATGACATTGGCCAGAGAATCTATGGATTTTATCATCATAACTTCTCTAGAGTCGTGCGTAGCTTCCTTAGCTGCATCGTCTATTTGTCCTCCAAAGATAGTAGGCGCCTCCCATGGAGCTCTCAGTGGCGGTTGGGTGAATCTATCACTCCATGAACAGGATGCAAGTAGCCCTTGTCTGCATAGTAAAGTGAGACCTGCAGATATAGATGCCAGATGGTCCGATAAAAAGTATTGGTCCTTCTGTGTTATGAGGGCCGAATATATCATTCTATCCTCTTCCGAACTTGCGTTCTGGAATTTATTGATCAATGCTTCATTGATGGCTCTGGACCTGGCCAACCCAAAGAAGGACCTCCTTGTAGCAGTATCCAGTTGAGATAACTTTTTATCTTCCACTTTATACATCTTGTTTCGTGAGTCGTTGACTAGCTTTATGTTGTCATCCCATTCAGGCACCTTTGTAAATGGATCCATATGATGTAAGGGGAATCTCTCCACATTAAATGATGGCAGATGCTGACTCTGGTACTTGGATGCTTTCGCAAAAGCTGTGCGTAGGTTAGAGGGTACCTTGGATATAGGTGCAATCGGCGGGATAGTGACGGAGTCAAAGTCGTCGTTACGCATCATATAATTGAGATTTCATCTTTATCCTTAGAAGGAGACTCCAAGTTCAACCCGTTGGCAATCCACGCTGTAACCTCTGAGTCTGGGAAGACGAAGTCTGCTTGCTGATCCAGAGTCTCCTGATTATTAGAGCTAGGCCTCTGCGACTCATCCATCTGCGAACCTGTATCCCTTCTCGAACCTTCATCATCCTTTCGCGAACCTCTATCTGAAGATTCCTCCCTATGCGAACATCTATCTTGAGAGTGCTCTCTTCACGAACCTGTATCTGTAGATTCATCTTTTCGCGAACCTCTGTGATGTGAGCTATCTCTTCGCGAACGTCTGTCGCTAGATGTATCCCTTCGCGAACTTCTGTGACGTGAGCCTTCTCTTTGCAAACCTCTGTCTCATGATGAGTGACTTCGCGAACGTCTGTGAGAGATATGAGATCTCGATCTAGAGCGGCTAGGTGTAGGAGATGGATCCTTCAATGTTCTCGAACATTGAGGGTTCGCGAATGTAGAACTGTGAGTAGGCATCTCATCTCTACTATCCTCCTCTAAGATGAGAGTCGTCCGACTGTGGAGACCTTTGCAAAGGTGTACATTCACCAACGTAGTCTTGAGACGTAGTTCTATGAGGAGTAGGTTAGTACTAGCACGCGTAGATTTACCCTCCGATCTGGTAACAGATGCTTTCTTCTGCGATGTAGTAGAAGATGACGTCTTTTTCTTAGCTTGAGTCGGAGTCAATTGCGTTGTAGCCAATCTCTTCCTGGCCCCCGTACCAGCAGACTGCCTCTGCAACGTACTAAACATAGCACCAGTATTATGAACTTCAGCAGTAGCAAGCAACATACGGTTTGTAGGCTGATCTCCTGTTTTATCAGCCGTGACTTGAGATGACTTCCTCATCAGATCCATGGCACGTCTATAGATATAAGACAAATATTGATTAAATTGAAGATTTGATAAATCAACACAATAAGTACAGCGCAAGCTGGAAGAACATGGTTTCGTGCACGAAGGACACTGGATCAGCCACGGATAACCTGTGTCTGCAAACACTGCAAGATTTCATGAAATGTAAACAAAGTTACATTACGATGAATTTATGACATAAATACAAATAATTTTTACAAAATTTTTACAAATAATACATAGTAGTTATTGCCAAATCCATATACAGCATAATTTTGAAGAATAGGACCTAAATAAAAGGATATAAAGCTGTATAAGGGACTCCAGTGCTCCAGTGAAAAGGGAGAGAGTGACAAGTAAGGCTGGTCACATGACTGTTTGCGCGGGAAAAGGGGAGGTAACTCATGGGTGAGTGTATTTTTACGTTCGCTTCGGGAACTTCAAGGGATTCAAGTGTTCCGCTACCATTCGAAAAGGAAAGGGAGATAAGCAAAAAATCATGAGTCAGGATAAGAAAAAATTTACAAGGCTTGTTTAACACCACACTCAGCAATATTCCACCTTTGATGGCGGTCTGTAAATAATCGAGTCTGGACCAGACACTCCAGTGACCAACATCATGTGCATCGATCTACACAATTAGGATACGATGACATGTGTCAACCAAGTCAGAGAGCTTGACCACCTGATCCCATTAGTCGCCTCTTACGACAAGCATGGGTTACTGAAGATCAATTCTAACCCGGACCTTCACGGGAAGAGCATTGAATTAAGCAACTGGTATACATGGACATCAACCAAGTCAACAAATCTGACCACCCGATCTGTTCATCAACTCTTTCAACAGATACAAGTTGCTGAAAAACAATTCTAAACTGGATCTTCATAAGTACTATCCATAATCACAGACTTCACCAGTGAGTATGGTTTTACATCAAGCGCTTTTCGCAATATTCCAGCAACATCACAGCAGAGAACACCAGAAATTGACTTGAATTGAGTGAATGCTTTAACCACTAGACTACCCCACCGGCCCTACTTCTTGAAGAAGAGTCAAACATATACCACCCACCTGCTCTTGTCGGTTATCTGTGCTTGCATCATGCGTAGTTTGGCAGGTGGGATGTAGGCACCGCCTGTTTTCCCTGTCAACATTTGCTTGCCTGTAGGTGCAGCCTTGGCCACCTTAGCGACAGGCTCCCCTTCACCACCGCCAGCAGCTGCAGGATCTGCTTCCCCAACTCTTCTCTTGCGAGAGTTGCTGTCAATAACAAATATCAACATAACTTAATTCATGGGTATTTTTAACATTAGCCAAAGTAATCCAAGTGGTTGCTGCAACACCAGAAGAAAATCAGTTACGATGGTGACAATGAAGATGTGTTCGAAGAAGTGGTTCAAAAAGTTTCCACTCAAAGGTCGAAAGAAGGACAAATGTACAATGTGAGATAGGATAAGGTTGAAAATTATGTATTTTCTCTCATATTTTAATTGTAAGGAATATTTCAACCTGCAAAGTTCTTGACAAAGAAACATTTAAGTCACGTTTATATTCCAGTTTAATCATTATGGCTATTATAAAACTACTGAACGAAAGCAGTGTTCGAAAAGTCTGTGAAAATCGGCAAAAGCGGTAGACTTCACTATCCACATTATTACTAATATTTACACTTCATCCTGTTTATAAATCTTATTTAATGTATAAGAAATATTAAATCTGAAATATGTATTAGTCATATGCATTTTTTGGGCAATATATGAAATGCATATTGACTTTGAAACACTATGTAGTGTGTCAAAATGGCAACACTGTATATTGGGAGAAAAAGATATGTTGGCCATGCATATTTTGATGGCAACACTGTAATGACCACTGGCCGTTTTTAATTAGCTGATTGTTGATGAAGATCCTACATGGTACATAATAAAGATATCATTTTCTAAGGATGTAACAAATCTGTATTGGAATATGTATTGTGACAATATTTTGGGAGCAAAAGTCATGGCTCCTGAATGTAGACGAAAATCCAACTTTGTTTGTTTGTTTGTTGTTAAAATGCTGCACTCAGCAATATTCCAGCTATATGGCAGCAGTCAGTAAATAATTGAGTCTGGACCAGACAATCCAGTGATCAACAGCATGAGCATCAATCAACGCAATTTGGATACGATGACATGTGTCAACCAAGTGAGCGAGCCTGACCACCCGATCCCGTTAGCTGCCTTTTACGACAAGCATGGCTTCAACTTTGTACATACTAAATATATATATATTACAAGGTCCAAGTCAGCAAGGTCAGTTGAAGCTATCATGGATACAGGAGAGAATATAACAAATTACTTCCAGTTTTTCAAATAACAAACATCATTCCTGAATAAATTTTTGTGTAGAACTCAATTAGTAACAATTAGACAATACACTGAAAACAGAAACTATACCATTTGAAAAATGCATTTCAGCGTACCAGTATTATTGAGTAGTTGTACTTATGTTTTTATGAAATATATGAAGATAAGGAGGAAACCAGGATTTGATACTTTTTGGATCAATCAATTGGAAATATTGTACTAGTTCAAATAATTCATAAGTGTTTCCTGTATGAACATTTTGTAAAATATTTTCCCAAAAGTTCTAAGGAAGTAATACCACAATATTGACTTACCTATCGTTTTCTGTATCCTCCCCATTTCTATCCCTCCTATCCACTCTTCTGTCATTCATCCCTCGTCTGTCGCCTCTGTCATCATTCCATCGATCCCCATCACGGTCGTTCCTTCTCCAACGATCCACCTCTCCATCACCCCTCCATCTGTCCATCTGTCGTTCATCCCTTTCTTCATTCCTCCTGCCACGGTCATCTCTTCTGTCATTCCACCTGCCATCTCGCCTGTCATCTCTTTCATCTCTCCTCATTTTCCCACCTCTTTGATCTCTCCTATCCCTGTCTACACTACCATCTCTCTCTCCCCTTTCATAATTCCTCTCATTCCTTCTGTCATTCTCACGACTACCACCACGTCTTATATCCCCGTTCTCTCTTCTGTCAGGCCTTCTTTCAGCTCACTTCGGTCCTCTCTCCTCCGATGTTTGTCTCTCCTCTCGGATTGTCTGTCTTCATCCTCAGATTCACTGTTCCACTGTTCTTTCCTTCTATCCTTTTCTCTACTGTTGGCCCTGTTAACAACCCTGACGGCAATTTCACTCCTTCTCTTTGGCATTTCTTCCTCACTTTCATCACTGTCGCTGCTGTCACTGCTAGAACTATCGGAACTGTCATCTGAGCTGTCACTCATTTCTTCCTCTTTCTCTCGTTCCCTCTCTCCCTCTTGTCTTTTCTCTCTCTCCCCTCCCCTGTCTGCCCTGCCTTGATGGGCTCTGCTACCATCAGACTCCTTTTCAACCCTTCCTTTCTCTACTCTTTTTTCTATTTCACGGCTCTGGCTCCTATCACCTCTTCTTTTCTCCTCTCTTCTCTCAATCTCACTACTTCCACTTCTATCAAGTCTTCTTTTCTCCTCTTTTCTGTCGATCTCACTGCTTCCGCTTCTATCACCTCTTCTTTTTTCATCTCTTCTTTCTATCTCACTGCTTCCACTTTTATCACCTCTCCTTTTCTCATCTCTTCTTTCGATCTCACTGCTTCCACTTCTATCACCTCTTCTCTTCTCCCTATTTTCCATTTCATTGCTATCACTTCTATCACCTCCCCTTTTCTCTTTTCTTTCCCGCTCTTTACTGCTGCTCTTACTATCTGTAGACTTTTCAGATTTTCTTTCTCTTTCAGGGCTTCCTCTAGTTTTCTCAACTTGTCTTTCTAAATCTTTGTCACTTCTCTTTCTCTCTGCCCTTGCCTCTTTTTCAATACTTCTGCTTCTTGCAGCTATGGTCTTTATTTCTCTCCTTTCCTTCTCTCTGCTTCCATGTCTGTCGCTCTTCACCTTCTCCGCTCTTTCTCTCTCAATACTCCTACTCCTATCACGATTCCTCTCCCCTCGTCTTTCTTGCTCTGTACTGTCATTCCTGTTATCCAAACTCTTCTCACTCTTACTCTGACTCCTGTCATCATCATCCTTGCTCCTCTTCTTCTCTGACCTTGGATCCTTCTCACGACTGGCAAGAGACCCTTCATCACTGTCTTCATCTCTTTGTTTGCGTTTCCGGGTTTCTTCCTCTTCATGTTCTTTCCCCTTCTGCTGATCTCTTCCTTCCTTTTTCTTCCCCTCCCGAGCATCCTGTTCCTTCCTCTCCCTTGCCAAGAGATCCTTCTTCTCTTTCTCCTTCCTTTCTTTGGCTGCAGCCTTTTCCCTCTCTCGTCTCTCCTTGTCTCTTCTCTCCTCTTCCTCTCGGCGTTGAGCTTCTTCCTCCCTCTCAAACTCATCATCATTATCATCCTCCAGCTGCACCAAGGTTACTCTGCAATGCAAGAAACACTTTAACTGGACTCAACCAAAGCTTATTACAATCCCCATTTTCAACTCTCTTGGACCAAAGGATGTCAGACTTCAAAGATGACACTGTTCAGTGGTCCCCCCTCGTGAAAAATAGCGAAAAGTGACAACAAAATAATGATCATTTCTTAAACAGCCTTTTTACTCGGGTGTCTAAAGTTATGAACCAAATCATCAGAGTTGGTCTGTCGATTTCATGTGACTGTGCAAAATTTGGTTTTGTTGCATTTATTAGGTCTCAAATGAAGTCAAACGGACGGCAGTTTCCTGTACAGACATAGCAGTGTCAGTTTAACAAGTATATTTCTTCTAGTATGACAAACTTACCTCTCCTCGTCCTTTTCATTACCATCAGTTTTCTGTAATTTAAACCGATAAAGCATTATCAACTATCAACAAATGAAAGATACAGACAATAATTGAAGTCTAAACAAATGATTATTATGAGAAATCAGTATCTGTATCTGATATTGAATGAATAATTGAATTTTGAAACATAACAGAGCGTAACAGGGTTCAATGTAACCATGGCAACTGAAGTGTTGTAGTTGGTAAATTATTAATATAACATAAAGTGTAGAGTATATAAACGTAAACATCATTTAACGATTTAGCATGAAAGTCTAGGGGTCCTTGCCATAATCAAACTGCTAAAATTTGAAACTTTACGGATCCTCAGTTTAAATATTGAAAGAGCAAACTTCAAGGATACCCCTTCAATTCAAACACTGACTCAAGATTAAAAAGATTGGTAAGATGATGTAAAATAGCTACCCAAGTTAGCGTTGACATGTATCTAATGATGGCAAACACACCTATGACATCTTGTCTAAGCAGTAGCGTTGGGAATTGGTTAAAATCTCATAATTGATGATTGGCTCATTACAACTAATGAATCATCGTAAAATAATTGGTATTTATCAAATTTTCCTGTTATGTTTGTTAATGCACACAAATATAAAGAAAATACATGTTCTTTGGGTTTTGCTAATTGCAAAATTAAAGGATGACTAGCATGTTTGGAACATACATTTCCTGGAGTCTTTATGATAAATTCAATCATGATTTTGAAAAAACACGACCAATTGCTTGGTCGTTTAGTCATTGCATTCAATCTTCAATTATTTCAAATAATCGGACCACCATTAAGCAGAAAATTTCTCTTGGCCCTAACCTATACTTTATATTTGGAAAGTCTTGTGCCATGAAATTGTTAGTGGCAAACAACAGCCTTATCTGCATCTCGATCATTTTGGAATACATCCTATACATCTATGACTTTACTAAGTGTTTGGCTGTTTCTTTCAGAGCTGTTACGTTCATCATTTCATCCCTCAGTTCACATGTTCAATGATTCATTCCAGGCTCTACAGAAATTATCAAGACGTACACAGGACCCTCAAATCTCATAATTATAGTACTGTCGGAAATAGAAAAAAACTGTTTTTAGGCTGTTACTCTGTATCCCTAAAATTGACACAATTGCAAATAGCATATGTCGAAATAACCCACTTCGGCCTAACTGGGCGTTCAGTGGGATGCGTAATATGATATCCAGAAAAGCATGTTTACTCGTAAAATCGGGCAAAACTTAGAAAAAATATGAATGGCTGCTGAAAACAATAGATCAGACTATAGATGGCAATTAGGTCGCTCAGCCAGGTATGACGACGTACCGTTGACTCACCTGGCATGAAATGCACGTGCTGCCTACAGGCACAAGGGGTCATCTCAAAGATATTTTGTGCTTTTTCATGTGTGTTGACTATGTCTCATCTACTGATTAACATCTTACGTGTCTTTCTTTCATAAGGTTTATGTTGAGATATGTAAGAGAGAATGATACCGAAAACCATAGAAACGCATCGTAGTATATAGGTGGCATGACCAAGCGAAGATCGACAGGACTGGATATTATTTGTAAATTGTTATGACGTGCCGTGTACCTCCCCAGTATAATTGCCCTAAAGGATTATCTTATCTTAGCTGATATCTCTATCCCCACGCCCGACCCCAGGTTTTGCTTTTGAGGCGACCCCTCCTATCTGTTTCTTTTTATAGTGACAGTGAGACTGCATGGTAGCTACATCCTTAAAAGTTTCGGCATTGTGTTATCAATTGGTCACTTGGTGTCAGGCATTTGTTTTAAACTATAGAGTGAGTGAGTTTAGTTTTATGCTGCTTTTAGCATTATTCAAGTAATATGGTGGTAGAAACCAGAAATGGGCTACACACATTGTGCCCATGTGAGGAATCGAACCCAGGTCTCAAGCGCGACAAGTGAACGCTTTAACCACTAGGCTACCCCATCGCCCTATAAACTATAGATGTGTTGTAGTTGACAAGGAAGGTTGGAGTAGCATGTTTACCTGTCAGTTTTGATTGGCTGGCATATGTCTGGACTACCATTTGTTAGTTGACAAGATATGGCAGTTTCATGAACTATGAGTGACATTGTAAACCAAAAGTCACTGTGTTCTTTAATCTGATTGGTTGAAAAACATGATCAAATGGCATTCGATTCCCGGAAATTCACTGCGTATTAATACATTCAAACATCGCTCACACTATTGTATTGTTACGTCGTCAGCTGTGATGACATCATTCAAATCATATTGTGACGTAAAGTCAGAATGACGTCAAAAATGAGCAGTTCCAGATGGTACCATGGGAGACAGCCGAAACGGCCGGCTGATGACATTTCACTGCTGTACCCGTACTCGATGTCAATGAGTGCAGACACAAAAACGTGTGTGGACCTTTTGGTTTACTTTTGTGTTTACAATGTCGATAAACATCATGTGTTGGCCAATTTCCGGGTGTTATTGAGTATTTGAAGCACGGGAATATTTCATTTGAAACCTCCGCTGCGCCGTCGGTTCCAAATGAATTCCTGTGCTTCAAATACTCAATAACACCCGGAAATTGGCCAACACATGATGTTTATCTCTAAATGTATAATTAATGGAAGGATTATTCATGTCATCATGCAACTGGCAGGCAGACAATGTGTCGACAGATAGTGATTAAAGATATGTTTATCTTTTTGTTTGCTGTTGGCCTGCACCTATAACAGCATCATGAAACTTACGCAAATGTGTGTCACTCACAGGTTATGCAGTACATTCCAGCTGACAGAACATTCCAGATTTTCAAGTTACAGTACTTCTTATAATTCAGTCCCCACTAACCATGTTTACCTGGATTATCAGTTCCACAAGTATGGGTCACATGACCAATTAAGATGATTAGTCCTCTCATCAAATTATGGCATACCGAATAATAATTTCAATCTGATTAACTCATCTTACCTGTACAGACATCTTGGACTTCTTTCCACTCTTCCCTACATCACTGTCTTCATCTGTTGTGCGTACTTCACCACTCTCTCTGTCACTCTCGTGAGGTCGAGTCTTGCGAGGAGAGCTATCCTTCTCAGACTCATCACTGCTACTGGAATCAGAGTCATCAGAGGAAGATGAAGATGAGTCAGATGACTCCTTACTCTTTTCCCCTTTACTGTCCTCCCTCAATCTCTTCACTCGTTTTCCTTTTTCTTCAGGACGCTTTTTTCCTTCACTTGGACGTTTCTCCTCCTCACTAGAGCTACTGTGATGCCGCTTCTTGTGAGACTGGGAATCCCTCACTCTTTCAGAAGTGTCATTTGACTTTGTGGATTTACACTTCTGTTCACCTGCTGCTCTTGGACTGGGTCTGTCATCACTGGAACTATCATGTCTTCTACGATCGGGCTTCTGCTCTGATCGTGATGACCTCTGAGGGGATTTGCTTGAAGGAGATTTCCTCTGTTTTGGTGAACCACTGCTCTGTTTACGCCTACTCCTTGGACTCTCTGACTTATCTCTCATCTTTGACTTTTCAACCATTCTCTCCCTTGACTGACTTGGTGAAAGGTCCCTCTTTTGTCCATCTGAACTTGGACTTCTGGTCCTTTCACTTTTATTTGTCCTTTGATGTCGATCAGAGACTGGACTTGGCGATTTCTCTACTCTTGACCCCTGTCTATCTCTTTCCAGTCTGCGGTCTAATAATGTTTTGTCGAGTCTGCGATCTGAAGATGGCCTTTCAGATCTGTGGTCTGAGGACGGTCTGTCAGGCCTTCGATCTGAAGATGGTCGTTCAGGTCGGCGATCTGAGGAAGATCGTTCAGGTCTGCGATCTGAAGAAGGTCGTTCAGGTCTACGATCAGAGGATGGTCTGTCCCCTCTACGATCTGAGGATGGTCTGTCAGATCTGCGATCTGAGGATGACCTGTCTGAGAGTCTTTCCTGTGAAGCAGCTGGACTTCTAGAGACAGTTTTTTGTCTTCTGCTTGGATCTGGACTTCTGCTACTAACAGATCTCTCACTCGTATTTCTGTTTGATCTGTTCTGGTGATCACGCGAGCCTGTAGACCTTCTAGAGCTATTGTCTGCATGGCTGTCATCAGAACTCCTTTGGGACCTCTTCCTTTCAGGACTGTCTGCTCTCACATCTCTCCTTTTAGAGGTGTTTACCCCAGCAGAGCTTGAGTCTGAGTTGGATTCTTCATCAGAGTTGGAGGAGCTACTGTTGGAATCAGAGTCTGAGTCAGAGTCAGAAGAACTATCTTCTGTTGCAGATCCAGCAGATTTGATTTTCTTAGGTTCCTCATCTGAGGAATTGTCCTTTTCTGAAACATCCCGTCTGAAAACACGACAGAACATTAAACATTGACATCAACATTAGTCATCTGTTACCTCATTTTCCTTTTAGACAAGATGTCTTCAGTCTCAGTGACACAAAGCAACCTAGGAACATGGAATATTAATGCATGTTCTTGTTTTCTAGCAGATGAGAGCCCAAATTCAACACAATTAAAACTTAATACTGATTATGTGAGTAAAAGTTTAGGTTACAGTCAGTCATGTAGGGGCTCTACACTGAAAAGCACTGTAATATCATGTGGTCAATATTAACCAGTAGAAAAGCAAGAATCTTGGTAGAGATAAAACAATGTTAGTTTCAAAACCTTCAGGCCACAAAAGGCTAGTCTGTTATTGAGAGAGTGGTTCTACACTACTGTTGGCAATACTCCAGTTACTTCACAACATATCCCGGTGTCAGGGGTTTTCAACGATGTAAGACAAAATGTATTTTTTATCTGCAATATCATTTAAAGTTTGTACTTTACTAACCTTGAGTGATAAAGGATATATTCATCTATTTCACACAAAAATATCAAGTGTTCCCTACAAAATAGCGTTGATGAAATCGTATCGGCGGAACTGTTGCCGTTCGTAACATCCGGGTATTTTGTATGGGTTTTCAACGATGAGCCATACTTTTTGCTCCGCACTGCGAGGGAGTGTTGTGATCACGTGGCTTCCTATTTATATATTGCCTGTCACCAGCAGAAGACTGATCTAACTGAATTTTCAGCTTGCTATTTTTTGTTATAAAGGGAACTGATTTTGCATCGTAAGTGGTATTAACGATCTCGGGTAAATAATATTGATGTTTGTTTGCTTTTTATATAACTTTACTTCCCGATTTCCATTGTCAATAAAACTCCTCACGACAGCGACTAGGCACCCGCCCTACCAGTTAAACTGTTTGTGCACTCCGATCGCACACGTACTCCCCCGATATAAGCGTGTGCAATGCAATCGTCGAAATCACCAGAACGTTGATTTCAGCTCGTGTTGGGATATTGCACACATAACAAAATCGAACTTTGTCCAGTCAAAAGAGTTGTTGACACTGACAGTATAACCTGTAACACATGTTTGCAGAAGTACCATCACATCCAATCTGAGAGTTCACAAGTTGTAACAACTTGTTTATGATTAGTTTGCTCCCACCACAACCTTTCACTACCATACTATGAATGTGGACAAATTTCCTATTTTTAACATGTCTATTGCTTCAATAGATGTTATGTCTTCAATTCAGTCATACCATGCCATTATTTGTTAAGATCTATATTGATGCAAAGGTCATAACCCTACCCAAATTATACTATGAAACTGACAATAAATATGGAATGTTATTTTTGTTATAATCACTTCTCGTTGTAAGCATTTTGAACATGCTGAACACCTGGATCTGGATTTAACACAAATGTGACTTCTATCGGCTTTGCACACAATTAAAAATACCGACTATGAGAAATTATTTCTTACATTATTCTACCATACGTAGAGTAACGTCATTTACTTTCGAAATAATCAACAGATCAGCCAGTCTAAGCCCTTTTCCAGGTTTTTCACAACTTCATCTTTTATTGGAAAATTGGCACGCACATGGCTTTAGGGATTATAATAAAGAAACATCTAGCGACACATGCTACGATCGATAGATAGCTGTTAACAACGCCATTCAAACACAAACTGGTTTACCTTTTCGGCATAATAAGTTACAATTCTCTTTCCAAATTGAACGATTTCTTGGCGTTGAGTTCCTATTTCAGGTTAACCGGAAGTCTCGTTTCTTCACGCCGAATGAGCGGTGAGTGTAAATTCTAGATTTGTTTAAACACGAATAATGAATTTGAAGTATGATGGATTTACTTGCATTTGTTCAGCTGAAATGAGTCATTTAAAAATGACATCTAAAGAGAATTTCACAGCACTATTCACGATTCACAATTATACATATCACACATGAATTTGCATTAAGAGCAATTAAAGAGGTCTCAACTACGCCCAAAGCAAAACAGCTGTTAGAAGGATTCAAATAAAGCTATCCAGGTCATTAAAACATCACTACGAACAGTAAATGCAGATAACAACGATAAACAATATAAAACAATTATTGCAATATGACGCCATACAGTGATGGAACAGAGACGTTCCCATCCACTCGCTCGCTCTTACAATCTGATTAGGGCGTATATTTATGCGATTCGATTCCACGATCAGCAGATCCTGATACGACTAAAGGACGCGACTCTGCACACGCAATTCTGGACAGGGTCAACATACGTCCTAACTGGGGTTCCTCCATGCATTTTTTTACATATTAGATGTATTATTATAGTGTCGTGATTATATTGTAACGTGTTTTATTTGGGATTACACTTTCTTAGTAAAGTAAATATTCTAGTACTTTTGGGGTTGAGTCCCATCCAGGATTCGAACCCACACCCACAGAGTCAGGCAGCTAATCGCCAGCACACACAGTCAAACGCCTAGACCGCTCAGCCACCGCGACTTCCACAAAAATGGAAGTCGGACAACTGGTAGTCAAGGCTGCGGACTTTGTGTACCCCTCTGATAAGTGTAAATTATCACGGCTCCCACGACCGAAAGCTATGAAATACACAATGCCATTTTAGAAAGTGGTCAAATGTAACATATGTTGTATTTGGGATTACACTTTCTTAGTAAAGCGGGAGACACCAGACATGGGCTTCACACATTGTGCCCATGTGGGGAATCGAACCCGGGCCTTCAGCATGAAGAGCGAACACTTTAACCACCGCCCCTGTAAGATTTAACCACCGCCCCTGTAAGAATACAGACCTGTGCTTGTCGCAAGAACATAGGACCTAATGTTGTGGTGAGAATGTATAGGTCTATGCAGTGTGCGAAATAGTTTCCCAATTTTGCTAGCCAGTCGGACTAGCTATGCCTGAAAGTTAGTAGCCCAGAAAATAATTCATAATCTTGCATGATTTAAAAGTGTATTATAACTATGACCCCATGAAAATTCACTAGCCAGTCGGGCCAGTGATTGTGGAGATTTACTGTCCCGACTGGATTTTTACTAGCCACGGGCTAGCGGGCCAGAGGCTGTTTCGCACACTGGGTCTATGATTGTCGTAAGAAGTGACTGTAAGTGGATCAGGTGGTCGACAGGCCCGGTCATCACATTTCATCGTATCCCAATCGAGGGAACTGCATGATGCCCATGGTAATCACTTGATTGTCTGGTTCAAAGTCCAACAATTCGAAAACGCCATGATGTATGGCTGAAATATTGATGGACAAAGAGAACGCCTTTTGTATGCTCAATGTGCTTTACGTACGTCCATTGGTTATGAGAACTGTGCCGTCATGACCGCAGGCAAGAGGTCGAGGCCTTCGGTCTATGAAGAATGGACTCTTATCTCTTTTCATGATTCCCGACGCTTGAATCATTAATTAAGCCATTAGAAATTATGTCGTTTGTCCCGAAAGTACCGACCGGTAAGTAATCGTCAGAGAGGAAAGTATACACCCGCGAATTCGTATAATTGCAGTACAACAATAACAGAAAAATAAAAAGAATCAGTGTTCATTTATTTGCGTGCGTATTTCTAAGTTTACAGTTTAAAAAATATATATTCCTTGAGCTCTACATGATTTTATTGTCTTCGTGTATTATTTTTTTTATATTGCTGAGTCATATTGATAAAATTTGGTGGTGTAAACTAGAGAGCAGTTCTTTTTGTCTTCACTTATGTCGGAATGTTAAACAAGCGCCCGTTTGGAAAACAACATAATGAAATAATCGGTTTTGTTCTTTCATCATTCTTAATTCGTAAATGTAGTCACAATACCAATTTTCGAGCGAACCGACTCCAAATTCGACCAATCAGCAGTACGGTACGCCGGACTTTCCCGCCAGATCAGTGTGTTTACTGTCAGTCTTATGTCTCATACGGCTGGCACAAGACACAGATAATCACCGTTAAAGTTGATGCGTGTACATTCCCGGCTTGTGTGAGGCACATCAAGGTAGGAATGACCGCCCTGGTCCTAAATCGGCAACTTTTCATTTACTGAATTACGCGATCTCAATTTTTCTTTTGAGGAGTTTTGCAGCAGAAGCCATCATCTCCCATTCATTGAATCAACTTGACCAAAAACACCTGTCTCCATTCAGACGCTATCGTGGGAGGCCTGGAGTTCAATCGAGCTCATTTATCAGGATAATGTGTACACATCATGTACTGGAGCATATCTAAAAAAAATATTCAATTTTAATTTATTTTATCAAAAAGATATAATTTAAATTCGTTACATATATGCAACCTACGATTTTGCTTGTTGACTGAGTTTGGTTAATGTTTGATTCATTTTCAACCAGATTCTGACTCTGTTTGAATACTGTAAGCCATTCGAACAACACGGATATTAGGCCATTCGTATTTCCGAAAGTCAAATCACTGTCTCATGTCATGACTCTGTTATTGCTGTATGATTTGTATATATAACATCAGGTTGGGTAAACCTACCGATCGGCCTATAATATGCCGGATATTATAGGCCGTTCTGCCTATTTTGCTATAGGCCGATCGGGCCATATTTGAACATTTTTCTAATTATTTCACAAACTATCAATTTCCGCACGGAATGGTTTCATATGATCATAGAGATGAATAGTTAATGAACCTCCTCAGCTTGAAAAAAATAAGTTTTTGGACAAAATGGAAATTTATATCATGTTCAGGAAAAGATGTTTCATAAAGAACACAATTTTGCATAGATTTTCCTTTTGAAAACTAACACTGAATATCTATGTCATTAATTTGCACTGAAAATTGTCAACAAATATTATGGACTTATATTTAATTAGCAATTTCCAAACTTATTATGTGATGAAAATTCTCAAAAAGGGTTTGAATGAAAACCTTAGGACATCAAAACTTGAATGATGTTAATATCCTCATGCGGAAATGCACCGCTTCAAATTTATTTGATAAATATCATAATTATAGGCCCGATCGGCCTATAGCAAAATAGGCAGAAGGGCCTATAATATCCCGTTTGGCCTATTATAGGCCAATTGGTAGGTTTCCCCAACCTGAACATTCCAATATTCTTGACTGCCTGAGAACCAGATCGTGGCAGACGAAGTTATTATGTGCCCTGTGACTGCACAGTAGAAGTTCCTAACGGAAAACTTCATGATTTCTTAAGCAAATAAAATTTGGAACATTATCAGGTTTTTTGTCCTGATGGACTGCCAGAGGCAATTTTATAGAAATTATAGATAGAGCCCTGTGAATAAGTCATTGACATTTTACAAATGTTTTAATTGGGTCAGAGAAATAAACCAGCTGATTGAATAGGCTATATATTGTTCATTGATGGATTCACCTTAACATAGAAAGAAGATGAAATTGTAAAAATGTCTGCAAATTTGCTCAATTTCAGGTCTCCACTTGTAAAAATAATATTATAAAGTGATAACCAGAGCCACTAGCTACATCTGTATTGGCCATAGGTACAAAATGCAAAGGTTAAATCTGAACATTTACTGAAAGGATGAATATTAAAAGCAGTCTTGAACAGGATAATTTGCCTCATGTAAGAACACCTTAATAATTCTATTGCAGCTATCAAAATGGCATCTCAAGTTCAAAGACGTCTGGACATGAACTTTCCTGTTCGCAAGAACACAAGACTACGCTCCAAGTCAGCTGCCATTCAGAATGAAAACAAACAGGATTTTTCAGATCTTGTTCTATCCCCAAGAAAAAGATCTGGCAGAGGTAAATGAAATTGAAAAGACAAAAAAAAAAACCCGGTTTTCATCAACTTTGATAACTTGAAACTTTGAGTGAAAAATAACGCATATATTCATTTAAAAAAGGTACTTATATTATATTTAATAATATTTGTAGTTTGCCTCAGGATTATGCTACAGGATATATGAATAACTTGTGTGTTTTAAACAGTAAGAATTAGAATTCTTTGATTTTTCATTTAGCCGGACTAATTATTCTAATCATCTGGTCTTCAACAAACCTGTAACCATGGCCATGACTAGTATTTACCTAGTAACTTCATGAAGCATTTACTTTTATTAACATGGCTGAACACAGAAACTGTGTATTCATTTGGAACTGTCTTGGCTATGGTAACAGTATAGATGGTCAAGTAGAAGTTTTAAAACCTCAATATTTATATTTTTTCTTCAGCTGTGCCTGATGAGAAAGTACCAATGTCTTGCTCGCCAACAAAGAAGAAGAAAGAATTGGTCCGAGTGACTAGATCTCGGAGACGAGAAACTCCTGTTAAGTCGTCTCTCATGTCCAAGTTTGGCAAAGACGCTCAGAAGGAGGAGCACAGTGGTAAGTTTCTTGAAGAGCAGAGTAGAAATGCAATGAATATGATGTTTTACAAATATATAGCAATGAATAGAAATATTTATCCATGAACCGTATGTGTAATATCAAGAAATTAAAACAATAAACAAAGATAAACATTAGTGGTGACTATTGAGGGAGAAACAACTATGGCAATAGCAATACTGTATTTCAACATAATATTGCAACCATTTCTCCTTGAATTGTCTCATTTGAAGTCATTTCCCAAATGAATGTATAAAAAATAAAATCAAGTTGAAGTAGTTTCAGTCTCTTTTAATAACTGACAAGGAACTTGAAACCCAGATCAAGTAAACAGTTAAAACATCAACTCAATGAAACTGCAAGTCTGCACCCAAACATCTTGTGACTATCGATAGTCACACATACTATCAATGCATCGATACTTTTTCATTTCTACCATGTGGCGATACGATACATATCACGATATTTTACCTGAGGTACGATACATTTTGACGGTACATACACATTGAAAGAATGACACAATATTAACATGATTAAGATTGAAAATAATTCATTTCAAGGTATTGTATAACAATAACACTATTGTATCAAACAAACAAATAGCTCTATAGTACTTGCATATTTTTCTCTACATAAGTACTTTAACATGTTTAAGATAATACTGTTTTGAAAAAACAGTTTTGTATCGTTTTATATCGATACACCAGTGGACGATACAATAGCTGTATCAAACTAGAATGTATCGTGATGTATCGGTGAATCGTCCCAGGAAAAGGAGACTGAATCATAACAGGATTAGTGTCACTTGCAGGATATCTGACATGAGAAATAGTTCATGCATTCATTCATTTATATATCTATTTAATTAATTATTTATTTGATAAGCAATCATAAGTGAAAACATGGTCAGCATGTACATTTGGAATTTTTGTGTGTAATTGTCAGTAATATGCTTTTAATTTTGGTCCTTCTTCGGCATGTTAGCAGTAGCTGATTTGTTTGACACTAGCAGTTTGGCAGCTATATTACAGTAGTCTGTAAATATTCAAGTCTTGACCGGACAATAAGTAGTAACAGAGTATAATTGTTCCATGTTTGTGTTTCAGATGATGATTTGTGTGTCTGTCAAACCAATACTGGGTTCACCAACAAAGAGACAAGATTTAACTTCTCCAACCAAAGGACAATCCATCCCTAGTGATAAACCATCATTTCAGTCACCAAGCAAGGGAGACAAATGTGTGAAAACATCTCTTTTCTCACCTCTGAAACCAGCACACCTTGAGAAACTGTGTCTCACTTCACCCAAATTCTACAGAAAACCAGACAGTGAAAACGTTGAACCTGCTCTACGTTCACCTACAAAACATGTCCGGTTTGCCAAGTCACCATTTTCCTCACCAGTTAAGGAAATCAATGGTAGACTGCCGCTCTCACCATCAAAACTTTTTAATCAGAACGATGCCTCACCTGTCAAAGTAAAAAAGTCACCAATCAGGCCGACTGACTCTCCCAGTAAGCGGCAGTTGTTTGCCCCAAGTGACGCTCCACTTTCCTCACCCTCAAAATTGCTTCGCAGGGAAGGATTAGCATCACCTGTTAAGGCTAGAAGGTTTGGCCTTCTGGAATCACCTTCCAAGTTTCAGGCATGTAAGGAAAACTCCCCAGTGAAACAGCTCAGATCCCCAGTGAAACAGCTCAGATCCCCAGTGAAGCAGCAGCGGACACCAGTGAAAAAGTCATCTGCCTTGTTGAAGTTACAGAAAGTTGACAGTAAGTTGTGACTTTGAACAGGAATTTTTTTGTGTACATGTTCCCTGGTGGGTAGCAGGTAGTGTATTAACTTTCTTTTCCGCAATGCATCGCATACAGACAGAACTCCTCTTTGTGATGCATCTAAATATGCATCTATAGCTGCCAGCTGTCCCAATTTAAAAAAAATTGTTACAGTTTGAAATTTAAATATGAAATTATGATTTCTTCCTTCATCCATATAAATAATATGCCAATCAGTTGGGATCACAAGCAGGGCTCCAGATAGCTATTTTGAGAAATTGACTCGGGTTTTTCACTCCTCAAAATTAAAATTGAGGAGTAAAATAAAATTTCAAATGGAAATAAAAGGAGTATTCCACAGGTTGCATGGATTTATTACTTTTCCTTGCTTATTGAAACACCGTTTTCTTTTTTAAAAAAACTCGAGTTTCACTTGGTTTGTCATTCCTACTGCAGACAGGAAATAAATGACAGTGCCCGTTGAGCTATTGAGCATTAAATGGTTTCCTATGCTGGTTTAGTTCCTTCAAGTAATCTGCAGTAGCCCTAAAACTGTGAAAATACTGATACGGAATGGAAACGTTGTGATAGTAACACTGTTTAAGGGCTAGCTTTTAAACAAATCGTGCCCCGAATGTGGATTACAAAAATTAACAGATCATTCGGGGAAAACGCTTCAATACAGACAACCAGCACTGTTTGAGATCTTAAGATCGGATGTGTAGGACTGAAACAATATTTTGACAGGTTTGGTTCACACCTGTAAACAATATCTGACTCGTATTCTGAGAAAGTTATGCGTAACTTTCACTCATTGATTTGATTTTTTATGAGTATATCTGAATTATTCATGCATAATTTACACAGATACACATCTTATCAAGAGTCCTGACAAGGACTAAATTTTCATCTGCAGTGAACACCCCTTGTGAAATCTGATCTGTGTATCTGTCCAGTGAAGACATTTGTCTCATGATCACACATTTCTGTAATCAGAGTGAAAGGGATGACATTACCAACTGAGTTCCGGAACCACATGGCTCTAGAGAGGATTCATATTATCAGGCCTTTGTGTTCAAAATTTTATTTGGGGAAACTGGCAGCTGTCAGCATGACAATTTTCAAGAACTGAACAATAATGTTGTCGTAATTTTAACAGTCAGCGCCTTCAGTCAGTTGGCAAACAAACTGTCATGAATCCTGGCTTGTACCGGTCCCATCATCCAATATATGGCCATTTATCTTATCAGGGTAAATGTGGATTCTGGTTGCCCTCCGTATTATATACTATTCACACTTTGCTAAGGATCAAATCATGGATTCAACAGAAAACTATGATGTGGGATCAAATTGGATTTAAATATCTAAGCTTATTGGACCCCAGGTTTCAGTATGACCTTTCATCTTGTGGAACCAATACCTGCTACTGACAGGTGTTGTGTACTTGTCAATGACTCGTTCCATGATTTGCAAAATGGTTGATTGGTGCCATGAAAACCATTTTTATGGTTAATCATGTATCAAATGCATACGGTTAGATTAAAGTGACTGTTTGCCTAAAGATGGGTTGTCATATTATTATTTATCCAGTTTTTAATGGATACAATTTCAAATTATGAATCTACGTTTAAGTTAAGTTGTGAATTGTTGTGATCCTTAGCAAAGTTTGAGTAGTATATATTTGGGATCTTTGGGGTTTCCATGTTAACCACTGTACCAACAATAAACAAAATAGAAAGTAATCAAAGTATGCGTGATACATATTACAGTCAGCTCTCGTTAATCCGACACTCATTAATCCGACAATCACGTTAATCCGACAAAAAATTTGGGAACCATTTAAAACAGTGATAATTACTCTCGTTAATCCGACATTCTCGCATTCCGACTCCGACACACCAATCTAGCAACCGATCATTGTAAATACATTGTAAAAACATTCGTTAATCCGACAATCAACACAGCCGGTCGGATGATCCGACCGTATACAAACATCACACATGAAAGGTGATTAGCGGCGTGCCTTACTGGCTGCTTAACACCCACGCCAGTGAACATCACACTTGTTAATTAGGAACACAGGATAATTAATTTAGCGATTTAATCAAGAAATAACAGAGCGAGCTGTATAAAATGTTTACAACCGACATGAGTTTTCATCACAAGATGTCTGTCACGCGAGTACACCAGCTGCTAAGCGACCCTTGTAGAAGTCATGCCATTGATCAAGAAAGAAATCTCCTTTTGAAGAAAGACAAACCCCAGACAGCACAAGAAGAAATCATCACTTTTGCTGAGCAGAAGTTTGATGTGAAGATTGACGATCAACCGTATTCGACATCCTGAAGCAGTCTGCTTAGTGGTTGAGCCGTCTCTCACGACTGATTCAATGCTTACATATAAGGATTAAGTTGTTGAATCTGTAACTTTATATGATTGAATGATGCCACTGTCCAAACATAGATTGTATTTATTATACATACGATGAAAAAAGAAGTGTCATATGTGGCATTTAGGGGAATTCACACCGACATTTTCATTAATCATGGAGTCTGATGCACTTTAGATGTACATTCTTAGTAATCTAGTGGACATTTTGAATAGAATGAGTATGATGTATCTGTCACACATCTGTCCTGTTCATAGGCCCAGCCTACCATCTAGCCAAACAGTCACTGCACACTGCGAAACCAGATCGACTGGACTGTCGGGATCGAGAGGTGGGGGTCATATCAGAGTTCCTGGAGCGCCACCTACAGGCCATGTCTGCAGGCAGCCTCTACATCTCAGGTGCCCCTGGAACCGGCAAGACTGCATCACTGCTACACATCATTGATGACTTAAAGGTGGGTTATCATCTCATTGGAGAGGGCAGAATAGATGACTGTCTTTTGATCTTAACAAAGAGCACAGTGTATTATCAAACATAATGATGTGGAAATATCCTTGTTTTTATTTATTTATCTTATCTGAATGAAAACTGTACTGTTCAGAATGTTAGGTGTTTACAAATCCATTATTCAGGAGTAACATGAAGGAGATGTAACGGAACCAAAGGTGTATTTCTGACTAATTGTGGGACATGTTGACACAGACAAATGTAACTAAATGGAATTAAATCAACTGTTCTGCTGATATTAATATCTCCAAAAATTTAAATATACTTGCACCACAATTAACTTCTTGTTCTTTCTGCAGAGGCAGCATGCCTGCAAGATCGCCTACCTCAACTGTATGATGCTGAAGGACTCTACAGCTGTGTTCCCGGAAGCTTCACGAAGAGCTGACCGGACGCAAGATGCCGGGAAACAGGGACACCATGAAGTACATGGAGAAATGTGTCACCTCCGCCAAACAAAGCATGTACGTTAACCAAGTTGAAAAATGGCATCAGCCCCCTAGTACATTTAAGAAAGGACATGTGATATTTTCATGTGTATGTCCATCTTTATGATTATGTAGATGGTAACTTTCCAGCAGATAGTTTTGCAGACTAGTGCCATTGATTGTTTAATTACTAATCCTAGTTATAAGGGCATGTTCAATGTGTTGGAACTTCATATCATGGCAGAGCCTGAAAGTTAGGGGTCATTGGGTTGGTGTGTTGGCTCGTGTGGACATTGGCACAATGTGTGAACACATTTATGGTGTCGGCAATGAAAACAGTGTTTGAAATATGCGCTTGTCCGTAGGCCCGAGGCTGGTAGGTCTTGTATTGGGCCTGTAGTTTCAAATTTGTATGGATCCCTACGGCCTGAATTAAATTGATGTGTCGTATTTGTGACAAGAATCAGCCGTTTTGTAACGAGAGCCTGAAGAGTTTGATAAGGGCCTGTGTCTTCTTAAACCTGTGGGGCCAGGCATTTTTCATATTTCAGACACTTCATTTATATTGTACTGAAGTATTACTTAAGCAGCATAAACCCTATTCACTTTAATGGTAACCACCATTACAGTTTAAAAAGGGCCTGACAGTTAAGGGGCCCTTTCATAGTCTTTGTATTAAAATTCCAAGGTTTATGGAGTCCTAACTTTCAAATACCAAAGAAGGCATTAAACACCTGTCAAACCAGCCTTGGTTTTATGGCTCTCTTCTGTGAAGTTTTCTTCAAATTAACTTGATTATAAGGCACTGTTTTAAAACAGATTAATTGTCATGTCATGTTTTTCTTCTTCTTGTCAGGTAAAATGTTTCATTAAATGACTACACTTAAGAACTTTTTCATTATTTTCAGAATCATGGTTTTAGATGAAATCGATCAACTTGACAGCAAAAACCAAGAAGTCCTCTACACAATATTTGAGTGGCCGTCACTTACCCAGTCAAAACTCATTCTAGTCGGTGAGTAGTTGAAGCTTCTTTGTGGATATACTGTCAATTATAAGTGGTATGTTTGCAAGACTACATGCAAGATTGTCGGATCTAATTATGCTTATAAGTATTAACTTGTGTCTCTATGAAAGGTATTGATATAAGAGTCTCTCACTCTCCATGCCTCTAAGAAATGTTACCCTGATTTATTGCATGTTCAATTTTTTTTTTAAAGTCAGGTCCTTAGAACTTATTTAGCTTATCAATGTGGCTATGTTTCAGGTATTGCCAATGCCCTCGATCTGACTGATCGAATCCTGCCAGGTCTTCAAGCCCGACCCAAATGTCGTCCCCAGTTGCTCAACTTTGCTCCTTACAGCAAAGAACAGATTGCCAGTATTATAAAGGGCAGGTTGAGAAAGGTTGGTTAAAAGTACTTTGCTTACCAACCCTGGTAATTGTTTTCAAAGGCATTCAGATCAGTTGATGTTCTCATAAGGGGATAAGGGGTGGTGGGGAAGCCTAGTGGTAAAGGCAGTCGTTCATCACACTGAAGACCCGGGTTTGATTCCTCGTACAATGTGTGAAGGCCATTTCTGGTGTCCCCTGCCGTGATATTGCTGGAATATTGCTAAAAGCGGCGTAAATCTAAACTGGATATTGTACAGTTGTCAGTCCAGTGTTGTATATATTCTTTTAAGATTTGCATTTATGCAGAAGAATTGCATGTTTGACAAATCATGAAAATGATGTAGAATGTCAATCTCTGACTATACTCATGTGTTAATTCGGTAAATATTTCTAAGAAAGATACCAAATGCATTTTTCCCTCATAGTTTCCCCATATGTGGCAAATAAAGATGTCTTATGTGTCAATTTGGTGTTGTATGCGTCAAATACATCAAAGTTGCTCAACAGTGGTCCAAATGTATTGCAGCTGGAGGAGGATGGTCTGGCTGTGATTGAGCCGGGCGCCATTCAGTTCTGTGCACGGAAAGTGTCGGCAGTAGCTGGAGACATGAGGAAGGCCCTGGATGTGTGTCGGAGGGCAGTGGAGATGGTGGAGCACGAGATTCGTAGTCAGCCTCTGCTCACAGGTCAGTTCATCGGCTTTCTGTTGGACGTAATCGTAGAGGCAGAAAGAAAAATGTTATTAATCTTCACTACTGATATTTAATACCTAAAGAAGGATAAGAACATATGGATGAACAATTTCTTTATAACATCCATATATTGGCATGTGGTGCTGTGCATAGAGCTCAGGTCACAAGTCAGGTGAAGTTTAGCAACATTGGTGCAGAGAGTTCTTGGATAGGTGACCATGTTTGGCAGCTAGACTCCTGAGAGGTTCTAGGACGTCAGTCATGCCCCACAATGAAGCACATGTCATACATGTGGTCTCACCTTAGGCAAGTGAGTTTGTTCAAAATGACAAACTTGGGGTATCATGATCATCTGACAAGCATTGACTTTGGGATAGGAGGGTCTCATGACAACTATGATCTCAGGACCTATTTTACTCCTGGATTATATCTATTGGCAACATAAGTAGCTCTTTAGTTAATATACTGGACAAAAATAGTTAGGGATATCCGTAAATTTTGAAATTATGAATAATGATCTGTTTATTCATTGACAAACTGATAAAATATCAATCATAAAATTACCAATATCCCTAACTTATTTTGTCCAGTGTATATGGACTATTATGAACTGAGCTCAGTCAACAGAACGTCATTTTAGACTTGAACTTCAGTGGCTGAAGTCAAACACTGAAAACTTTGTAACAGTAATATCAAACACTTTTTAAATAAATGAGAGGCATTTAGAAGTTGGAGCAGTGAGGAAGGATAACACCATAACAGTCCATGCATGCTCCAAGCACCCAAACACTCTGACTATTATTAGCCCAGATAACCCAAGCTCCCACCAGCTACCCATTTTCTACTGGGTGAACAGAGGCAAGCTTGTCTATTGGTTATCGATCACACTGTTCAGGATTGTTTCCATAAATATGGTTTGTGGCCTGTTTTTGATTTATCGTTTTGCCGTTTCAGGTAGCAAAAGTCCAAGGAAGTCCCAGCCGCCTGTCCCCAAGAAGATAACAGTGATGCACATATCGCGTATAATGTCTGACGTGTACGGGTCGAGTGTGAAGTCCGGCCAGCCAGGAGGAAACTGTACCTCTGCAGCAGAAGCTGGTTGTGTGCACACTGCTGGTGATGCTAAGAGAGGGGAAGTTCAAGGAAGTTGCGATGGGGAAGGTAACTACATCAGCATCATTTATGGCAATATTTACATCTCAGTTACGGCTCTACAACCAGCTTGAAACAAGAAATTAGGATTTACTCGTGCTGATGTGCAGGAGTGTCTCAGAGAAATCATCTTTGTATTTCAGTATTCACAGCGATAACTATGTAAAGCAGGCTTCTGACATAAGACGTATTTGCTGCCAAAATAAAACCATAGCTGACTTTAAACATGGAATGTTTGTTCAAGAGACTTCGCTATTTAGAAAGTGGTCAGATGTAACCCATTATTTGGGATTACACTTTCTCAGTAGATTACAGATTCTAGTACTTTCGTTGCATAATAATACAAGAATCTGTATCGAAACGTCACATCACCTGAATAAAGAAGTTGTTCATCCATAAAGTTTGTCTTTATCTAAACAAAACCGGTTAACTTTGCATGTACTGAAATTAAGATGTGCCCTTGACATTCCTGCTTGCTGCTGTTGTTTAGAATCATGACTATAGCAGATAATGACGTATGTTGCAGCTGCATGAGACATATTGCAAGGTGTGCACCAAACGTCATGTGGCCAAAGTTGACCAATCAGAATTCTTCAGCCTGTGCTTGCTGCTGGAATCAAGGGGAATACTGGGAGTGAAGAAAGCCAAGGAATCCAGACTTGCCAAGGTAGAAAAGTGTGAATTTTGTGTACAATGTTTAAGACATGAGCAGGTTTCAAGTACATTCAGACTTGTATGTTACTGTTCTTCAATGAAATCAGGTGTGCATGTCTACAGGTCCAGGCTTGATTGTTTATAGGTTACTGTAAATATCCCGGTTATACAGCAATAGAAGACAATGGTCACTCACTAGTCTGTTATGTTCCATTCCATCACAGGGTGGTTGGATAGCCTAGTGGTTAAAGCATTTTTCCTCAATCTGAAGATCAGGGTTCAAATCTACACATGAGTACAATGTGTGAAACCCAGTTTTGGTGTGCCCCACCGTGATATTGCTGGAGTATTGTTGACAGCGGTGTCAAAAAACCTACCGCCATGCCATGCCATGCCAAATTGGTGTAGACTTATGGCTCATTCTCTCACTCTTTTTGTATGTTATCTTTTATGTTTTAGTTAATATCATAAAAACAGGTCTCACAATTTGATGTTCACAGTGGAAGGTGTTAATCCCTTTGTAATGCAGGACTAATTATCAGTGGTTTGAATCCCAAATCCTGGGTTTGTCTACACCAAATCCTTGTTTTTCACCAAAGTAAAGTGTTGAACACATCCCTAGGATATTCCATACAGGATTATCTGACAGTGATATTACTGAATACTGTAGCCATACTCAACCACATCCTTTCTGCCATATATCACATTGAACATTTCCTTTTCCAGGTGACACTGAAGCTGGACGAGAAGGAACTGGAGCACACACTGCAGGACCGCGTCCTCATGTCCTCCATCCTGCAGGACGGGATGCCCAAATAAGGGCTTGTCCTCACCCCAGGAACCACCCTGTTGATCTCACCATGTGTTTCCAATTATAAGGCATTGTTGAACCTGATTCCAATTGTATAGTTGACATTTCTTGTTAAAGGGCACAAGTTGTTTGCATGGTGAGTGAAAGTGCTGTACACTCTAATCATTTGTTGATGTAAAATTTGTCCAGTTTTTGTCTCAGTGTACAGGTTGTTTGAGCCTTTTGTTTGGATAGATGAAAATATTGTGTATTTTGTCCAAGTTGCTGAATGAACTATAACCAGGTTGAAACACATAAAGGCTGGATGTAAGTGATGTGTTCAATTTTACAGTAACATGTTTAACCATGGCTTGAGAAGGCTTTCTGTACTGCTATATTTTTCTGTATTGATAAGGGAGGGGGGGGTATCCATGTGGGTTAAACGTCATGCTGAAGACCCGAGTTCGATTCCCCACATGGGCACAATGTGTGAAGTCCATTTCTGGTGTACCTCGTTGTGATATTGCTGGAATGTTGCTAAAATTGGCGTAAAACTAAACTCACTAAGGGATTGCAGTTGTAGAAGGGGAACTGAAATTACTTTTATTACACCTTAAAAAACTTTCATCTATGTTTGTACAATCCATTGCTTATCATGGTGCTTGGGTCTTCACATTTTAATCTCTAAACCCAAAAATGTAAGGTGGCCATATGATGGTCTGCATCTCTTGGATAATGGAAAACATGTGGCATGCCATTGAAACCATTCAGTGTGACGATTTGGAGACACCGCCAATCAAAATGGACACATGAAGATCAGGGTTAGAATTGGTCTTCTGTAACCCATGCTTGTTGTAAGAGGCGACTAATGGGATCGGATGGTCTAGCTCGCTGTCATCATATCCCAATTGCATAGTACGATGCTCATGCTGTTGATCACTGGATTGTCTGGTCCAGACTTGATTATTTGCAAACCGCCGCCATGTAGCTGGAATGAAGGAGATACTGCTCTTGATGTCAGTTTTTAAAACCATTTGGCTTCATCTCCAATCTCCAACTAATTTCAGATTGTACTGAGCTGTATTATTTCACCGGTGTACACATGGATTGAGCTTTAAATATAGTCTGTGTATATATCGAAATCTTTGAAAGTGTGACTATTGAATGGACAATTTCAGTTAGACTGGGGCTACTTCAGCTGGGATGATTGTGATATGTAGGAAGTTGTGATGGATCAAACCTTCATAATACATTAATTTAATTTTTATCACATATTTAAGAATATTTAGCTCCTATTTTAACCCCCTGACTTTTAAGATAAATTTTTATATGATATAATGATTCTATTTATTTTTGCATGTGTTGTTAGCACATTCTGTGTGGGCCTGTAAAACTGAATTATTTGTGTGGTTAGGAAAGTCATGTTTAAGCGAGATGTTTGTGGTATAGTTTGATGAATATTTCAAATGGGATTTCAAGGAGCATGTGATATGTTTATCTGAGATTGATGCCATTTTCTATTACTTTGTTTACAGATCAAAAGAAAGAAAAAATTACAAATGTTATTTGTCATATCTGGTCGGTTGCTTTAGCAATAGTGTAGTGAAAAAGAAAAGAAAAAAAAAAGATTTTTGATTTTAACAAGAAATAAACATGTGGAATGTACTGTCTAGATAATCCTTAATGGGAATTGTTCAAGTATGGGGTCATATAATACCTTTTTTCATCTAATGTTTTATCTCTTCTCACAGTGCAAATATTTTTACAGTTTGGAATTATTTTTGTATGGTTTGTTTTAAAATTGACATAGTTTCATGCCACTTAAACCTAGTGCTATATCTGGAACACCAAAGTCTCTTCCCACAGAGGTTACTTGTCATATCTTCCTATGTAAGCTCTGTTCTAATACGGCCCTTTCATGGTGTGAGCGTTCAAGACTCGAGGCAATCAGATTTAGTTGTGCAATCAGCGACGTTTCAAAAGTGGTCATTCGCAAGGCCTCGGTAATTTCCGTATGCTTCGAGAAAACTAAACTTCTTCCCCTGCGCGATGCTCAAACGTTTCTTCTAGACAGAACTCAGTCATGTTATGGGGGATCAGTGGCGTCTCCATCGCCCTCATTGACAACGGACAAGCTAGCCATTAAACGTATTGTGTGTAACATCAACACAAGTCCCCGGCAGATTGGGGATATTTGTGACCCCACATTTGCTTGTGTTAGTCAAGTTGAATCTAAGTCGATGTAACACTGTTCTGATTGGATAGAAAGAAGGGAGATAATTCGTGTTGCGATCTTTTGCCGCTAGGGGATTTTATGAGAACCGGGAAATATGGCCGTATTAGAACAGAGGTTCGTAGGAAGATATGACAAGTAACCTCTGTGGGTGGAGAATGGATGTACTTATGACTATTATTCATGAAATATTGAGATCAAGTCGAGTTCCAAGTCAAGTTTAATGTTGATGCAAACAACACAAGAACATTGGCACTATTGTCTTAGGAAAAGTGATGGATGTTAGTGAGTTGAGATGTTGAATGTCATGTTATTGTGAGATACAACTGCATGTAAGCGACAAACTGTTTATTTTGATTTATAAATAAAGTTGAACCTTACCCATTGTCTTTTTCTTATGTTGCACAGATATTTTAATTGGATATATTATCAGACAATCCAGTGATTGCACATGACCACACCAAGATAATAATCAGAATAAGTGTGAATTTATAATGCACCTTTTCCATGTACAAGGCACATGCTCAAAGCTCTAACACATGAAATCACAATCTGATTATTATCACCCTGATAACCCAACCTGCCTGTGAGGCGCTGGAAAGTTAAGTCACATCCCTATCCCACCGGGTACCCATTTTCGGCTGGGTGAACAGAGGCAATTTTGAACAAACTCACTATGGTTACTTTATCTCTCAGTATTGCAAGGATTCAAACGCTCTCATCATAACCCTACTTCACCTGTTGGTCAGTGGCGGTTAAAGCATTCACTTGTCATGCACTTAGAGGACAGGTTCAATTCCCCACATGGGTACAATGTGTGAAGCCCATTTCTAGTGTCCCATAGGGTAACTTTGCTGGAATAAAAACAGCCTAAAACTCCCTCTCTCACCTGCTGGTCCGCTGTTCAAAGGTTCCAGAGATGCTCTCCTCAGCTGATGCCATCACATTCTATAACCATTTCCCCCAGTTTGTATGGTTTGGGTTATCCTTCATTGTGCAGAAATGCTGTGACAGCTACAGCTTCAAGCTTTGTTTGACTTCTTCAGCTCAACTGATTTCTTTTATACTACATTTCAGATAGCCATTTCATTACAGATTAACAATACTAATATATAAAAAAGTTGGTGCTCTTGTACTTTGGTTTAGTTGTTGTTTAACGCTGCACTCAGCAACATTCCAGCTATATGGCCGCGGTCTGTAAATAATCGAGTCTGGGCCAATATTGAAGTTGAAGTGCGGATAATGAACTTCGGTTTAGTTTTAGAATTGATCTCCAGTAACCCATGCTTGTCGTGAGAGGCGACTAACGGGATCGGGTGGTCAGGCTCGCTGACTCGGTTGACACAATCCTGTCATCGCATGCACGTTGCTTATGTGTTGATCACTGGATTGTCTGGTCCAGACTCGATTTAATTACAGACCGCCGCCATATAGCTGGAATATTGCTGAGTGCGGCGTATAACTCAACTCACTCACTCATGGAAATCTGGAACGGGTCGTCAAAACGTCACATTCACTCCAGGTTAATTCAATGGTTTATTGTTTTCAAGACCAGTTGACCCCAGTGTATAAGTATTTTCCTGAAATGAAATTGTAATCATTAGAATTCATTAAATATCTTAAACCATTAATATTTCTGCGGTGTTTGAATATAAGTGGAACATCATCACTACGAGTTTGATAAGTTTGGCAATAATATACTCATGGAAACAAATAAGGGAACACATGAAAGTACAAGTGTTCCTTTATTTATTTCCAGAACTTCACCCACAGTGCAATACATACCTTGTGAAGAAACCTGGAAAAGAATAAAGGAACACTTGTACTTTCATGTGTTCCCTTGTTCGTTTCCATGAGAATATATAATATGAATTTCATCTTCGGTTGCACTGCATAAGGAACATTTAGAATGAGGACTGTAATAATCACCCCAAAAACACTTTTCTAATTCACTGTATTCCTAAACGAGTGTAACAGCTTCTAGAATCAAGCAGTGCCTTCCGATATTTTATATTATTAAGATCATAGATGTACAATTCTGAAGTAAATTTTATTATACTGTAAAACCATCATTTAATAGTTATATATGGTTATATATTATAAATCGTTAATGCCCTTAATAAATATCACTTCATGTTCAACAGTTCATTAATAATTTTTCATGGGATCTGGACTTCATTGTGAATGCCCGAATATATTAGGTTTGTTTGTTGTTTTAAACGCCGCACTCAGAACATTCCAGCTATATGGCGGGTCTGTAAATAATCTGGACCAGACAATCCACTGATCAACATCATGAGCATCGATCTACGCAACTGGGACACGATGACATGTGTCAAGTTGTCAACCATGTTAGTGAGCCTTACCACCCGATCCCGTTAGTCGCCTCTTATATTTTAACCGAATATTTTAGGGTTACATAAAACCTCCGAACATAACGGGATTTCTATGAAATTACTAGGGCTTTTACGATTCACTCGCGTATTCAGTCAATCGAACAGTATCCCTTCATGAATTAAATTCTTGATTCGCGGCCATCGGAATCGAAACTCAATGATTTTATTTAAAAAAGAAGTGCCTTTACTTGAATTTGAGTGTTATTTATCAAGACGAGATATAATAAATGGAATATATCCACACCAGTCAGGATGATAGTCAACACTTGCTAGTCGTTATCAGGAGAAAGTACTTGTCAAGATGGTAAAACATGACGAATAAATTATTTGTATTGTGTCACTTATTTGCATCAGCCTCAGACCATTTTTGTATTGTTGCTGTCTCTTTGCAACACATGTAACATTCCTGGAGATTACACAATATGTCTCCGATGACTAGGTTCTAGAATATAACAACTAGTCTCTGAAATGAACATATTTATGAAAAAATTAATGAAAAGGGGCCCTGGGATTTTCTTCATTTTCAGAAACTGTGGAAATCTGGACATGTCACATATTCTAGACTTGCATGGGTTTTCTTGGATATATTTGTTTCAGGTCGGTAGGTTCCTGGGAATCAATAAGAGCGCCTTCGACCGTGACTGTGTTCCTGTGTATCAGAGCGCCTACGCACGTATGTAGAGTTTTTAGTGGTATGCTTCATCGCATAATGAATTACCTCCCATTGAAGCGTAGTGTTACTAAATAGTTCTATTCCATATACATTGTTTTCATTATTATTATAATATTAAACGTAAAACTAAATCCATTTTATAATAATTCGTAGATTATAAACGGATTGCAAATGTTTCTGCAGCGTATTTTATTGCAAAATGTATAGAAAAAGTCCAGCGCGCATTAATCTCACTCGGCCTTTCTCGCACGTTGGCCCATGCCAAGATGGTGGGTTGAAATGCCATGCTCTCACATGAATGTTACGATATGGACAAAATAACCCGGATACAATATTGTTTTGCGATTTGTTTTGTCAGCTTTTGTCCTCAAATAACCCAAACAAACGATTTATTATGTCAGTATTCCATATTTCGAGACATAATGAGAGTTTTTGTTCCAACGTGGTCCTCACGTGTTCGAACGAAATGAAGTCATTTTCCAGCAGCTTGTGTACTCACCTGCGAAAAATAGTAGACTGCTTGGTAGTTATCAAATGAATGTACCTCAACGTATCCTCAGTGAACGACCATCTGAAAGCAATACAATTTGATGCAAAATAACACCCATTTACGGGCACCGGACTCCTTTGGACAAAACTGGCGGTAGCTTACGGTGGAAAAGTTAACGGTTATCATACATTGCTGGGTTTTCATCAGTGGTCAGGGAGATTTAAGTTAAAATTTGGGTATCTAATTTTGTTTTCATCTGTATTTGCACGTTAATCACTGTGCATCATGTGATTGATCATTAGGCCGATAAAACCTGTGAGAAATGTTAACAGGTTAACAGGCGTTGTTCCACCTGATACCCCTTGTTTTTTGGAATTGCAGTTTGTAAAATGGGCAATACAGCTTACATAGCTAAAAATAAAAGGACATAATTCTGAAAAGATTTCTAAAAAATGTTTGATCTGTTAAAGACTGCAACTGCATCGGTGATATCCATTGGGACCAAATGTAACAAACTTGTAGTTTCATTAACTTGCATAGCTAAAATGATAATGTTTTGAATGTGTGTGGAGGGGAAGCTGTCCATTATTTTCTTTAGCTATGCGCCCTAGAATGAGCAGGGAAAAGTTAATACTGTGAAGGAGCTTTGTGCACTTGTATTCCCAGAATGACTAATGCAAACATGAGACTTTTCCCGCGGATTTCCGGGAATTTGGTTTCATTTGAATGTTTTTGAGATCAATGTAAATCTGCAATAAAAATTTAAGTGTGTGTGTGTGGATGTTGAAGCAAGGCGAGGATATGCATCCAGGAAAACAGTCTAGGAGAGGTCTCAAAACGCACTTCAATATTGCCTAATTCAATTTTTAAGAGGGGGTTGGGGGCACCAGGACGCTGGTCCCCAGGGGTAGCTTAGTTTTCCAGTGTCTTTTGTGCTTAGCCGTTATGTCATGTCTGCTAATGGTATGAGATAAAATGCATTCTTACTGAAATATAATAGTAGTATGGTAAGTGCCCGTTTGTTAGTTAAAAAGTCAAAAGCTTGAAAAAACTGTTCTAAATGGAGGGGGTCCTTTCGGTTATTTCTAACTAACATGTCTTCAAAGGCTATATGAAGTTTGTTGGAGTAGCTTGGTGAATGTAATGTAGAAATTGTATGGGGAAAGAACTGATCAGTCATGTATGTTCTAAATGTGTAATGAAAGCTAAAAGGTGTTAACATCATTAAATCATTTACCCAGGTGAAATAGCTATTAATTCTCAAGCTCGAACATCTTATTGCTTTATCACAACTGTAAACAGTCTTCAGTACAGGCTATAAAGTCTACTAGAGCCTCATTGGTCTAGATTGCCTGGAGAGGGAAAGGTGAAACTCGGGGCGCTGCCCAAGTCAGGCTGTTACAAGCAGGCACTTGCCTGTCACTATAGAGTGGGATAACATGTTAAACCCCATTTCACCTTATCAAACTATAATGTATACACATTCCATCGAAATAATGAGTGGTACCTTTCCCATTGACCTATCAGTATGGTAGCGTAAAAGCAATCTTGTAATTTCTTAAGTACGAATACTTGAGGCATACAGAAGTCACTTATTTGTCTGATCGTAACCCATGCTTGTTGTAAGAGGCGACTAATGGGAACGGGTGGTCAGGCTCGCTGACTTGGTTGACACGTCATCGGTTCCCAATTGCGCAGATCAATGCTCATGCTGTTGATCCCTGGATTGTCTGGTCCCTTACTCGATTATTTACAGACTGCCGCCATATAGCAGGAATATTGCCGAGTGTGGCACAAAACAAAACTTACTTATTTGTCTGAAATGCCAAAGATAATTTTGCGTTCAACTTAAGAGATCCTTTTCTGTTACTTTGTGATAGTAATTACTACACATGTATTTATATATGGATTATTCCCTTTTTACAGACTTCGAAAAGAAGGAACAATGGACGCAGCAAGAAGGGCCGTGGTCACGTGAAGTTCATCAGGTGCACTAACTGTGCCCGATGTGTGCCCAAGGACAAAGCCATTAAGAAGTTTGTGATCAGGAACATCGTTGAGGCTGCTGCTGTCAGGGATATCTCTGATGCCAGCGTTTATGAAGGTGAGCAAAACGCTGACTGACAACTCACTTTTGTACATTTAATACTTGTGAAGTGCCCAAAGACAGGTTTGGGCTGGTTTTCTTGGAGTTTTTAACACTGTTGATAAATAATCGAGAGCAGAATGTTCAGACAAGTTTTTGAAAGTTCAATCCATGGTGAGGTTGCATGGTTATATGCTGTGTATGCATGGCATGGGGCAGTGGTTGATTGATTTTATTAAGAGAAATGTCAGTACAGGGTTTATTTGGCTGCTATTACTTGAAGACATTTATGTGTCCAGGAATTTTACATTGGTATTCTGACATGCGATTAATGGTTTTTTTTTATTAGAAAGTCTGTCATAACTGTGCAGAATTAATGGAAGCACATCTTCTCACTGATCGCCACTCGTGAAGACCTGGGTTAGAATATTGATCTTCAGTAACCCATGCTTGTCGTAAGAGGCGACTAACAGGATCATGTGGTCAGACTCGCTGACTTGGTTGACACGTCATCGATTCCCAATTGCTCAGATCGATGCTCATGCTGTTGATCACTGGACTGTCTGGTCCAGACTCGATTATTTACAGACTGCCGCCATATAGCAGGAATATTGCTGAGTGTGGCGTAAAAATAAACTTACTCACTGATCGCTTTTGCAGAATGTGCACTTTGGAAAATGTCAGGAAGGAAATAACTTGGCATGATGCAAAGTGATGGCAAGTGTTTAAGGGCATTCAACATCTACTGAAAAGGGTTACATACGTGCATAAAGCCAGACAGTTTCTGTCTTATCTCTACTGTATGCATCTGAGATTCTTATGGAAGATTAGTAACGGTTATTTGAGTAATTTTTCATGGGTATTTTGGGCTGCATAACTGAAGCTTTAAATTATAAGGACTGTGTATTGGCAAATAAATTGAATTGCAATATATTGCGATTCAGTACATATTGTGATATGTTGGGAACTTAAGTGTTTGACAGTGAGTGAGTGATAGTAATTGTGAGTGTCAATCCTATTTTCTACATCTTAAGTCCCTAAACATATATGTTATAGTTCTGATAACAGCAATCTCAAAGTTAGGTTACATAGTCCGGGATGCAATTTTCATTGTTTTATACAATTTATAGCATTACAGTATGCCGTTTTGTCATTGAATAATGAATGAAAACATTTGTGAATGAAAGTGTGTAGGTTTTAATTTAACCATTAAGATCACAAAAATATAATATATATATATAAAATGTTCTTTACCCATGAACTGGTTCTCAATAAAAACTATTGCAATATATATCGTTTGAAAAGCGTATTGCGATATATACCAATATACTGTGCAGTCCTATAAATTACAATAGACTGTTCGCTGGTGTCTTGACAAATTTTGAAAGTGAAGAGGTCATGACTCACGACCCTTTTGGCTAGGTCAGTTAAAACAAAAAGTTAACTCGGAGAGATTGTTTGCATTCTAGTTGCTTTTAGTTACTAGTGGATTCATGTTTTGCCATATTGTATGCTATTGTTTCCAAACGTAGAAATAAGCTTTAGTTTATCTTTACATGGCCACATGTATAGTTTGTATCATTCAATCTTGACTTGTGATTTCAGTGTATGCCCTTCCTAAGCTGTATGCCAAGCTCTTGTACTGCGTGTCCTGCGCTATCCACTCCAAGGTGGTGAGGAACAGGTCCCGTGAGGCCAGGAAGGACCGCAGCCCCCCACTCCGCTTCAGACCCATGAGGGTAAGTAACACGAGAACCATAGTCGTGACTTTTTAACTTGTGATTTCTGGAATTAGTTTGACTGGGCCAAAGTAGAAAAAGAAATAATGAAATAAATCCGAAATAATTGAAATGTTGGTCTGAACATTTAATGGTAAGACTTATTAAGATATCCGTTTGCAAAGTAAGTGGCTGTGAAATGTCGAGTTATGTGGAGGAATGTAATCTATAGTTGATGGCAAGCTGTTTAAGGTAGATTCTGGAAAAGTACAACTAATTTCTGCTAAAAATACTTTGTGCAGAACTGCTTGAAACGGAAAGTTATTATGAGTGTTATCTGTGATTATTCCATGTTTTGTGTTGCAGGAAGGAGCTGGCCCTAGAGTTGGAACTGGTGCCCGGTCATAAGGCTGTTACCCAAAAAAATGTACAAAAATACGTAAATAAACATGCTTTATGTACCAAATATTATTATGTTTTATTTGACTGTGTGAAGTTGTGTATTAAATAGAGAAGTTTTAAACAATTTGCCAGTTTCACATGGGAAAAGTAATATGTGAATCTGTTGATGAAATTCTATTTGACAGGATATTTGATTAATAAGCATCGATGAACTACTCTATATTTTCGATAGGAAAGTATAAAGTGTACATTGAAGTGACCTAACCTGGAACAATATCTCTCTGCAGAGTTATAAGAGGATCTGCAATGTCTATCGAGATGAGATTGTCAGTGCATCACATGATTTAATAGGTCTGTTACTCTTTAGCTACAAAGCCTATTTGTTCACTATATTATACGTAAATACAAAAAAAAGGACCCAAGCACATCTGTTTTGACCTATCGGTGATTTACTGTATGAATAAAATGTTTGCAAACCTTTACTACAGGTATAGAAATTGAGTGAACTTTTACATACGTGTTTGGAGACAGATCCCTGGCTTGTCGCCCTTGCTAACCGTTTTGACTCTCAGTGTGTTTCAATGTTTTTAATAGGAATTTAGGGGCCTGTTCCTCTAATAAATCATGGCGTTACAAATAAAGTAAGTAAACATTGAGTAACCTTGACACTATGATAGGATGTGATGGTTTCACCCAAGGGAGGTAATAACTTCCATTGAAAACATGACTGCTGAATGTGACAAAATCACTGTGTGATATGCCATCTTTATGCTGCCTAGTGATGTTATCAAGCAAATTTTATGTATTTGTCTGCATTGACTAACCCCTTTTGTTCTGCAAAATGAACCCTTGTCCATTGGTGTTCTGCAAAATGAACACTTGTACATTGGTTGGAGTGCATGATGCTAGACTTGTGATCCCTGGCCGCGTCATACCAAAAGAGGTTAAAATGTACTTGTTGGTCCCTGCCTGGCGCTTGGCATTACTGGGTACAGCAAGAACTGGTCGGCTCGGATTCAGTATAATGTGTCCGAGTGGGGTATTCATGCTTCACTGCGGCATGGTATCTCAGTGGGCTAGCACTATAAAACCAGCTTAAGTCTGGGCTAGTACAAGCAGCCGCACATACACATACACACGCATGCACGTCCTCATATGAACGAAATACTCTCAAGCACGACGTTAAACCCAATTTCACCTCACCTCGTCTTCATCCTCTCTCATCTTTCTGAAAATTCCATTTTTCAGGATCAGGTTCTGTTTAATGCATATATTCCATTAGGAAATAGTCTCAGAATTTAATTTTCTTGGCGACTAGGGAATGGTGTACCATGCCAATCTTCAATTCACCAGAGACATTTTCAAACATCACCATAAGGTGCCACTGTAGGAAATATATTGAGTGAGTGAGGTTAGTTTTATGCCACCAGCTATATGGCGGCTGTCTGTAAATAACTGAATCTGGTTCAGACAATCCAGTGATCAACAGCATGAGCATCGATCTGCACAATTGGGAACTGATGAGGTGTCAACGAAGTCCGGGATCCTGGCCACCCGATCCTGTTAGTTTACACTGTAAGGTGACACTAGTTAGCACTATTTATCTTTGTATCATAACATGCTGTATTATATACTGCACACTTTAGCACGAACATATGATTTCACCAACATACAGCACTACTGCAGTATAAAAGAAGAGCACAGTCCCTGCTTGATAAAATGAATATTTAACAAACAGTAGGAAATCTGATGATGGATATTTAGAACTTAACATAAGGTATGGTATGGATTTACAACTTCCTTTTTGTTTACAACACCAGCTTTCTGGCCAACTTCTTGTCCCTTCTGGTGAATGGCAGAATATGATTTACAAGCAAAATAAGGTACATTATTTTATCCAAGTAGTGAATCTTCACGAATGCTAAAACATGAAAATATTACAAACTATTTATGTAAATATCTCCGGTTCTAATTTTGATATTGCACTTTCTTTTTCATGGTTATGTGAAATCAGAGACCATATAATATATCTATTATATGGTCCCTGGTGAGATGTTATAAAGTGTATTGCAACTTGATCCATTCGTCACCACTCGCCCCTATTCGGTTTGTCCCGGAATAACACGAGTTGCTCGCCCCCACTCGGGTAATCTCGGAGGTTGCGGAAATGGGCGAGTGGTGACAAGGTTGCACAATTCTATTTTTAGCACTGGGTTTACCCGAGTTCAGATGCACAGCTTTCCTCAAAGAAGAAGACATGTATGCATCTCATACTTTAACCATAGCCAAGGACAATTAGTCAGGTACGTGTTGACGGAATTATGATTGTTTACCTTCTAATTTCGGCTGTCACTATAACGTATGCAATGTAATCCCTTTGAAATTACGACATTCGTGACTGCCTGTGGTGAAATATGTCAAGTATCTGACACTGGAAGTGAAATTGCAACTCGATATAATATTATTGGGGAAAGATATCCGCCCGTATCCCCCTTTTATACATATTTTAAAAAAAAAGCTTCACTGGGGCCTAGAATATTAATTACTGTAATAGCCATGAATGTGTGCTGACCTAGTAACGAAGTGACACGACAAACCTACTCTCTCTCTGACATTGAGTGAAATAACAACCACACAGTTTTAAGAAAACAACTTTTAAAAATAATAAATTTTAATGAAAACGATACTGGTGATGTAATATTAGCTTATATACTAGACATATCTTTATTGTTGCATATATACTTGCAACATAGATATGGTATAATAAGCATGATATTATATTCAATTCTTTAATTAATCAGAATAATATATTTATAATATAAATAATATATATTCTTATGCAAGCATATTTTTCTGACCACCTGATTGGTCCGGAGGCGGTCACGTGACCGTCGACAGAAAAGTTTGGTCCGACCAAACGTGATATTGACCTGAGTTACTATGACGTCAAGCTATGTCTTCGTCCTCGGTCAATATTGCTTTTCGCGGGTCCATAAAAAAAAGGTATTGACTTTATCACCAGTCTATAATTGTATAGTATCTAATATATCCCTCAACATAAATATATATATAAATATATCTACCCTGTGAATCCCACTGGGGTGTTCTCATTGATACTAATGACAATGTCCTCGTGACAATTGTTCATGATATGAAACCTACCATGATAGCTTTTCTATTTACACATCTGAACAATACATCTAAATTATTATCAACTCATTGATAAACAATACAAGATACTGCAAGACCAACAAAATCACACATACAAACAAATATGGTATCTCCAGCACACAAACACAAGAATATGTGACAAGTTTAAACATAATATTAATTTGATATAGACTATTATTTACATGAAGTGGTTTTTGCCTTAGACTGGCATAAAAGGAACACAATAATAGGAACTACTAACCCTTCAGTTCCTGGTCTTGTGTCTGTCTCCCAGTGTTGTGTCAGTGGGAAACTGCAGAGGTGAAAACAAAGGGTTTAAAAGTAGGACACCCAATTAAAAACCTAGCCAATCATTAATATGCTTAGGTTTCTACTTTGATTGATAGCTGATCTACCCTACACTGAAGTGGACTGACCCAATGAGAATCGCTTAATAATAGAGAGGAGCTTTAATGACCTTACTTAGCTTACAACGGCTTAAGTATCTTGTGCAGATTGAAATAGAAATGGGAATTTGATTATATATACATCAGTGAAGTTGATCATAATGCTTGAAATTAATGCAATAATAAATCGTTACTATAGGTGCTGTATTATCTAAACTATACACAGGACATTATTTACAACTTGTTGAAGTAAAATAGCTAAATGACAAAACATGATCACGAAGTACATAATTAAACTCTACCTCATTACAGTCCTCATTAAATAGCATTTTAGCAGAAGATTAGCTTGATTAACTTGTACAAAATATGTTGATAGCACAGTCCATCTGGAGCTGCTGGAATATTGGTTGAAGGGAGAGTTAACGATTGGAAAGTTAAGTAATTTTTCTTGTAATAAGGGACAGCTCATAATTTATAGCTAGAGGGGATGATGACGACTTTTAGGGGGTGTCACCCATTTTGTTCTAGGGAGGTTTGTGTGTGTAGATACGTACCATATGACATGATTTTGGTGATTTCATTTCTGGTTCAGGTAGGTAAATCGGTTTTAGGGAACTAACTGACAGTCATTATATGTTATCAGATAAAACTTGGTCAGATCTTGTTGTTTTGAAATTGCCAATCTGAGCAGAAATTCGAATATATGTGCATAAGAATACAGCTCAGCAACGGAGAAGAACAAACTGGTGCTTGTAGGGATGCCTTAATGTCTTGCCTCAATGTCTACCTCTAATTTCCCATATATGGCATGTATCAGAGACAATGTCTAGCATTTCGAATTTAGCTGTTGTTGTCTCTGTAAACTTCAGACTTTATCTTTGACAAAGTGTCTGAACCTGTGAGTGAGTGCATATGGTTTTTGACGCCTTTAGCAGTATTCCAGCAGTATCATTGTGGGGGACACCAGAAATGGGCTTCACACATTGTATCCATGATGGGATTCTAACCCATGTCTTTGTGACGAGTGAATGCTTTAACCACTAGGCTTCCTCACCGCTCCACCTGTGAAGATGCTACAATACATCTATGGTCACTACATTACTGACAAAGGAATCATGGATCCTGCAGGGATTTAGAGGATGCGAAGTCCTGCGTCCTATACGCTTAAAAAATGTCAATGGACGCAACAAAATTTATTAGTGCATCCACAGGGACGCAGAAAAAGTCAAAATACTTTTTGTAAAAATTCCAATCAAGTAACAATAAGTTATCAAAGAGTTTGCTACTAGCTGGGTTATGGTATAATTTGCAATTCAATTACTGTAACAAATAATATGATGATCATGATACACACGACAATAACACTATTAATAATAATATTTAAGTGTCTGGGATCCCCATTATGTTGTCCAGGACCCCTGAAATTTAAGAGTATGAGTCCCAGGGACCCTCAAAAACAGGACTCAAGATAAATCTCTGATGAAAAATGAGGACTATTTTTATGGATATACAACTTCTTTATTCTATATAGCTTGGACCCGAATCTCTTGTTTCATTTTCGTTATATTTTGTGAGTTCAGAGAGGATTGAGCGAAATTCCTCCTCTGAGATCTTACTGTCAGTGAGTGCAGTGGAAATCGGCTCACTTACTGTGTTCAGCTTTGCTTCTGCCAGAACCCTGATCCCATCATGTTTCAATGCCTTACGATGCAGTCTGCGTGATGCCAACTTAAGCGCCAACCCTAACACCCCTGCCACCCCAGCTGTTATTTCAATGCCTAGCACTATAGGTGCAGCCACGATGGTAGCTAACAACCCAACACCTGCCAACTCCTAGTCCCATGCTGGTTACCATAAGGGTAGTATCAGCCCCGTCCACGATATTGAAAGCTCTATGGTACTTTTTACATAGTGCTTTACGTGTGTCGCGGTCTTGCTCTAGTTGACGTTTTACATCACATAACTGCCTCAAGCGGAACCCATCTACGGTTTCCAGTGTCTTCGCTACTTCCTCTATGACTGGGTATAGCCCCATCCTATAATATATCTTTCAAAAGATATTTTAATTGGGTTTCATTTAATCTTCGATTAGCGTACTTGAGACTTATAAAAGCAGCAAATACTCATGTAGGAAAATAGGTGAGAGTGCAATAGGTGGCGTTGTTTTCACATGAAACTCCTCAAAGTGGCGGCTTATTATCCACCCATGGTAGGGGATTATTAAGGAGATTATATTACCTGTTGAGGGGTCGGTTGTATGGCGATCTGAGCGGCTCCACCTGGCCTGGGAACTCCAGCGTACAGTCACCCGGGTAAAAGTTGTTGTTCTGCAGGAGCAATATGCTCTATTAAGGCGTCCATGATGAGTGTGGAGCCTGGTGCTATAGATGTAATCCTTAGCGTACCCGTAGCAGTCATACCTTAACTCACCCCTCGGGGTGAAAATAACTTATTGGGGTTCAGGCTTAGTGAAATCGTTGTATTAGGGGCGGAATGAAACACCGGGCTGGGTACCGCTATTCTTAACTTCAGAGATATCATTATGTTCATTGTATGTGATATAAGGTGAGGTGAGGGTTAAGTTGATTAGCCATTGGGTTCTTTAAAATCTGATAGCGGTATCTGCCTATACACTTTGTCTTTGAAGTGTAGGATGTATAAGGTGTCTTCCTCAGGCTGATCGAATCCCTCTAGGTCCTTGAGTGTGAGTTTGGGTAGATGATCGGCTATTGCTGCCCGCCTATATACATTGTCTTTCAAGTGTAGGGCGTCACGAGGTGTCTTCCTCACCAGGCTGATCGAATCCCTCCGTGTCCCCTAGGTCGATTAAGCGTGGTGTTGGGGTGATGACTGGTCATTGCTATAATACTATGCGAGATAATTTCCAACTGGTTTTCTGATAATAGTTCAGGGGTTAACTTCACCCCATGAAGTGTATGTTGTCAGGTAGGAAGATCTTGGTTAGTGATATAGTGTTTTCCACGATCGCGGTGACACCCTGCAGACTGGTGTTGGAGCCGACACCCACCATGCGTAAACTGTGCAAGCGTGATACTGGTGTCGTTTCACCCACCCAAGTTTGATCCCCTTCGCGATCTCGACATCATTCCCGATGGTTCCCTAGGTAGACTTTGATGATCAGTGTTGAGTTAAGCGGTAGACTCTCTAGTATCCTGACCACGCCTTCAAATTCAGACACCAACTGCAATGTCGCGTTTTGCATGCCCGCTTTACTTTCGATAGCATGTGGGCTGCCATACTGGCGACTGGACTGATGACTTCGCTCGTCTCTGAGTCGGGGCGTAAGCCCACGAGCAGGGTTTCGTTGTTAGCGACTTTGTTTAGGTGGTTGTCTTTGTTATCCGTGAACTGCGTAGGGGAGCGAGCCTAATATTGAGAAACCAGTCGTCTTTATCTGGTATCAACACCCACTTGTCATCTTCGGTGAAGGCGAGCATATATGGCTTGTTTGGTGACGGTAGTGCTCTCAACATCGTCTAAGTCGAACAGTTTGCCCCGAGCGATGGGTATATTATCAATTATCATTACGGTGGTGACTAGGGTGTACTTAGTGTTGACTACGCTCTTGAGGTATCTACTATATCACCTAGGGCTCCACGGAGGACTTCAGCAGCGTTTGTAAATGTTGTTTTTCAGTTTGCAAAGTACAATTTACCATCTACTCGGGGCGTCGAGCGTGTGTCCCAGTCGGAGATCCCCACATTGGCGCATTTTTCACCCGGGCC